CGTAAAATTGTTATTTGGGTTGATCTGTTTTAACACTAAGCTAGCAAGTTAAATGAAAAAGCTATTTACTATATCGTTATATATTTCTATTTCATATAAATTTATGATTGAAAAAACTTTGGATGGATATCATAATCATCCTCAAGCAAATTTTGGCCTAGGTAGCAAGTCTTAACTACCTTCTTCTTACACGAAAAAAACAAGTATAATTTGACAAAATGTCAGATTATTTTAAAGCCTTCAAACAACAGAACACAATTTATATACACATGATAGTTGGGATAGCATTGCCAAATTTGAAGGAGACTGCAAGCGCGGTGAATAGAAGTCGTTCGGAGTTAAGAAAAAGAACGACTCTCCATTACATATGCATCTGGACTCAACCGAGCTGTTCAGCAAGAGCTGTTCACCTTCAATTTGAATCTCCCGCTCTTTGTCGATCTGTTTTGCTTGTCGACATTTTGCGTGTCGATAAAGTGGGAAAATTTACACAACCGTCCCACATAACAGACATCCCACATAACCGACATCCCACTTTACAGACATCCCATATTACCGACACTGTCGCCATTTTGAGTTGTCGACAAAGTGGGACTATTTCAGTGTCGATCTTTTGGGATGTCGATAAACTGGGTCCCCACGCTCGTCAACGAGGTGGGTTGGCGTGAATGAACCCTAAGTGCCACCCTGACTACGTGTACCCATGACAACCTGCAGCCACTATAGTTTTCAAAAATTTTGGCCCAATATCTGATGACTATAGGGGATTAACAACTGTGATGATATGGTAAAGAGGGTTCTACACGACTATGATGTTTATTTTACTATCATACTGGAGGACCTTGTGCTGCTCCGCAGCGTTGAAATTTGTTAATACTGTTAATACTGTTCTATGAAATGGCGACCATACAAAGTAGGTATTTTAAGCCAAGTATGGATGGAGATGAGTGTAGGATGAGTGGCACGATCTTGTAGTCTTGTTAGTGACTAAGGCCGACATTCCTTAGACACAGCTGTGTATTAATAGCCCATACAGCTAATGGCAACTAAGGGACCTACAGTTTATTGTGGAATCCGAACCACATTTTTGCCTTGGTAATTACGAATTGGTCTAACTATCAGGATGGATAGTACTGCGGATAGTCGTAGTACTCACCCGTGCGGACGTTAATCCACACCAGGGAGTATCGCATCCACAGTGCATGCCTATAAATATCCAAAATTCGTGACCTCCTAGTAGCTGGATTACAGGACGACGCCACCCGTTTTGTTTGAGTAATACAGTATCTGAAGCTTAACTGATTCAAACGATCAATATCTCAAATGAAAACCTTTATTTCTAGGAGTATTTTAAGACTAAGACATATACAATCTATAAAAGATGAAGTACCTATGCCAGATATTTTCTTATGCGTGTAAACAAGATGTTCTAAATTATTCCGTTTTAATTGACTACTCAAGTCCCCTACGTAGGACCATAGACAAAGAGAATTAAATATAGACCGTCAGCTGTGCTGCGGTTACCATAGGTTCTGGCGCAGACCGCTGGAAGCACCCGTGCAGTTACATAGCGTGCATGCCTTAACTACACGGTGCTCCCAGCGGTGTGCGCCAGAGCTTATGGTAACCGCAGCACAGCTGACGGCTATATGCCTCCCTCATTTAAGCACAAGCAGGCTTAAGCTTTGCTTAGCTGTTTTCTAAGTTAGGTTAGCCTAGACTCAAGATTGAGCAACCGCCATTATACTACGAGTGCGACGTTGCCAATGTCTATTTTACAGAGTATTCATTCACGTAGACATATGCGTTCAAGTGTATACATCAACAACGTCGCAGTGTCGCACGCACACCCGCCCGGCTATATTATACCATCTATATTATAACATTACACGGAGTATGCTTAATCTAATACTCCCCTGGATACTGGCGCGCTGTGTGGTGGAAAAACGGGCTGTGCCCACCATTCGAAATGGTGGGATATTGAGGCCGGCGTGTCGTATGAACCTCTCTCTTTTACACAAACATACATTCATTCTTTCATCCTGGGGCCCATTTCATAATAAACTACAAGTTACAAGTTACAACTTGTAACTTGTAATTTCCATTAGATTTGCATTGGGCGATCAGCTGATTTACTAATAATATTAGTAAGTACTTTATTATGAAATGGGCCCCTGCTCTGCTACACTTATTTTTTAACATAAAGATTTAAAATGTAAATGTTTTTTTAGACAGTGCTTATTACTGTGTTGTTAGTTTGAACCTTAACATATTTTTTTATAGTTTATTTAGGCAAATTAAGATTGATGGTAGTTTTTTAACACCACTAAAAACGTGGAAAAAATAGTAAGCGAGGAACTATTTTATTTTCTGAAGCAATCATTGTTGAATGAATACAATGCGCGTCGACATTATGAAACAAAACATTTAAAATAGATAGGTAAAATTACAGGGCCGTTAAGAACAGAAAAAGTTTTATCAATGAAAAAGGAAGATTTGCTCTTAAACTCTCCTTTTCAGATTACAAGATATTGAATCTTTTCTTCGTCAGAGTGCTTAAAATGTCGACTTTGTAAGTATAATTTTTCCAACATTTCCGGGGGAGGACCCCCGGAACCCCTCCCACAATGGGGGATATTCCATAGCCCCCAAACCCCCCGGAGGTTTGTGGCCATGCTGGCCTAGAATTAGAATAACCCTCACACCCTCGATAGAATGGCCCCCTCCGAAAATTAGCCCTGGAACCGCCCTTGGAGTGACTTGCGATGTAGTACTTGTGACGGCCCCAAAAATTCCCAGACCTATTACATATCAGTTGGGGAGGTTTTTGTTACACCCTCAAGAAACCCTGCCAGTACCGTCACAAAAGCTTTGCTTTATTTCAAATATAAAAAGAGGGTCTGTAATATTGGACTGTTAACCTCCCAGCTTTCCCAAGTAGCAAAAATCGTTGGCCCAACGTTTCTGTCGATCGTTGGCCAACGGTATGCTTTGGCACTAATCAGCTGTCTGAAATTGTGAAATAGGCATTTGACGGTTCTGGTTGTTTAGGTTTAAATGTCAAAGCAAATGTAAATATTGTGAATTTTCTCATGCTTCCATAATCTTACGAATATATGAAACGATAGTCAAAGGGTTTGAGAGGAAACAGCAAACAGTAACGGCATTTCTTGACATATCTCAAGCATTTGATAAGGTATGGCATGACGGTCTTGTCTTTAAATTGATTAATTTTGGATTTCCAAAATATTTAACCAGTATTGTAAAATCGTTTCCCTGTCACAGGACCTTCTCTGTTAAAATAAGTTCTTCCAAATCATCTGTACGGCGAGTCAATGCAGGAGTTCCACAAGGTTCAATTTTGGGCCCTGTATTGTTCAATCTATACATGGCAGACATCCCTCTTCCAGAAGACGCCTCATTAGCTCTCTACGCCGACGACACTGCTATCCTGTGCCAGCATTCCGACATCCACGAGGCCACGTATTCCCTACAATACTCTGTGGATCTTCTTATTGATTGGTTCTACAAGTGGAAATTTCGCCTAAATTCAACAAAATGTGAAACCAAAATATTCTCCTTGAAAAAACATACATTGCCACATGAAATTCAAATATATGGTAACTTTCTACCTTTGAACCCTGATGACCAGGCCATAAAATATCTTGGAGTATGGCTGGACAAAAAACTTAATTGGAATTACCACGTTAATAAAAAACTGAAAAAACTGTCCCAAGGTTATGCACGCCTTGCAAAGCTTTTCCCTTTAATCAATAGGAAATCTACTCTGAAGCCAGCTTGTACAGTTCTAATCTATAAATCAATAATTCGGCCCTTGATTACATATGCATCTCCTATCTGGGGATTAGCTATATCAAAAAACAAACTCTTCAAAATTCAAGTGATTCAAAACAAAATTCTAAGAATAGCGGTGAATGCTCCCTGGTTTGTTAGAAACAGGCATATACATGAAGAACTAGGAGTGAAGTATATCTCGGCCTTTATTGAAAAAACCACCTCAAAATTTCTAAAATCTTTAAACGATGTTCCTGGTGCATTAACTTTTCATCTTGGTGAAGCAACTGAGAACAGGAGGCTACGTCGAAGGCTCCCTCAAGATCTATTGGAGGAATGAAGCCTAAAGAAGATTAAATTATTCTCTAAATTAATTATGTTACAGGGTGACTCAGGTTTGGGCGAACCCACGATATTATAGTTAATTTCTTATTAATTTTGTTAACACTTCTGTGAATAATGTCTACATTGAACCAGAAATAAATGATGCTGTGAAAAAAAGAAAAAAAATGGAGACCAATTATTAATATTTAATTTCTGACAACAGCTGGAGTTTCAAAACAATCTTTGTTTCCCATGTTAATCTTATGGAGAAATACGAAACTTTAAAGGGCCCCAGGGCCTCACTCTCTAATTATTTACCTAAAGAGAAAGTTTCCTGCACAACTTCACGTTACGCTCTTTCCAATGACTTCAAAAACATGTCAATCGGTTCAGTAGTTTTGGAGGAGTAATTGTCACAAAAATCCTGCTTGCGTATTAAATAAGTATAGATTATTAGATTTTGTTATCCGAGATATATCTTCATCAACAAGCTCGTATAGCAAATAACTCATATCTTATAGTACAAAAATGCTTCATACATTTTCTTCGATTTTATGGTTGTTTATCTTTTAGTACACGCTAGTAATCCTTAATAATGACCCTAATCTAATATTAGTATTTTCACTTGATGATTCTTTCTATCATATTGAATTTCTGTAAATATGAATAGCCATTGACTTTTTACATAATTAAATGGAATACAAAGTTATCATGTTCGTACTTAAATATATTTAAAGTTGTCTGCAGTTTTTCATGAAATGAGTTGGCAATCTTGTTCCATGTTCAACTTCAAGTCCACTTGGAGTCAAGCCCAGAGATGTTCAAATTTATTTGAAACTCAAACGGAGTTAACGATTTTCCCGTTGTGCATTTGCATTGTACACACCAGACACCTGCTTCAGCAATCCCTCCAATTTTAGTTCTTTTGTTCAACCTAAGTTACCCTTGATTATAACTTGTTAAACCTTTTACTTTGTGAAGTCTAATGTAGTTTCTATTAATCATACATAAAATACACATTTTTATCGGAAAATCCGCCTTAGTTTTGAAATTTCCTTTCCATACAAATTAAGATTACAAAAGTGCCTGGTTCATTCCTGTTTTCAACGTTAGTTTTCATCTCTAAGAAACATGTCGTCTAATCAAGAGGACACACCGATTCCAGATATTATTATAGACAAGAATGCTAAGAAAAGGTACATTAAAGGACGATTTTTCGGAAAGGTAAGTTTCTCAACTTTCTACTGAAGATGTTCACAAATGTCTTCCTAGCATGGTGTGAACGAAATGGTAGGCTATAGGCCTAGTTGATTTTTGTAGTGGCTGAGAATTTACAAATTTATAACTCTAAGTTATATCGTTAAGTAAATAAAGCCTAACATACTAATATATTAACATACTAATTTTCTTATTTATGAATTAGGCATAGGCCTAAGTTAGGCCTACTTGATGTCTCCTTTTTAGACTACCGTAGGGCTATTAAGTAAAAAGTTGGATGGATTTTGTACTAGACCAAACTAGGCCTAGGCTATACAAATCAATAACTGTAAAACAAGATAACCTGAGTTAATTAATTGGCGTGACTTTTTGGAAAGGACACAAACACTTGTTGGCAGTAGGTTAAAAAGTGTTACCGGTACCAGTTTGATAGAAAGCAAAGGATAGGAATGAAGAGTGTTACTTTAAGCCGACAGCGAGGTAGATCCAGGTCGCAAGCTCTGTGAGTCCCATTTAACTTGGTTGTGCTGCATGCTTCTAGTTGAGTTTTGGGGTTTAAGTTACGGTTCTGCAGAGAACCTACAATGTATTAAGTTTCTAAGGGTAGGCTATCGGATGTTAACTTACTTAAGTATGCGATGTTGTTTTCATAGCCTAGCCTAATACCGATACCACCCAGTTAGGTATAATAGGCTATTTAAGTAAGGCTACGATTGAATGAACATAACTTAACTCAGGCCTATTAAACCTAACATATAATAAAGGCCTTTATAAGCCTAACATGTTTTTATTTATTTATTTATTTGCCAACCGATTTACACAAATTTTACAGTTTGATTGAGTTGTAAATTGCTCATTATGACTTGATAGCCCATAGGCTACTTACCTGATACTTGATAACTTACTTGATACTTGTGTGCTGTATCATTGACCGACAATGTCGGATAGACTGCGTTATTATATATACATTTAAAAATAAACACTACTATTTACATACATATAAACTTAATCAGGCTGTGGCGGTAAGTAAAACGTGTTCCCCATTTTTAAGGAAGGGCTTTTATATAACTTTTCTAGGGGCTCTTCACTCAGCTCCTCCAGCGAGTACAGTGGCCTATCTACCAAGCTATTTCTGATGGCTGCTTTGAAATAGTTGATGTTCATATCCCGCACCTTTTCCGGCAAGGTATTAAAAAGCCTTATGGCATAGCGAGGATAGCTCTTGAGGGTGCGGGTGAGACGACATCGCGGCATGTCAAGGTGTAGTGCTTGCCGGATGTCATAGCGGTGATGAACTTCTCTTCGGTCAAACAGATGGACATTCCCTTTCAGAAGTATTAGGATGTTCAATACTTATTGACTGAAGACTGTAAGAATGCCCAGATCTTTAAAAAGGGGCCTACAATGTCCGTTGTAGTCGGCTGACATTATGATTCTTACACATACATAGGCTACATAATAACAATGAAAGGAATGTCAAAAGTAACAATAAGAGTAAAGTAGGATGTAGGCTATAGTATCCTATACATGTGAATAACTTGGACAAAGAAAGAACTGAGTAACGATAAGCAAATAGGCCTACATGTTTAGTTAGGGTCTCTTTCAGATGAATATTTTACACTGTTCCATAGCAATTAGGAAGGTAGGTGTAGTTCAGTTTGGATTACAATTTAGGTAGCCTACAAGTTATGTTTACAATAATAACAAACAAGGTTAAATTATAGAAACAAGTTAGGCCTACTTTGATGTTGTGTAATTTGTCAAAGAGAGTAGGTACCGGTACTTAAATCTACAAAGTGTCATTTTGTTTTTGTGTATTTTTTTACATGAGTTTATAAAATGGTGCAATTTTGTAAATTATAAGTTAAGGGCCTATTGTGCTTTATCATAAACTAAACTGATTGCTAACCTTACCTAATAAGATAGAATCAATAAAAAAACATTAGTTAGTAGCCTAAAATATTTTCAAATGCAAATTTTATCCAATAATATATTGTAGACTCTGTGGAACTGTTAGTACCCGAGTCTTGTTTTTTGTTCCCTCAAGGGAATAAGGTAGCCTAGGCCTAACTTAGGATCAAAATTCATGTTTTCGGCCCCTGGACTATATTGTTAAGAAAGACAATAGGCCTAATAGTATTTTTACATAGGCCTACCTCCGTCAAATAGTCCAATAAATGATTTTGCTCAACAGCTTAGCCTACCGCTACATGTTTTGTTGCGAAGACAACATTTTCAAAGCTTGCAGCTCGTCAAAAACATATTTAAAACACAGGAAACATTAATACAGTACGAATACACGATAGACATTTTGATAGCGCTATCATAAGACTAATTTGGTCCGGCGCGGGGTTGGTACCGTAGCAGACTCAAAGTTTATTAACCATAAAATATGAGTCTACTGCCAACCCTGCGCCGCGCCGGACCTAATCAGTATTATGATGGCGCTATCTAAATGTCTATCATGTATTCGTACCGTGTTTTAAATGTATTTTTGACGAGTTGCAAGCTTTGAAAATGTTGTCTTCGCAACGAAACATGTAAGCTATTGAGCAATATCACTTATTGGACTATTTGACGGAGGTATGTAAAAATACTATTATTGTCTTCACAATATAGTCCAATAAAGGAGGTACTTAATGTAAAAAACCTATTATTGTCCTAACTTATAATTTTAACCCCCCGAGTGTCATGCGTCGCTGCAGCGACGCGTAACACGCTTTTTGTAGTGAGTGTCATGCGTCGCTGCAGCGACTCACGAACACTGTTTACGGCAAAGGCTCTATGACTGACTGAATCGGATTGAACTGGATCGAGTTAGGTATTGTTCTTTTCCTTAAATCTGCCCTACTTCAAACTATGCTCTTTTAAATTAAAATCACTATAAAATTCCCTTGTCACTATTTCTATAAGCTTCTACTCAAAACGCAAGTGTCCCTTGGAGAATTCCAAAAATTACTAAGAATTGAAATACGAGGATAACTATCTAAAATTTTGTGGTCTTACTTATTTTTTGAAGTGGAATACAAAAATAACATTTTTATAGACCTAAAAAGTCAATTTTGGGGAGTTAGGGGGGGGGGGCGTACACTTGCCATGTGTTAAAACCTGTTTGGGGCATGTAGATTTTCCCGTGATGCACACGAGCTGAGAAAAAAGGTTTTAAAGAAACATTCTTGCCTATTAATACAGGGCTAGGCAAAAGTCTGGAACCCCCCAGTTAACTTTTTAACGCGTTGCAGTAGGAAAACCAAAGTCGGCACATATTTACAACATAAGAAATTGCACTTTTTCATCAAAGTTACAACTTTGCTCCAGCCCCCAAAATGGGGTATTTTGGAGGCAGCCCCAAATTTTCAAATGTAAACACCTATCATGTGAACCCTCATTTTAAAGAAAGGGGTTATCAAGAGAAATTGAATGGCGCAAACCAGAGGTCAATATCGCCCTAATCAAAATGGCGGCCATTTTAATTATTTAAGATGAACAAGCAAGATAAAGTCTGGACACCCCCAGTTAACTTTAAAAAATTAATATTTAAATACTGACCAAAAGGTGAATTCTCTTTTTCCATAAAGTTATGCTGAGTTTAGTTTTCCTGCTATAGGCCTAACCTGTTAAAAAGTTAATAGGGGATATTTCAAAATGATTGCCATTTTGATTAGGGGTGCAGTATTGACCTCTAGTTTGCACCATTTAATTTGTCTTGAGAAACCCTTACAAATGAGGGGTCACATGATAGGTGTTTACATTTGAAAATTTGGGGCTGCCCCCAAAATATCCCATTTTGGGGGCCGGGTATAAGTTCTAACTTTAAAGAAAAAGTGCATTTTTTATGTTGTAAACATGTGCCGAGTTTGGTTTTCCCACTACCACACGTTATCGTCCAATTTCTAATGTTGGAAATATGTGCCGAGTTTGGTTTTTCTACCGCAATGCGTTAAAAATTTAACTGGGGGGTTCCAGACTTTTGCCTAACCCTGTATAAAGAGAAGATTCAGCTACACACTGCACATGATACACTTGAATATGGAGTAATTAAAAAATGTTTAGTAAAATTGTTGACAGTTACTTAGTAGTTGTTCATAGTCATAGTCTGAGAATTGAAGAAAATATCTATATACTAGACGTACTAAGGTGTTGCAAACTTTTATTCTTGGATTTTACTTACTCTTCATAATCAATTTTCGTGATATTTAATCCAAGTTTTATTAACCGACTTCCCCACTACCAACAAAGGAGGAGGTTCTCAATTTGTTTGTGGCGATGTTTTTTTTTTCTATGTATGTTCACCAATTTCTCTGTGATTCTTTTACCGATCAGTGTGGTTCCACCACCAAAACAACCAGGAGAATTTCTATTTGGTACCTTATATATATAATAATAATATTTGTATAATATTTGTTTCGGTGAAATATTCTGAAAACCTTAAATATTCAACATTTGTTTTGTTTACATTTGTGCAGATTGTTTACATTTGTGCAGAGAAGGCAATAAATAATAATAACATTCCTACAGCTGTTAGTTGAAACCATTTAAATGAAAATTCAGACAATTCTTCATAAAACATTTGCTTCATACTGATCAATAAACTATTTCTTGCCATGGAGAACACATTGAAAAAATTACATTGAGAAAAATGCATTTTGTTTTGGTTACTATAAAAAATGTATTTTAACGTTTGACCTGATTTGTGTATACAGTAATTCTGTTATTAGTATTGAATATTCTGACTTACAAAAACATATATATGTTTCAGTAATGTATCTAGAAAAGACAATTAGTTTTTCATTAGGCCTAATGTAATGGACAACTCTTTCCTTCTTAAGGAATATCTAAAAATGTTTATTTTCATACCCATTGATTATGTAACCTGAACAGGTGACTCAAGCAGTTTTAAAATAATGATTGTTCTGTGGAACTTTTGATTGTGTCAAACAGTTTTGCTTATCAAAAATCCTCAAGTAAATAATATATAAAAAATTATACAGTCACTAAAAATCATAAAATAATTTATTTTTGTAAAAAAATACAACCGACTTCAAACGCTCTAAAAAGAATGAAATAATTTCAATAAAGTAAACTTTTGTATTAGGCAAGCTCACGTATTTAAAGTCGGCGCGGCTCTATGATGATTTTTGATACAAAATTTAAAGAGGGTGTCCATATTGCAGGTGACTATCTATAACTAAAGGTGTTAATCTGTCTTTTTCATAGTTATGCGGTAGTGTTATTTTATTACCGTAATCAGAGATCGGCATTATAGTGGTATTAACGAGTATCGTTAAAAATATTTTAACGCATTTAAATGTTTCTAACTTGGAAAAGTAACGTTTTAATACTAAACTAGCTTCTTTTCCCTATCATAATATCAAACTAAATTATTTTCCTATTCATATAGAACATTTGTGTGTGTTATTTTCATAATGCATTTATTCTGAAGTAAACATAAAATACAAGAAAATATTTCCTTCAATATATAAACAAAACAGTTCAGTATGTTTTTTATATATTTATGTTATCCAGCTACAATTTATAGATTTTCAAAATATACACACAATATTTAATTTCAATCATATTGCAGTTTGAGCCGCGCCGACTTGAAATACGTGAGCTTGCCTAATACAAAAGTTTACTTTATTGAAATTATTTCATTCTTTTTAGAGCGTTTGAAGTCGGTTGTATTTTTTTACAAAAATAAATGATTTACTAAAAAATTAATTGTATGTGAAAAGATGATAACAAAATGTGTTGTAATTAAAAGTTTACGGTAAAAGAAGTTATGTTTGTTTGTTGAAACATTTTAAGCTAAATTTAACTTAATATTTATAGTTTAATATTATTAATTATAATTTTTAACATTTATATGTCTCAAAATCGTTAAAACTTGCAGTTAAGTTTGAAAAATAATAGGTAGGTATATCTTCTTCAAAGTTACAAATGTAATTTTTTGCACATTGATAGCCTATTTCACATTTTTTTTTATTTTTCACTTAACTTTTAAAAATGATTTGGGTTATTTTGAGTAGGGTAGTCCTAATTGATTGGTGTATTAGCCCTTTTTAGGTTCTCGACTGGTTTAAGTTTCCTTACCCATTTTCCTGCTTAGGCTAAGTTAAATGTAATTTGTGCCAAAAAGATCCATTGATGAGAGATGTTGTAAGTGACTTGTTGTGACACTACAATGGTATCTGGGAAACTCACCTTAGCAATGTAATGTATTGAGGAAGTGAAAGATATCTAAAATCGTCATGATGAATGATCTCATTTACAGATATCTAATTGACGATGATATGTAAATCTTGTGAAATGTTTTATTCAATGGCTTTTAGGCTGTCAGGCCTAATACAACAAAGTTGTTATTAATAACATGTTACTTTTAGGGAGGATTCGCTAAATGCTATGAAATTACTGAAGAAGGTAATGCGTCACACAAGTCATTTGCTGGAAAAATTGTTTCTAAAAAATTACTGGCAAAAAACAACCAAAAGGAAAAGATGGTCCAAGAAATTGAGATTCACAAGAGTTTGAAGCATAGGAACGTTGTTGGCTTCCACAGTTTTTTTGATGATGAAAATTTTGTTTACATTGTTCTGGAGCTGTGTAGAAAAAGATCAATGATGGAACTGCACAGGTAAGTCATATATTCTCCAGCTTAAAAATAAATGTGGGTAAAATATTTAACTGGGAAATTTAAGGGAAACAAACAGTAATTCAAAAAGTTTAACTGTGATTCAGTCGGTTACAAGAAAATAAGAGAACTTTCAGAACATATTCTTAAAAATCCACATGACTCGAAGTGCCCCTTCGATACCCCCCTTCAACCCCCCCCCACCCCGATAAACCCCCACATGTAGGAGATTGTTTCTTAAATTTTTTGTGCTATGTTCTGTTTGCAGACGGAGAAAGACCTTGACGGAGCCTGAGGTGCGATACTTCATGAAACAGATCCTGGAAGGTGTCTTGTACCTTCACAATCGGGGAATCATCCACAGGGATCTGAAACTAGGAAATCTCTTTATCAATGATGATGTAGAAGTGAAGATTGGGGACTTTGGTTTGGCAGCAAAAATTGAGTACTCAGGGCAACGTAAGAAGTAAGTGGCAGACTGAATGTTTTTTACAAGCGTTATTAGTAATTTGTCTAAAAACAATTTGTATCTGTTTAGAAGGAGCAAATAGTTGAAACTATGTATGGCCATAAACAATGTTTGTTTGGAGCAATTTTTGTAGGAGCCTATATTGGTGTAAAAATTCATTGTATACTTGAAAATTTAAAATTAGGCTACATAAAATACTAGGTAGGTTAGGTAGTCGTTATGTTATTACACCGATGTAAATTGAATTTAATCAGTTTCAAATTGACTAAAATTCTTAAATTTGTTCAAGAACTCTCTGCGGAACTCCCAACTACATTGCTCCAGAAATTCTCAACAAGAAGGGACACAGCTTCGAGGTTGATGTTTGGTCGATTGGATGTATCATGTGAGTTTTAAGACTAGCCTACTTAAAGAAACATTACGAGCAAAGTTCTAATTTGGACAAAAGACAAAAGAAAAAATCTTTAAGCTTAGTTACTGGTACAGTTAGTGTTTATATATTTTCGAATGAAATGATTCAACTGTTTCTCTTCAAATTTTTGATCTTTTTTAATAGGCACAGAAATATGTTTTATTTACTGTTTATACTTTTCACCCATTTTCCGTCTTACAGTTACAACCTAGAAACAGGTGTACTCATGAAACAAACAAAAAAATAGTTGTGATGGTCACTATATTATTTGGTTACAATAAGAAAAGATAATATGCAGAAAATAATGTACCCTAATTAAATATCAGTTGGAAGACTAAGTGAGCGTTATATAGTCTGAAACAAATTTATTATACAACATTTTGGGACATGTAAGATCAAGATTTCAAAATAAGAATAGCAAGACTTGGATGGTTTGCTCACAAATATTAAAGAATATTGTTTAAATCTCTGCCAGAGATAAGATTTGGTCGAAAGCAGCTGACAGCCCAAGAAACAAATGCTAAGTTATAAAAGAACACTTAGTGCTAGTGATGTGTCAAAACCGAATCTCAAATCTCAAAACCATCAAAACTTAGGAAAGGTTTCGGTTTCGAGATTCAATCACCAAGTTTCGAGATTCAAAAGTTTCGAAATTGAAGATTTTGACAGTTTTATTTTTGAAACTGAAACACAAAGAAATATTGACCACTAATGTTCTAATTAATCTAATATTCATGTTTATGTTGGTGTTAAGTTTAATTGTTTTTTTTTTTTTTTTTATTTGTTGTATTGGGTTTTAAGATTATCAGTCACATTCACATATTCATGTTATGTCACGGTCAGGAGTCTATCTCTTTCAGTTTTGATTACATACTTAATATTTTAGTATTATGTGTATTTTTTGTAACCTTGACCTTTGTAACCAGCTAAGTAAAAAACTTTCGCGTTTGGGCTTTGAGATTCGGGATTCGATTTTTTTAAGTTTTGGTTTCGGTTTTGTGATTCAAAATTTCTGGTTTTGACCATCACTACTTAGTGCTATAAAATTTTCCAGAAAGACGGGATGAAAGAAGTTTCTGCAATACTACTATGTTTTCACTGACTTTCCACAAATGGATTTAGTCTGAAAAACAGATGATTGCCGGCCGCTTTATCAAATAGGATTTCATTATGTACAACTGCACACTAAATTATTTTTGCCAGGCTGATTTTACATATTTTAGTTATTGAACACCTCATGTTTCATAAACATAAGTTGGCCTAATCATAAACATAACAAAAATTTACACTAAATTTAATCTAATTCTATAAATAAAAAATTACAACAAAAGTTTGATAAGTTACTTGTCTAATATTCTAACAGCAGCGAGGGGTTACAAAAATCAAATATATAAACAAACACATAACCTCTTAGAGAAGATGAGTAGGCTTAGTGATTGTCAAGTCGGTGTGAAACATTGCAGATGTTGCCTTTTTTGTTAGGGTAGTGTGCCAAGAATATCATATACGTCAATTTTCGTGTGTTCATTCACCAAAATGTGTTCATTCACCCTACTTGTATGGTAAACAGTAAACACCTATTTTCCGCACTAGTACGTAACTAGTGTACATGTTGCTTGAATTCGAGCAATTGCAAAGTATTACAGAAGTTATTTCAAAACGAATAACAGTCATATTTACAATGAGTTTCAAAGAGTCAACTCAAAGATTACTGGTGTGTAACTCAGACCATGTTTATCTTCGTTATTGATAAAACCTAAAGCAATCCGGCCGGTTTTCTCCTTCTCAAAATGCCTCGCTGAACAGGCAACACAGGTCATTGATAGAGGGCCAATTGAGAACGAAAAGTGGTTTTTGTGGTAGTGATAGGGAGCATTTGTAACCTAATAGTTGAGATTGTCCAGGGTCAGGTGCTGACTGTGTTGAGTTAAGCCTATTACGCGCTATTGTTCTGTAACTGCGGTCGTTATCATGATTACGCCTCCTGTCTATGTTTCGTTGTCGTCGCGTCGGGGGCATTTAAAAGAAAAAAAACAACAAATAAACTAATTATAGCTATACAAAACAACGATAAATGCACAAATTTAAGTTACAATCATGCTAACACGATCCGTCATAGCGACACAAAACAACGATAAATACACAAATTTAAGATTCAACCATACTAACACCATCCGTCTTGGGGGTTATGTTTACACAGACTCAAATAGTAAATAAATGTACTCAATGGGTTTCATTGAATTGAAGAATAAATAACAGCAATTAAATTATACAGCTGATCAACATGTAAGCAATTATGTTCTTCATAAGGATAACATGGGAACTTTCAAAGCCACTGGGGCAGAGCCCACGGGACTTTTTCAGAAATGTAAGGCCAGTTTGCAAATCTACGAGACACGCTCTTTCAAATGAGACGTCAATGGATAAAATCGGTTAACAAATGGCGGAGGAGTTCAACCGACAAAGTTTCATGTAGCGTATTAATTATATAGATATACTATATCAGTACACTCGGGGGTTATAGTTTTCTGCAATTGTCTATTGTCTATTGTATTTATTTCAGTATTGTGTAATTTTCCACCCAGTCATTTCTTAATAAACTTTCCCTCTTGACAGGTACACACTGTTGGTGGGCAAGCCGCCGTTTGAGACTTCAACACTGAAGGAGACGTACTCTCGTATCAAACGGTGTGAGTACCGACTGCCCAGTAACATCGCCAAACGTCCTGCTGGTGCTCTCATCAACGCAATGCTCCAGTCGGAACCCGATAAGCGTCCTACCATTAAACAGATTCTTGCTAGCGAGTTTATGGTTGAAGGTAAATCTAATGTAGCAATTGTTTGTTAGTGACTAAGCTTATCAAAACCGAACTAAGGACCAACTAAGTTAAGTTAACTAGGCCTAACTTAGTTAGTCAACTAAGTTTCAAAGTTTTATTTATGTATATTTACATTTTTTTACTTTTAAACGTTGAAGTTCCTTATCCTGATTATTTCTTCGTAATTTTATATTGAAATGTTCTCATCCGTGTTACTACTCTACTCTTGTTGCAGGTTTCTTACCCGAGCAGCTGCCAGCGTCATGTCTCACTATGGCACCTAGAAATGACACGTTATTCAAGAACATCGACAGTCCAAGCCGTAGACCTCTCAAAGAATTTAATAGTGAGTGGTACAGTTAGTGTAAAAGATTTATTTAATGTTCAAAGCTGAAAATCAAACCAAAACATCTGAACAAAAAGTACAAAAATTGTACGGTATTTAAAATTTGTGAAAACTAATTTTAAAAGTTTTTACTGTGTGGAAATGAATCTTTTTCTTGAAGTGGCCACATGTACTCGGACTGTACTTGGCCTCGTCGACACAGCCTAAAGTATGTTTGGCAGCATCCTCCGACCTCATTTAGCCCAAACTTCTTCATATCCCTCTGGACCTTAGCACAACTTCTGGATATACCGTAATCAGAATATGAAATAAATCAAGCAATAATGAATAGTGCTTTAACTCATTGAGTAATATAATTTTTATTTTAAAAATTGTTGGGGGAAAAATAGAAGAAAAATACTTTTCATTGAACATAATGTGAGTAACAAACACTTTTTACTTTCTCCCCCTATACCATAGTATATGGAGAAAGTATTGTTTTCCTTGTCAAAATTTTCGAGTTTGAGTTTTGAGTGGATATATTCGTTTTGGGCCCCCCCCGGACCCAAAAAAGTGGTTTTCGAAGTGATGTCTGTGTGTGTCTGTATGTCTGGATGTGTACAGAGCTAGGGACTACACCTGTGGTCCGATTTCGATGAAATTTGGTATGTAGGTTCTAATCCATAGTATCTCCAGGCATTTTTTTCATTTTTTGGGAAATTAGATTTTTAATGGGGATTTTCCCATAAAAATCCGGAAAAATCGGATTTTCTCAAAAATTCCCGAACGATTTTGATAAAAATTTAGTATGTTGTAGCCCTTCAAATTCTGAACAAAATAAATTATGTTATTTTCCCATAAATACCCCATAAAATAAAGAAAAATAGGATTTTAGAAAAAAAAATCCTGTTTTATTTTAACATAGTATGTTATGCTCCTTAAAGTATTGATAGTTTTTTTGAATTTAAAAAAAAATTAATTTTTAATGGGAGTTTTCTCATAAAACCCCATAAAAAACGGGAAAATAGGATTTTCCCAAAAACGGCCCGAACGATTTTGATAAAAATTTTATATGTTATAGTCCTTTATATTCTGAACAAAATGGTACAAATCCCATTTATGTAAAAATTATGGTTCAAAAGTTATTGTAAATTATGTTATTTTCTCATAAAAACCCCATAAAATAACGGAAAAATCGGATTTTCACAAAAATGGCCCGAACGATTTTGATAAAAATTTAGTATGTAGTCCTTTAAATTCTGAACAAAATTATACTAATCCCATTTCCGTATATTTACTCTCACCGCTTACACATGATAAAGGTTGTTGACAAACTTATGGGAGAAAGTATGTGTCAGAATGCTGATACTGTTTATTTTTCTTTTTAAAGTTTAATATTTTAGTAAATTTTTATTATGTGCAGCTGATTTGGAGACTTGTGTCCAACTTCATTATAAAAAAAGCTTAGGCATATGCTCAACACTTAACTTATAAATTCCTTTTTTATGTTACAAATTGCTGATTGCATTGCTCTATATTTTGAAAACAGTTGTTAACCCTAGTCATTTGGAACTTTGGCAAAAGTAATTGCTGTGTAAGTGTTTTTGTTTTCATGATCTATGACAATTAATTATGATTTGTAGTAGTGATGGTAAGTTGTTTTATATTTACTCTGCTGTTAAAATTGTTCATTTTTGCCTCAAGCAACAAAAATTTACATGACAGATTAGAAAAAATACTTGGAGTCTGCGTTATATCAAAGCCCCACTAGAAAAACAGACCATGCTGCACTGCGGGCAGCGCAACACTACGTCACAGTGGTTGATAGTTGTTCTAAAGTTGTTAAAAGCCAGCCTACCTAAAACATGGGATATGGCAATGAATCTATCCACAAGTGTGACGTCATGGATCCTGCAGCATGGCCTGTTTTTCTAGCGGGGCCTTGGTTATAAGCGGCTATGTCCTGATAAATGCGCGGTTTCACGTACACACAACTTATAAATCAAATCAAATCATTCTTTATTTGTAGTTTCATTAAGTAAATACAATGGCGTCATACAAAAATATAACTTAAAACTAGTACAAGAATTTTTTTTTGTGCTTAACAATATGATGAGTAGGGGTGTGCGAAGCAGCAAAAAATTTTCGATTCGAAGCAACGATTCGATTCAAAAGATTTTCGATTCGATTCGATGCAACTCGATTCGAAGCAATACGGTATTTTTCTATTCATAATTGTCAATTGAGTGGATTAACAATAATTAAAATGTATCACATTTGTGTAATACAAATTTTTGTTGATGTGGTATTAGGCCTATTTCATACTTAACATATGAATTTTAGGTGAAAAAATATTTATTTTCAATCATATGTATTAGAATAACTGCTGGAAATACCAGTGAGCTGCTTTACTTGCCTATTTCATAATTTTTACTTGAATTGGCTCAACTGCAAGAAAGAAGAAAATATTTTTTTTATCAAGACATTCATTCTCATTTTAATAACTGTTTAAATAACTAAATAGGTGCCGGTAGCTAAATTACAACAAATTTGAATGGAACTTAATATAAAAAGACCATTAAGAAATAAATTTACATATCACAAGTTTAGGGCCTGTGGACCGGCTTCAGGACTGCAAGCAAGAAGAAAATAAAAATAATATGTTTCCACCATGCAATATGTATCATTCATTCCCTGCCTCCTAACCTCCTTAGTATAATAACCTCACACTTACATTATTTGTTACATCATAATAAATAAAGAATTATTATTGGCATCAGTAGGCGTACAGCTTTACCTAGACATTATTTTTATAGGGCCTAAAATAGTAATAGGCTAGAAGCAACATGTCAAGTGGAGAACTCATTGAAGAAAAGATATTGTGTAAACTAATTTCCTATAAAACTAAAAAACAGTAAATAACATACAAACATTGTTTATGGTATAATTAAAAAGGACTAAAAAATGCATATCATGTCATACAGTAGTATAGACCTACTGCAAGAGATTAAAATCCTAAAACAACTGATTTTGATAGCTAATGAATGAAAAGAATTAAAAATCCATAAAATAAAGCCAAACAATATCACAACTAATTAGGTACCCGAAAAGTAACTCTTAAATAATATATAGAAGATTAAAATAATATTAAATCAAGAGACAAGAAAGTTAAATGCTATCTTCTAGCCTAGTACCCTTGGCAACACAGGTCAATGTTTTTAAACTACCCTCAATGTTTTTGGAACAGCAGGGCCTTTTTCTCTTAAGGAAGGGTAGTAGTATGTCAACAAAAACAATGAATCAGTCTCACCAGCCAGGCCCGGGCAACGATGTGTGAATTCAAGGTCATAGACCCTCCCCCTCCCCTCTTACACCACCCGGTTGCTACCCAGTTGCTTCAATTGCAGACAAAATGCAAGTGATGAAACAAGGGAGTAGAGACAAAGAAATATATTTCTTTATTCAAAGACACAAAACTGTTAGAGATTATTTTCAAAGAAATTAATTCAATTTAATTTGTGAGTTGTAAATATTGTATTGGATCTTAGAAATATATTTTTTTAACCCCATCTAACCAAGATACAGATCTGTTCACTATATCAGATATTTCTTTTGTTTATAATTTATTATGTAAAATAATAAAATATATTTTTAATTAGGTATTGAATAAACAATAAATGATTATACTAGTATGTCTGGATAAATAGTCTTTCTATTCTTTTGACTTTGTTTTCTTTGCACTGTTAGTGTTGCGTCACGGCTTTTGCTTGTTACTCTTATCAGTAGACGACTAGACCTGGCTCTGGCTAGAGGCAGTGCGGCAATTGCTCTGTTGTGTCTTTATTCTTAAAGGTCGTGAGCCAACTTAATTTTTAATTCTCATTTGAACATTTTAATTCTTCTGTAATAATAGATATAATAATATAAGAGTGTTTCTTTGGAAATAAATTATTCTTTTTTTTTCTTTTGCCCCAACAAAAATTCGGGGACGGGGACCAGCAGACACCTAACAAAAATACCAAATGAATCAGTCTATAACATTAATCTTACTAGTTAAGTATTAGGTAACAATTTTTCAGACTTATTTTTAAAATGATTTTGGAGTAACCTACCTTGTTTTGGCTAGGTTCACAGTAGTAAAATATTTCACACACTGCTTACATCAAGACAAAAAACAAACCTCTAATCATTTGCAATGTCAAAACAAAAAAATATAAAACAATTAAAGCTATATTTAATGCAAAGAATGTATTAAATAAGAACGCCTTCGTAAAGGAAACGCAACAGCAACGCGCTCCTGTATTGCGGGTATTGCATTGACTTTCTGCAGGCGTTTTTCGTATATGGATACTGACTCCCTCGTGAATCGAATCGTTTTTTGACCACCACTGAATCGAATCGCGATTCGATGCATCGAATCGAATCGAATCGAAATTTCGATGCATTTTCGATGCATCGCACACCCCTAATGATGAGGAATTTAGTGCATGCTATTGATTCAGATAGGATTCGAGGAATTCCTTCATGGAGTAAGCAGGTCTGTCTATCAGCCACTTGTGAAGCTGTGTTTTCAGCGGTTTTCCCTTATAAAAACTACGTTGAGAAAAAGAAAATTAACTAAGGGGAAGCAGGATGGGTCTATTTAGTGCTCCCTAATCTCGGTGTTATGTCTTCTCCTCCATACTCCATCCTCAAGCGCCGGGCCAAATACCCTTCTAAGGACTTTGTTTTCAAATGTTATTATTTTCTGATCTGTCTTTTTGCTTATTAGTCATTACCCACGCTTCTGATCCATATAGTATAACTGGTCTAAATATTGGTTTTTGTAAATACGTAATTTGGTGTTGTGTGATAGTAATTTTGAGCTAAACAATTTGTTACATACATAAAGGGCTCGGTTAGCTGAATTTAACCTGCTAATTGTTTCTAATTCTTTATTGTTATTGTCTGAATTAGGAGTGTGGCCTATTTTATTGTTAATATCACAATTTATACACAAGCTCAAGCAAAAAGATCACCACTAACATTGATAAAACAAAAATAATATTCTGAACTGAAATGGGGTGACATAATACTAATTCTGGAGGAACGTACAATGCAATTCCAATTTCATATTGATATTTACTAAAAGAAAATAATCACTAGGCCAATAAAAAAAAAACCAATACTGTATCCTTGTTTATGTTTCAAGTGCCAGGAGTTTAATTTATTTTAGGGATGGTCAAGTCTCGAAATTTCGGGAAATTTTCGGGAAATTTTAAATCTCGTTACACGAGACGAGATTTCTTTTTGGCCGAGATTTTTATCGAGACGAGAATAAAAAAAAAATTAAAAACGCCTGCAGAAAGTCAATGCAATACCCGCAATACAGGAGCGTGTTGTAGTTGCGTTTCCTTTGCGAAGGCGTTCTTATTTAATTAATTCTTTAAATGTAAATATTACTTTAATTATTTTATAATAATATTACTTTAATAACATTTGAGAAGTTTTGTTAAGTGTAAGCAGTGTGAGGAATGATTTATTACTATAAAAATTTTTGTATTATTTTTGTATTTAAACAATTTTACAAAATCAGGTAAAAATTTTGAACGTGCATTTCCCGTTGTGTATGAGAAGGGAAATCCCGTCTCGAAATTTTATGAGAAATAAAAAATCTCGTCTCGTCTCGAACTAAAAATCCAATCTCGTCTATCCCTAATTTATTTGAGTGTTTGTTGTTTATTTAAAACATAATTTTTGGGGTTTCAAAGTATATAAGTCGCATATTTTTATTTTCTATATTTTTTTCTGGAGTCAATTTATTTAAGTTTTTATTTGATTGCATACCTAATACAGTAATCATTTCATTAATTTTGTAGTTATTTGTATCCTAAGTTTTAAAATCCCTGGTTTTGACCATCAATATGGCCTACTCAAACTATTGACTTAAATATTGACACAGAGTTTCTTTACAAAATAAACGGGTTCATTTGTGATTGCAGGAGCTAATTAAGTTTGCTAAACAACTAGGCCTAATCTGAACTATTGGAGTACCTAGCCCAAATAGGGTTCGGTGCCAAGAAAGGGTATGTGAAATAGAAAAATACAATTTTCTTATGCAACCAAGTACCAGGCGTAAAAGTAATGCTGATGCATATTTAATTGTAACTATATTTCTATTTAATTTGAAAAGTTTTAGAATAATGGAAATTAATTTAACTGGCAACAGTGCTGTTGTCAGTTACTGATTCATATCAAATACACAGACTTTTAACCTAAACTGAACAGACAACTTATTGTACACTTCCTATGTTGTATTGTTTATATAGTCTATCACACAAACGATCACAGTAACAATAATTAAGGAAGAAGTGAATTAACTGAAGCACATTCTATGTTTTTATAACAATTACAGCTGGACCATATAGAAGGGATTCCTTCTTCAGTATCCACTGATCAATGGTGTTACTCAAACGTAGTAACGAGCTGGCTCCAGATTGAGTGTAGTTCTAATAATTTATTTTTGCAGATGAGCATAGTCCGGTGCCGAAGGTGAATGCATGGACGGCCAACACTGTCAAGCTGCCAGGAGTGACACTGACAGCAGTGAGTGGACTGGTGCCCAAAAGCCGGCCGGGAGTCAGACAGAGTCTACCGGCCGCGGGCAGTGTGCCCATCATGCCCAACAAGACTACAGAGGAGTGCTCCGCTCATCTGCGCTCTCTGGCCCAACAACTGCAGACTCTATTGTCCGCACACCGACCCTCCGAGGCTAAGAGGCAACCTGTGTCACTCTCCAACCTTGGTAAGTAGTAGGCCTACCCTGTGCCTGTGATCGATTTAGATTTAGTAATAATAGCCATGAATTGAGCTATTGACATCGTACAGATGTTAATTAAGTTATTACCGATTTCTGTAGAAGAGTTAAGCCTTAGCATTTTTCTTGTCACACAACTATCAGTAGGAAGTAGGTATATTAAAAACCAAGGAAGCAAATAGAATTTTGACAGTTGCATGCTCTATTTTTGCAGTTCATTCAACTAGTGTATGTTAATTATTTGTGACAATGTTTACTTTATAAATTCCTTACTGTTATGTTTTTATGTGTTTGTTTTCACAAATTGTTAAAATAAGTCTCTGTTGGCTATCTGTACCAGTACTGACTATTATTTCCATTGACAGAGGAGTTGACCGACCCAGCGGCTCAGCCGTTCGTCTGGATCAGCAAGTGGGTGGACTATAGTGACAAGTATGGCTTCGGCTATCAGTTGTGTGACGATGGTGTCGGGGTCATGTTCAATGATCAGACTCGCATCGTACTGTTGCCCAATCAGACGTAAGTGTGTTGTCACCCATAGAATGTAGCACTACTATGCAAGTAATAGAATTTTCAGAAGAGTCTAGTATCAAGTCAAGTGTCAAACTGGTTCAATGCTTTTTAATATTTCATCAAATTTTCAATAAATGATTGTGGTGAATTCTTGACACAGTCGACTTTCATTAACACTACCTACATTTATTTCACTAGAATTAGTTATTCTAAACATATCAAAGAGTTAACATTTTGATACAGTTTTAACAATTATTTTTCATTGAAAAGCATCAAAACATAAGTCAAGAGGATTATTTGGTGTAAGCAGATTAATTGTGTACAATAAAAGTCATAGAACGGTAGTAATGTAAATATATCAATAATTTATTTATAGGATAAAACTATATTAATAATTAACCTGTAAAATTACTCAACAAAAGTTAAAAAACCCCATGGTTAGTGCATCCCAAGTATTGTGCAGGCCTATAAATCTTACTAACAACAACTCACAAAAACGTTACAGTAAAAATGTAAAATGAATTAAAAAAATTTGTGTAACATATTAGCCTAGATCACCCCTCTATACATTCTTCGAAATTAACATCTTTCTTATGGTCTCAAGACAAACATTCATATCATTCTTACGTTTAACCCTACATCATGTGCCAAGGGGAAGTTTCCTTTGTGTAATAGACCTTTTTTAATAAAAAATTGTTTGAAGTTCATTTTAGTTACTTTTTATTTACAAACTGTTGTGTGTGATTTCTGACTTCTTTGCTTTTCTGACATTACCGCAGTTGGCCAAGGTAGAATAGTCGAGACTCCTTTTTATTACAATACGTCAAAGTGGGCAATATCAAAATGGATTGAAACCAACAAGATAATTGGGAAATATTGTCAGTTTGAAAATCCAAAATCCACTTGTTTAGGGACGTTCACTACATTGAGCGCACTGGTGAAGAGTTTTACTACACGATGAACGCGACTCCTCCGGAGATAGAGAAGAAGATGAAGCTGTTGTCGTACTTCCGACGTTACATGACGGACCATCTAATCAAGGCTGGGGCGTCGCACGCGAGACAAGAGTGTGACAGACTGACTAGGGTTCCCTACATGCAGTGCTGGAAACGGTCCAGCAGTGCAGTAACCATGCAGCTCACCAACGGAACAATACAGGTGTGTACAACAGGTCTGCAAATCCAATAGTCGATAGTCAAAATGTCTTTATTCATTTTTTTGTACAATTATTTGCATGAATACTGTCAAATTTGGGATTACAGTTAATAAATTACATGGCACTAATTTTCAAATCACATTATTAACACTTCATCACATAAGCCTATTATATACAAAATTGTTTTTTAACTATGACTCTATTCGTAAACTGTATATTTAAACTATAAATTTGTCAGGTCAACTTCATGGACCACACAAAGGTGATCGTGTGTCCACTCATGTCCGCCGTGACTATCATAGACGACAAGAAAAACTTCCGCACATTCCGGCTAAGCACGCTAGAAGCGTACATTTCTCAGCCACAGTTCCAACGAGTCGCTGAGTGTCTTCATTACGTGTACAAGAAGATTCCAGAACTGATGTCCCCTCAAAACTGATTGGAGGGCTTTGCTCACTTTTCTCTTCCAAAGCCTTTCAAGGTAGGTTGATATTTTTACTTAATTTTGCTCAGCTTCTCCCAAGAATTTTTATATGATCAGGGATAGTTTTATGGAAAGCTAAACATGAAAATGTTAGTTTTTGCTAATTAAGCTATCCATTCGATTGCAGTTGCAACTAGTTTCGGATCCTATTTGGATCCATCATCACAAAAGGATGTTTCCTTACTTCATATGAAGAGCGTCACATTTTTAACACATAAATAAACTAACATTTACACAAAACGATACGAACACAGAAGAAAACATTTATGGTAACTGATCAGTTATAACAGACTATGCTAACCCGGCAGTGTTCAGTGTGTTGAGTCCAAACTCAACTCTGGACTCAAATACCGCCGGGTTATCATTCTGTTTACAAACTTGTTATTTGTATTTTACGTAAATTCAATATATTTTTCAAAAGCTCAGCTCGGCCTCGGTTTGATTGAAAATCTCAGACTTGCACACCTCTATGATTACCATACGACTGTCACATTTTCTACTTTCAAATAATAACTTTTACGCTAATGCTATAGTAAGCTGTCAAATATCAATAAGTTTTGTTTTGTTTATTGTTGGAATAGTAAATTATTAGTTTAATATTCACTTGTAATCTTCGTCAATAACTGCTCCAATTTAAAGAAAAAATTGCCTTCTGAAGAAAAGAAACTAAGATTAGATTTACTACAAACCAGTATCTCATTTCATCCTATTGTTATCTACTAAACAAATTATATTTTACTCTACATAATATGTTAATATTATTAACATTAAATTTCATTAAAAGAAGTTTTTGTTAGGCCTAATTAACTTAAAAAAAAGCTCAGCTCGGAAAAAGCTTAAGCTTGATTGTAAATCTCAGGCTCACTCACTTCTACTCAAATGTAAGAGTTGGATTATGTAGAGTCAAATGTATAATATTTACATCCATATGGAATGTGACGAATAATACTAAAGCAAAGCAGAGCAATGTACTTGTTCTTACATTACAAATTTTGTTCACTGACCCTGAAACAGCAACCGTAAAGACATAAAACTTCCAACCAAATTCCAGCAACCGTAAAGACAGTGATGAGTCAGATTAGTGTTGGGTAACCGAGTATGTCGGACTATTCTGTTTACGCTTTATATCTGTTTACGTTTGTCCTTTTTAATGTCTCCTCCAATACATAGTATATGAAGAAAGGTAGGCCCATTGTTTTTGTCAAAACTTTCTAGTTCAAATTTTTGGCTGTAAATATTCACTAAGGATCCCCCTTTGAACCCAAAAAGTGTTCAAAGTGTATGTATGTGTACGAGCTATAGACTACTCCTATGGTCCTAATTTGAAGAAATTTTGTATGTAGGTATTTAGTCAGATAGTACCTCCAGAGCGTTTTTAATTTTTTAATTTTGATACTTTTTTGTGATATTCCAATAAAACTGTAATTCATTTTACAATAACAGCCGATTTTACATTTAGAATTTCGTGGTCCTTTTAACCCTTAACAAAAGTGGTACAACCCTCAATGCTGTAAATAGGCCTAACAGTTCAAAAGTTATTGCAATTTTTGTGATTTTGTTTCATAAAATTTCATAAAAAGTGGGCCACTTGTGTAGTTGATGGCTCTGTACAGGTACAGTAGCTCATGGGAGATGTTTCTATCAGTTGGCTGGTACCGTTTACTTTACATTTATAGTATTTTTGTTTGTTACAGGTTCAAACCTGTCTGTAGAATGAGACGTAGCTCGCCATTTTGAGTATATATTAATATTTATATTGTAATAGAGATTATTTTTTTAATGTTCAGTATTCTATGTTTTATCGTATTGTCTAAGTTGGAGTTTTATATTATATAAAATATTTATTAATGAATTCATTTAAAAGGTGTACTGTTCTTAAAAATCCTACTCTACTATGTATTTTATCAGAAAGTTTAAAATTCTCCGTATTTAAAAGCAGATTTTTATAAATTTGTTCAAATGTGATTTTTAAATTTCAGTGAACTTAATTTTTGTTGACAGTTCACATATTGTCATCAAACAACAGAACAAACTTAATCTACAAAGTTTCTGCTACGTTCTTAAAACCTTCACTAATAAACACAAACTAAGTAGGCTAGTTAAAATTTGTATATATTTAATTAATATTGATCTATTATTTGACAATGAATACTGGCAATTATTCTTAGTAAGATTTTGTATAGCCTAGTTTTAATAAAATTACTTGTATTCCTCTTTGTTGTTGTGTTAGTAAAATTTACTTATTGACTATTTGAATTAGAGTGTCCTAAAACCAGTCTGTTTCTCGTTTTTCTTCAACACTGTGATTATTACTGCTATTTTAACTATAAGTTTAGAATGTTTGGAACCGATGCAATAACTACATTCTAAAGTAGGGTACATTTGTTTTTGTCTGGATAGTAGTTCAATACTAGTTAAAATTATTGTGTTCATCTAATGAAATTAATTTAAATGAAATACCTTTAGTGCCATTTACCTTAAAAAAACTATAAATACACTGCATCAAAGTTTGAAATAAGGTTTGAATACGTATTAGAATGTTACTAACATATTGTATGTATAGTTGTCGGGAAACGTAAAATTATTTTGTAGTGGACTTTTTACTGTTCAGGGAATGAAGTCTTCATTCTATAAGTTCAAGACAAAGATCTCTAGGCCTCTTGAGGGCTGTTAACTTATTTACCATGGGTAAATGCTTTTAAAGTTACATGATGAAACGACAAACTTAAGCCTGTACACTTACACCTGGTACAGCATTGGTACACCTGGTACAGCTGTCAGCAACCTTTGCCCAAACTCCAAGTGACTCTTAATTCATTTGATGAATCCAGTGTCTGTTGCTAAAAAATCTATGTCCTCCATATTGTTAACCCTTTTTATTGTGTGTCAATAATGTTTTATTTGTAATTGTGTTGTGTATTGTTTTTGTGCTTTCAACTATCTTGAACACTTTCCTTATGTAAGTTAGTTTTGTATCTATTTCTTCTTCCTTAATGATATATCAATATTTGTATTTTGGAACCAAAATTTAAAATGGTAAAGTACGGTACTTTTACTGTACATATCACAACTTTAAAAATGAGTGTATTTTGTTTGAAGGATGGATGTGACAACTATAAAATAAGTTTTAAGTCCTTAAATCTGTACACCCATTCAAAGATCTGGTTAGTAAATTCGGTCTAAAACATAGATAAGTCAACTTACAAAGAGTGTTTCAGACTGGGTTTCAAATATTTTTTAAATCCAGACATTAAGGTAACGTAAGAACTACAGATTGTTTTTCGTCTTCTTCCATCCAATACGTGCCTGCCTGGTCAAAGTCAAAGTTGTTTCATATTTGATGCCTTTTAGCTATAAGATTGCACAATAACACAATGTGTTCAGATTCTGTTATAAAACTCGTTATTGAGTTGTTGAACTAAATAAATATTAGTTTATTGACATGTGATTCTTTTTCATCCTTTGCTAAATAGAAACAGTTTGTTTCTAGGTAAGATGTGTTTTTGGAGTGCAGGGCTTTTAAAGTGACAGCAAAGCAGCCAAGCACTCTTTGACACAGCTTATTCATGATGGTCTGGGACTGTCTAACAACAGTATTTGCTCTGGGCAGTGCAACATTATTCTTTGTTGGGTCCCTGGACCCTCAAGGATAGAAGGAATCGAGGTGACTGACTAGTTGGCAAAAATGTGGTTCCAGACTTTGGTTGGACCATGGCCTTTCTGTGGAATTTCTTGTAGGTAAGCATGTCATGGGCTCAACATTACTAAGTAGTGTCTAAAACAGTTTGTTGTCTTGTCTCCAACACTCTACACTAGTCAGGAGACAACTCAGATAGATGACGGGCTAGTTTCCATTTTTTCCCAACACCCACCAATTTTAACTTTTTCATACAACCACTTTTTCTACTTTTTACCATTTAACTCAAAGAGTTCAATTTATCAATAAATGTGTAGACTGCGGTATGTACTTACTCCTGTATATATAAGCCACAATTTTGAAATACTTGAATATTTTATTGAATTCTTCATATTAAATCGGTAATAGCATTGATTATATGGTAATAGCTACTTTTCTATAGGGAAATTCACTAAAACGAGGCGTAATAGGGTGATGGAGGCTGCATTAAATAATAAATAAGTTGTTTTTTACTCCCGATAAATACTTAAATATTAGAAAACTGACATTGCCTAAAATATGCCATGGTCAGGGAAAATAACAGAATAAGGTCAGGGAATACACTAAAGATTTTGTATGGGAACCCTGGATTAGTACTCAGAGGTATAAAAAATGACAGTTTATCCTGCAGCCTGGTAAATATTTATTGATCTAAATTCATAAAATTCTGTAAAATAGTTGAATAAAATGTATATCCTCTCCTGGTAGTCACTACTTGCTGTACAGGGCAGGGTAAGGCTTTTGACAGTTGGGTACTCTTGAGCGATCAACACACATATATTCAGTCTCAGAGAATCCTTGACCTTCAGGGCACGTCAAGTCTGTCATGTTGAAATCATTGTAGTACAAAGACGTTTTCGGGGAGCATTTGTAGTAGTTGGCACAATCATCGTCTTTGGGAAACAACCCAGCATGAGGACAGGTTGGAATACATTCTTGGTAGTTATAACTGAAAGTATAAGCTCCAATACATTTGTCAACTGTGGTCACTGTTCTGTTCAACCCGCAGTATATGTAATAATTGTAGCCTGGATACCCAAAGCCAAGTTTTGTTCCAGCATAGTAGCTTCGGCAATTTGCCGCTGTTAAATTCGCACAGTAGTAACTGTAGCTGACGCAGCTGTTGTATTCTACTAAATAGTAAGGGTAGGGCGACACACAAGCGTATTGGTATGCTACTTCGTCTTGACAATGATAGTAAATGGAGCAGTTGTAGGGGTCGGGAAAGAATCCGTTCCTCATGCATGTAAAGTTGTTGGAAACTGTAACATTGGGCAAATTGTAACATGCTGGGTCCACAATGCTGGAGCAAGTACCTGTGGTGAAGTTGCAGTAAGGCTGGTAAGAATCACACTTAAAGCGTTGAATCTCGTAAAGACCTTGACCGTCGGATGTAGGTGCACACACTCGGGCTGTGGTGCAGTCCAAACAAGAGTAGTCACTCTCACAGGATATGTTCACATTCTTAGGGGGGGTGTAAACAGAATGCTTCTGATGATGGTGTGATCTGCAGAGAGTTGAAGGGATCAAGACAACACAAAGCTGGAAACAGGAAAGTTGAATTACTAATAATGAATACTATACTGGTTCATGCTTTTGTATTCGTTTTGAAAAGGTCAAGTAGACGTCTTCTCATCCATGATTTGAAGCCTGTTTTGGAAGTACAGTAGAAACCCGGGTTAACTGAAACGGTTCCATAAAATAATACAGGGCTAAAATATAAGTAATATCAACGTATAAGTAACTTCAGTTATTTAGTTTAAAGTATTTTATACCCATTGTAACATTTCTGTAGCTCAAATAAAATAATGTATTATATAGATATTGTTTTAAATTTATATTCCAACTCACTGTGGTAATACATAGGCTATTTTTAGCATATGACAGGTTAACCAAAAATTAGTTATCCAAAACGGCTCTCCCCCCTTTATTTCGGTTAACCGGGGTTATACTGTATTTCATCTTGGTATTGTTAAGAGTGGGCTAATATCACCGACATGTTCCTAGTTGATTTCAGAGTACATCTTAAGGCTAGAAATTAAGTATGTACAATTTTTGGATTGAATTATTCATTTATTTACTTGTTCAATCAATATTGTTCTAGAGTACATGGTTCAACGGTCCTTGACATTAGGATTGAGGAATTGATTGTTTGCTTCTTGGCTGTGTTGAGTAACTGTGTTTCAAATTTCATCACAAACCATACAATATAAAATTACTGAAAAATTGTGTTTGTGAAAGTTCTAGTTTACTTTATATTTTCTATATAAATTATAATTAATGATAATGCCTTAAAACATCTAAATAATACATGGTGTCTGAAAAAATGCCAGAATTTTATAAGGTAATTGCTTCAAGCCTATTGAAGATAACTAAGGCATTTGTCAAATCAAAGTTAAAATAACTTATGTTTTGTTTCCTTGTATCAAGAGAGGAAATGTTTAACCTTGGCAAGTGCAAAACAGGTGTGCGGTAGCAGGCCGTTGTTGTGACTGACACGCCAGACTACGATGTTTATGGTATAACATCGTTAAATTAAATTAAATACACCCGATGACAAAGCAATTCGTTGCTCGTTTAATCAGTTTTGTGACACAGGAAGAGTTTTGAAAGGACATTCCTCTTGCCAGCCAAAAACAAGTTAAAGCAAAGTCGAAGAAAACCAACAATCCTGAATCAGAAGCCCGAGGAAGTCTTCAGTTAAACTTTTTTTTATACATAATTTGCCACCAGGATTGATTTATTGACATAAAATAAGTTCACTAACCTGACGTCAATCAGTCCTAAATTGTTGTGGATGGCTATAGTTTCGGGCTTAAAACTCCATTTTCAAATCTTCTCTTCAGTCGTCATATGTCAAACATATCTTCTTGCACTATCCGTCGTCAAAAATACTTCACACATAAAGAAACATTTATATTTACAAAATCATGTACAAGCGTGCGAGGCCGGCCAAGGACAAAACCAGAAGGCAGTGATTTTGTAAATATAAATGTTTCTTTATGTGTGAAGTATTTTTGACGACAGCTAGTGCAAGAAGATATGTTTGATATATGACGACTGAAGAGAAGATTTGAAAATGGGGTTTTAACCCCAAAACTATAGCCATCCACGACAATATAGGGCTGATTGATGACAGGTTAGTAACCTCATTTTAGTTCAGTTAAACATTCCTAATTCAACACGTCACAATGTTATTTGTAAAATATTGAGACTTAGTGCCTACAAAATTCAGTCAACACATCAACTTAAACCCACTGATCGCTCTAAGAGTACAAACTTTGTCAGTTTTATGTTCACATAAAGTCGATACCAATCAGAATTTCATTACATTTTTGAAATCCCTGCTTTCTTTTTGAACCCCGTATTTGCACTAGTTATCGCAAATAAAATGCAAAACTAACTAGCCTACGTATCTCAAAGATTTAACTTTCTTAACCTCATAGCCTTAGATAACGAAAGTGGATTCAACTCTGTAATAAACACTATGATGATAATTTTGATTCTGGAACAATTTATAACAAGACTAACCAGCAGTCATATGCTTACCGTCAGAGTAAAAAGCAGAACACCCATTGCGCTTTTAGACAACGGCCTGGCTCTTAAAGTTGTGTAAATGTTTGCCTTATTTAAAGGGCTGCAAATTGCTTTATCTCTTAAGTGAATTCCATTAAGTAAATAATCAGTTGTTGAGATTTTGCAATTGTATCTTTCTCAAACATCACAAGTGTAGTTTTAAAGGCACGGTCCATTATCATATTTTGACAAATCTTTCCTTAAGTGAATGGTATGAGTGGAGGAAAAGATTAGTTGTATTATATTTTTTTAACAATAATTACGCTATTTTTTTAACTCACATTTATTCTTTTGTATTTGTTGACCAATAGAAAAATTAAGCAATATTATGAAATGAAATGACGTAAAAACACAAAAGTGTGGAATATTGAGGTAATATACTCTAGCTAAGCAGCTTCATCGTTACTGACTGAGATTCTTTAGCCGAGACCATATTTTACTACAATCCCAATGATGACCTCGTAAACCATAGACTTCTCCTGAGCAAAATGAATGACATGGGGATTAGAGGCACAGCTCTCGACTGGTTTTTGTCCTACCTTGAAGAAGGTAGAAGCAGTATGTAACCTTACCTGCAGATGATGCCATGGGCCAATTTAGGAACCACGTCTTTTCTGAGGCAGTAGTGAGGATGGGTTTGTTCTGGGACCGATCCTCTTCCTTATGTTCATCATTAGTGTAAATGAGGCAAATGTATGCCTATTCGCAGACGACATTTCCCCTAGTGTGTCCAGACCAAGTATGGAGGAACTGGAACTTAATTGTCACCTTTATAGAATCAAACTCCCTTCTTCAGTAGGGTGAAGAAAATGACATCATCTTGAACACTCAAAAAACCCAAATCGTTCAATTTTCCATTTCCAACCGGTCAAAACGGCCCCACTGCTATGACTTGGAACATTCTTCCCAACAATACCACTATCTCTACTTTTTCAGAAATTCAGAAGTAAAATTCTTCGGTTTAGTTCTTGATTAAAACCTCAAATTCCACAGCCTCAGCAAGAAAGCCTCTTTCACACGAAGCGGCGCCGGACAAGCGTGTGTCTTCACTCTAGTACGGTTTCGTGCGGCGCGCGCCGTACGGTACTCCTAAATATTTATTATTTTCTGTTCAGTTGTGGCTTTATGAATGCTCCACTTATAAGTTCAAATTAAATGAATAGGATAATTTTAAATATAATAAACTAGTGCACATGTTTCTCGAATTTGAGCAATTGCAAAATATTAAAGGAGTTTTTTTACGAATAACTGTCACTATTTCCGTTGACGTGTGAGAGTCAACTCAGAGATAATGTAACCAACCACTCCACTCCAGTTATCGAAACTGGAAACGAACTCACTCTGAAAACGAACGCTCACTCCACTCCATCTATCGAAACTGAAAACAAAAACTCTTGTGTGTATCATGTGTGTACTATATGAACAGCTGTAATTAATACAAATTATTCGTCCGTTTAACTAAACAAAATCTTGTCTTCATAAGATATACATTGGGATTTTGATGGCCTGAGGGACAAAGCCCGAGGACTTTTACTACAGGAATTGGTGAAAACGCCCCCTTCACGTACACAACAAATACTTAATTTTGACACATCGTTTGTAAAAATCGGTTCATTATTAACGGAGGAGTAGTATTTCGTAGAAATCACCTTCACGTATTATATATAAGCATTCGTCATATCTGAAAATATTGTATTCTAGAAGTTAAAAAAATGTTTCATTACGTAAAAATTACTAAATTATTAATTTAATACTAAATATTCTCCTCTAGTTATTAAAGGAAAATTTTTGTTTTAATACTTTAAGTTGGTCGATTTACATTAGATTAACATAAAAATATATTTTTTGTAATAACTTTAAATATATTATTTTCCGATACAACGATATATCATTTCTTAATTAACTGTTGCACCCTCTTGGTCAGGGAGTTTGCCTAAAATGAGACAGCGTAGGGGTTGGGCCGTGCGGCGCGCGCCGCACCGTGTGAAAGCTCCCATAAGAACCAATGCACCTTCACCGAGTTGTCCGGCATGGACGCCGCGCGGCGCTGTCGTCCGGCTGAAGGTGCATCCGGCGGTAACTCGCGCACCGTGCGGTGAATTCGCCGCGCGCCGGACATTAGTGAAAACTTACTATCGATAGTCACACTATCGATAGTTCTCGATAGTTTTTTAAAAACTATCGATACTATCGATAGTACTATCGATAGTCACTCAAATGGAATTTTAATGCATATAATATTGTATATATCCTGCCTGCATGAGTTTAAACAATGGTTTCTACCTAGTCGAAGATAAAGCTGTATCAGAGTATTAATTTTAACAATTTATGAGTGACGCCCTGGAGCCCCCTTTATGTTTTTTTACAAAATATTACAACATTTGTATAAAATAACAATAAGTTTTTTTAAGGGTTACAACAATAAAAAAAGGAAAATTCTCTTACTATTTTCTTTTTATTATTCACTACAAAAATATTTTTTTACTCACATAGCATAAATAATATATATATATATATATATTATGACAATCTAAAACCATAGATCAGAGGAAAATACCGTATACTGGTGTCTACTTTGTATGCTAAAACCCACGAGGCAAATAAATGTACCCATAAGTCCGGTAGTGAATTAGCAAATGCCCCCGCTTTCAAATGTTTGAGAAGGTAGCCTACTTGTCTACCAAGCTTTTCTACAATGAATTAAAAAAAAATAGTCTATAATATTAACTATAGGTATGCATTAACAGACAAACAATGAAATGTAAGAGTACCAGATAATGATTTCTTTACTTAATTTAACGTAAAAAAAACTATCGATAGTCTCATCGATAGTATAATACTATCGACCCACTATCGATATTTTCAAACTATCGATACTATCGATAGTACTATCGATAGTAAGTTTTCACTACCGGACATAGTATGAAAGGACTCATATACTCCCATAGCCCTACGCCGGATCCGGCGGGCGCCGCACGGCGCGCGCCGCGTCGTGTGAAAGAGGCGAAAGTATCGGTGGGTATTCATGCTTAGACTTCTTAGCCAATCAGCCACCACTGATGTCCTGTTATAAGCAAATTATGAGCTTGTTTATCCTCATCTGACTTATGCTGTTCCTGCGTGGGTATGCGAAAGCAAAAGGACTCGATTTTGTTTAGGCTTCAGAGGAGGACAACCTGATTTGTGTTTTCTATTCCCAAACCAAAATCATGCAGAGCTTATTTCAGACCATTTACAATTTTAACCTCCCCATCTATTTATACCCTTGAAACTCTATCTTTCACCTTCTTTATTCAACTGAATTTTTACACAATTTTTGAAGGGATCTCAAACCTAGGCCTATACTTTGATGACATAATTTGCCAGGGTTCAACAATGGATGAGTGCAAAAGAAATCTACAGGCCTGTCTTCAAGGACTCTCAGACTTCGACTTACATATAAACAAACAGAAGTGTTATTTTTTTCAAGAACAGATAGAATGTATCTAGGACGAGTGGGAAAGCTCAATAAAATAAAGAAATCTCTTGTCAAAACTCAAGCTATTAAAGAAATGTCCCGAAAGTTGAAGAGTTACGACGATTCTTGGGAATGGTTTCCTACTACTCTCCAGATGCTTCAACTGTCACTTTTGCTTTACGACGTTAGTTACATACGCAAAATATAAGAAATGGGAATGGACACCAGAATGTGAAAAGGCTTTTCAACATATCAAAATTGAGCTCTGCAGTAACAGGATACTCTTACCTTTCGGTCCAAAACCATCATTAGTTCTCAACACGGATGCTTCACCTACTGGACTAGCTGCAGTTCTTAGCCACTTAATAGATGGAACCGAGACCATAATTGCTTATGCCTCACGTTCACTCACTGATACAGAATGTAATTATAGTCAACTATACCGGGAAGCATTGGCCTTGGTTTTCGGCGTCTCCCATTTCTATTACCATACGGGTCAAAAATAAAACCGTGACACACTATTGTACATCGGACCGATCTTCTTTTTGATCTTTCGCCAAAAAACCGCCTCCAGAGCGCTCATCTCCCTGCTCGGCCTGATGTCTGCATCGGTGTACCAGATCCCTTTGACCTCCCTTTCCCAGCTTGGTTCGGGGTCTTAATCGAGGAAAATGTCGATAGTGAGTCACCGTCTTCTTTTCAACGACTTCTTTTGTTCAGTAGCCAAGAATTTAAGAGAAGAAATTAATAGTGATAGAGATTGTTTTCATAATCAGTTTAATGAGCTTAAGTTGAGACTTATAACAAGCATCTCACTTCATTCTACACCCACTATTTTACCATTGTATGAATTTAATGATAGTTAATGATTTATTAAATATATGTTGTTTATTGTGGCCTTGGCAAGTGTTTCGCTTTGATGGATCTGCTATCTAAATGGAAAAAAATAAGTGCAATTTCCTTCTTAGATTGTCAGCCATTCGTATCAGTAGAAAGGTTTCTTGAAAGGACATTAGGTTTGTCAAAACTGACAGCTGGTATGATAAGTATAGTTACATCACTAAAATGTCATATTTTACCATCATCATAATTTGTTCATAGTCTCTGAGGCACTTATCTGTACACTTTAAGTAGTTTTCTGTAAACAATTACTGTAATCATATGGATACATGATTCAACTGTCCACACACGGGAAGAATGAGTGTGCACCTAGTTAGCTACCATGGTGGAAGGAAAAAATATAGGTGTGCTATTCCCGTCATATTCTGACATCACTCGGATTGCAAACAAAAGATCACCTGATTGTAACTGTCAAATTAGTATGTATTTGTTTTGATTTGGTTGTTATTGTTTTTATTACTATAAAAACAATAACTATGATACTGATACTGATTTGGTTATTGTTTTTATTACTATCAAAACAAATACATATACAGTACTAATTTGACAGTTGCAATCAGGTGATCTTTTGTTTGCAATCCGAGTGACGTCAGAATATGACGGGAATAGCACACCTATGTTTTTAGCGAATTTCCCTATAGGGAAGTAGCTATTACCGTAGGTGGCACGGTAAGACCTAGACCCGGGACCGATTTACTTTTTCATTTTGATGTCCCCAGAGGCCAAAAACACCATTCGTTCAAATCAATCAAATTTTGCTAATGGTTTTGAGTGAGTTTTGTTAATAGTGAGGATTTATTTGAATTAATACAAGCTACTACTATCACAAGAATGCAGGCAATAAAAAAGGTAACTTATTAGTTACCGGTACCTTAAATTATTAGTTGGGTCCTATAGTAATTATTGTATTCAATTAAAGTTCTTATACAAAAAATTTACAATAATAAAGAAATGGGTATGGTATGGTTGTTTTATTTTGTATACACAAACGCCATAGCGGTTTCTTACATGCTTTTAAGGTACAATAAAAAATAAAAAAAACATCAACCTGTTGTCAGATTGTACCATCAACAATCAAATAATTGTTAAAAACCTTACTTCTCTAGTTTTTAAGATTATACCACAAGGATAGTAAGAATCAATAGTAATAGCAAAGAGAATCAATATAGTAATAGCAAAGAGAAGCAATAGTAAGAATGGTTTTTGGCAGTAAAAACTGTGTTTATATTGGTAACTTTTTCATTTGTGAAAATAAATAAATGTGCTCTAATAATTTAATTAAAAAAGCTCATTTTCTCTGCTTTAGTTTTATTAAAATACACTATTATTTCTATTTACTAAATAAAATCCATGAAACATGTTTAACACAACATTTTCATGAAGAAACTACAATTGATTAAAATATTGTAAAGTATTTCCTTATTGAAATGAATTAAGTTTCAAGTGTGGGCCATTAAAATTGAGAGGAAGTGTAAGTGTTCATCTTGTCATATTGAAGATGTGCCAATTAACCCACTTAAAATGCGAAGTATAAAAATCCTCAAAACCAGAGGTTGATAGTGCAATTTCACTCGTAAAACGTAACTTCACTGAATTAAGATGGGCGCAATACCATTGGCATTTATGGTGAGTGTTGCATGAAAATTTGAATTATTTATTGTTGTACTAATCCATACAATACAAAACAATGTGATGAGTTAATTGTTATTGTATCCAAAATAATAGATTAAAAAGGAGTGTTGCTGAAGGTCTAAGTCCCGGAAGGTCTAATTAGACCTTCGACACACATTTTGCAGTTTGTACTTGTTGCTGAGGGTCTAATCTGGTAGTATGTCGAAGGTCTAAGTCCCGGAAGGTCTAAGAGTACAGTCAATGCCAAAAACTCATCCACTGATACTGTTTTAGACCTTGCGGGATTAGACTTTGGGGACACAATGTATATTTTGTAAATAAATTATTATAAAATTAGAGTTGCTGAAGGTCTAATTCCCTGAAGGTCTAAGATTCGAGTGCCAGAAGGTCTAAGATTCGAGTCCCGGAAGGTCTAAGATTCTAGTCCCTGAAGGTCTAATTCCCTGAAGGTCTAAGATTCGAGTCCCTGAAGGTCTAAGATTCGAGTCCCGGAAGGTCTAAGATTCGAGTCCCTGAAGGTCTAATTCCCTGAAGGTCTAAGACTCGAGTCCCTGAAGGTCTAAGATTCGAGTACCGGAAGGTCTAAGATTCGAGTGCCGGAAGGTCTAAGATTCGAGTCCCGGAAGGTCTAAGATGCGGGCGGGCATTGCGTCGCCAGAGATGAAGGCTACACAAGCAGGCAATAACGCAACAGCTTTTAGAGTTGTAATATTCTTAGTGATAGTTTTAACAACTCTCACGTCTTTTTTTGCTAGCTCGTTATTACAAGTACGATGGAGATATAAAAAAATCCTTATTTATATTATATTATTGACTATTGGATACTTTAATTTTTGTTACTGGCATAGTTGCTGGGCCATCGCAGTTGCTATAGCTCAGAATAAATCATTACATCAGTATAAATTGGTAATTAAAAACCATTGTGCAATCGCCATAAATAAGTTAAATAAGTTCGGCAGAAATAAGTTAAAGTTGGTGTTAAAATAACATCGTTAGTTTCCTTGGTGTTCAGGATTCTGTTTTGTTTATTTCAGCTTATCTTAGCCAATAAATAGTTTCATCCATTGACTTTATACCACACATATAGTCAATGTTTCATCTTACTAATATTATAAATCTAAAAGTTTGTGAATTTTTGCGTGCGTGCGTATAAGGCCGGTTCCGAGGCGATCGATGTGATTTTCCACCGTGGGTCCGAGGTCCCTGCTTGTTTCGAGGTCCTGGTGCGGGACCTCAGATCCAAATACAACCGAAAACGTGTTCGTTGCCAGAGAATAATTTTAATATCAATATTAAGTGATTTTGAGCGAGACCTTGGAACCCTAATGGAATGTTTAAAACTTCTTCACGGAATTTCCGATAGGAACGTAGCGATAGTTTTTATACTTGTACACAGTGTGGCATGTGACATAAAATCACATTCTTCGCGGGAACCGATGTCCGTGTCCGTTTCTCTCACATATAATGTATACACTATACACCCTCTGATACATCCTTCAACTGGAAGCAGAGGCTCCCCTTTAACCCCCACCTCCACCTCTCTCCAAGATGACATCGTATTTCAGATATCATATCACTAACGGCAGTCGGCAGTCCGAATGGAATGGGAACAGTTGCTATTCAACACCTCACGAGAACGTTGTTTCCAAGCTGTGCTCGTTTGTTTCCTAGACGAATAACAGTAGTAAAATTAAAGAACAAGTATCTTGGTTCTATTATACCTCATAACTGTAATTATTAGTACTCACGTGGTGTGCATAACTTCATAATGCACATGTTACACTGTTCTACTTTATTTACAATTAATATTAAATTCATCATTTTATGTAAAAATGTTTTAATATATTACCTGATACGTTCCCAAGGTCATGCTCCTTACTGAATTTACTAAGCCAGGAACAATTAATCAACGTACCCATGGTAAAACTTAGACCCGGAACCTATTAAGTTTGACGCGAAAAACATAAAGTGTGCTATTTCTTTCTAAACAATTTTATGAAGCTTATAAATCAAAAATTTTTTGGACGTTTTGTTATGCGCTTCATGGTAAACTAGCTACAGAGCCAGTTGGGATTTTAATACGACGACCTTTAGTAAAATAATGGTTATAAAATCCATAAACAACTTAACTCACAAATATTAATGGTACAGATTAAGCAAATTACATTAGAACAACACACCTAACACAAGGAATGCACTTTAAACACAAATACAAATTGTTAACAACAACATTTAACCAAAGAAAATTCATTTAAATAACACTATAACAATAAGCTGTTAAACTATTAACAGCTGTTACGTATGATTAGATTATGTATGCATGATGGTAAACCAATTATTGCCATCTATTAAAATTATTGGTTTTTGTTTTCCACGTAGGGTTAGCTCTTCTACCCAACCGGTTTTCATAGTTTTGGCCTTAAACTAAAGGTGGATGCACCACAAATTTGACATTAACCATCGGGCATCGACATTACTGTAATTTTTACTGTTTTCGAGTTAGTTTGGCTCTTCCACTCGACCCATTTTCATACTTCTATATCTTGGATATGGAATGTAAGTTTAAGATTATTACACATTTAAATTATCCTGATCGTTCAATCCAATGTGCATTCGATCAAATAACAATTCAAATAATTCGATTTATAACTTGTCGTGGCCTTGTGTATGCACGCGTATTTTGTTGACTTTGATAATTGAAAAAGGTTGATTAATTTGAAAAGATTTATTTGACAATACATAATTGATTGATACAAAATGTGTAATGTTGTTGATGACTTATTTAACACTAATTATTAATAATAACACATGGTTAGATGTTTACTTATTGCCAACATAGGATAACAATCTATTACTTATTTAATACGCAAGCAGGTTTTTTGTGACAATTACTCCTCCGAAACTACTTAACCGATTTACATGTTCTTGGTGTCATTGGAAAGAGCGTAACGTGAAGTTGTGCAGGAAACTTTCTTTTTAGGGAAATAATTAGGGGGTGAGGCCCTGGGGCCCTTTTAAGTTTCGTATTTCTCCATAAGATTAACATGGGAAACAAATATTGTTATGAAACTCCAGCTGTTATCAGAAATTAAAAGTGAAAAGAAGAACATATGTTAATTGTAAACAGTCAAAAAGTTTGCTAATTTTACAGTTAGTTTGCCACAAACATTTACTTACTCGGTTCAAATGAAATAGTTACTATTTGAATTTGGGTTGCCGTAATTATTACAATGGGAAAAAACGAGAGAGCCTGGATAAATTGATATACTAATAAAAAGAAAACTGAATTAACACTGTGCTGCATTTCTTAGTAATAATTGAAAGAGACGATTTGCAAACTATGGAAACATAGGAAAGTCATAGAACACCACCAAGGGGAAGAAATATAAATAATGTGTGTTATTAACACTAAAAAACAAAATCAGCTTTTGAAAAATGATAAGATATTTACAAGAAATGTTGATTATATCGATCTGTTATGTACATCTTGAGTATTCCATAATCTTTGAGTCGAATCTTTTATAGTCATAAAAAAATATGACTGTTATTCGTTTTAAAATAACGCCTGTAATACTTAGCAATTGCTCGATTTCGAGCAACAGGGACACTAGTTAATTATAAAACATGTTGTTGATATAGTATAAAATGTACAGTCAAATTCAAAAATTATATTCTCTACTTGTTAGTCTACTTATAGAGCTAACTGTACCCGTTGGATTGAATGAACAGTGGAGTGAATGAACAGGCAAATAATTTGTAAAATTACTTTTTGGAGTGAACCATCTTGGAGTGAATGAAACATCTCGAAAATTACAACTCTAAAAGTTGTTGCGTTATTGCCTGCTTGTATAGCCTTCATCTATGGCGACGCAATGCCCGCCCACATCTTAGACCTTCCGGGACTCGAATCTTAGACCTTCCGGAACTCGAATCTTAGACCTTCCGGGAATCGAATCTTAGACTTTCCGGGATTCGAATCTTAGACCTTCCGGGACTTGAATCTTAGACCTTCCGGGAATTAGACCTTCAGCAACTCTCATTTTATAAACATTTATTTAAAAAAGTTACATTGTGTGCCCAAGGTCTAATCCCGCAAGGTCTAAAACAGTATCAGTGGATGAGTTTTTTGCATTGACTGTACTCTTAGACCTTCCGGGACTTAGACCTTCGACATACTATCAGATTAGATCCTCAGCAACAAGTACAAACTGCAAAATGTGTGTCGAAGGTCTAATTAGACCTTCCGGGAATTAGACCTTCAGCAACTGATCCGATTAAAACATCTTAGTTTTAACGCTACTAACACTCAGATTATTATAGATTTGACTAATTAAGATTATTTAACTGAGATATTTGCTACTATTACCATTTTAGACCATTATCTTCAATCAAAAATCCTTCAAGTATGGTTAGTTCTTCAGAGTCGTAGATGTTATTTTATATGTTTCACAATACATTACCACAATGTTGAAACATCAAAATGTTTCAAGGTAAAGATGAATTAAATGATGGGAAAGTGTTGAATGAATGATATCACTCCTATATTGTAATTGACAAGGATCAGTGTTTTAGTTAGGACCATCGGTTAGACATCCCCATCAGCTAGGTCCAGTGTATAACTAATATTGAGTTTTCAATCTTGAAACTCGCTGATTGACTCTTGTGTAAATCTACCCAAGCAGAAGGTTTTGCTATTTAATTCCTGATAAGAACCCTGTTGGTGGTTTTGTCATTTCAGATTCGGTTTTGACACATCACTAGTATATTTAGTCTCTACAAATAGCCTGTGTCACTCTTTCTTCTTTCCTGAAATCCTCCCAACCTAACCGCTTATAGCAATTCTAAATACTTGTAACCATAAATTTAAAAACATTGATTGTATGCTGTAATCACATTTGCCTTTCTTTTCAGATTTTACTGTTTATTGCATTTTCTACTCAAACTGATGCACGTAGAAGGAATTTTAAACACAGATCCTCTACTACTACACCTACTACAACAGAAGGCTTCACTACTACAACAGAAGGCTTCACTACTACAACATCAGACATACCTATTACAACACCAGACAGAACTACTACAACACCTGATGTAACTACTACAACAGAAGACATAACTACTACAACACCATACCCAACAACTACTACAACACCATGCTTCACTACTACAACATCAGACATACCTATTACAACACCAGACAGAACTACTACAACACCTGATGTAACTACTACAACAGAAGACATAACTACTACAACACCATACCCAACAACTACTACAACACCATATGTAACTACTACAACACCTGACGTAACTACTACAACATCAGACATAACTACAACACCAGAAATAAATACTACAACACCTGACGTAACTACTACAACACCATACCCGACAACTACCACCCCAGAGACCACTTCTGCAGATCCTAGTGGTCAGTGTACTAGAGAATATTCCTGCCTCAACTGTACGGCCGCTCGAATCTGCGCACCCTCTTTTGACGCTCTCAGTCTCTACGAGGTGAAACGCTTCACTTGCCCGTCAGAGATGCCTTACTGTAACTACACCACTGGCACATGCTCCAACTACGTCGATCCTCAATGCTCCGACATTCCTCACAACGGTTCAAACTTTATCTGCATGCGCGACGGGTATTTCCCCGATCCGCAGTTCTGTTCCGTGTACTACCATTGCCAAGAGGACGTGGCCACCAAATACATCTGTGAGTACCCTCTGCAATACAACCCCTACACTCAGGACTGTGAAAATGAAAATTGGTTTTGTACTGATATGGAAGAGAAGTGCCGGGATTATTATTCTGGTATCAAACTGATGTTTGGCGACGTGCAAAACTACTTTGTCTACTGTGAAAACAACTCTGTGATCACTGTGGACCGGTGCATCGGAGCTTACAAGTTCAACTTCAACTCTCAGCTTTGCGTCCCCACTTGTCCTCACGAAGGGTTGTTCCCGAAAGACGACGATTGCGCCAACTACTACCAATGCTCGCCGAGGTCTCACATCAAGTCCAGTGGGTACATTATGACAGACCTTACCTGCCAGGAAGGTCAAGGATTTTCAGAGTCATCCTATCAATGTGTTGACCGTTCTTTGGCGTCCAATTGTAACATATCTTACCCAGATCTCTATAATAAGTAACACCATGAAAGTAGATTTTTTAGAACTGATATTGTTATAAACTATCTATAATTAGCCTTCTAAAGTTGTTTTAACTTCCTTATACTAATAAAAATAATGTTGACAAAATTGTTTTTCTTTTCATAAAAGCCTATAAGTATCCTGCTTATATATAATACGTGAAGGCTTTTTCTACGAAACATTATTCCTCTGTTAATAATGATGGATAGATTTTTACAAACAATGTGTCAAAATTAAGTATTTTTTGTGTAGATGCCCCCTTTCACCAATTCCTGTAATAAAAGTCCTCGGGCTTTGCCCCACAGGCCATCAAAATCCCAATGTATTTCTTATGATGAAAAGATAATAATTTGTATTAATTACAGCTGTTCATAGGAAAAACATGATACACACAAGAGCATTCGTTTTCAGAGTGAGTTCGTTTTCAGTTTCGATAACTGGAGTGGAGTGATTGATTATATTATCTTTGAGTTGACTCTCTTAAGTCATCGGAAATTATGACTGTTATTCGTTTTGAAATAAAACGTTAATTCTTGCAATTGCTCAAATTCGAGCAACAGGTGCACTAGTCATTACAATATGTTTTGAAAAAATAGCTTACACCAACTTATTCAAGACTTACATAGGTACTCACAACTATTTTTTTTTCTAATAAATTTACAGCTAACACATAAATATGATCAGCTGGTTTATTGGTTTCAAAATAAATGTAATGAAAAGAACATGAGTTTTATTAGCAAAATAATTTAAACTATTAATTTTGAACAACCAACTTATTCAAGACTTACATAGGTACTCACAACTATTTTTTTTTCTAATAAATTTACAGCTAACACATAAATAAACATACTTTAATTTTTACATATTTTATTTGTTTTATCTCCTTCACATGGAACTACTGGATACTTTTTGTTAGCTAAAGAATGGTGTTTAAGATGTTTGGTTAGCAATTCATTCTGTTGCTTTAAGTTTTATGGTCGTTATGTTTTGAAAAAATAGCTTACACCAACTTATTCAAGACTTACATAGGTACTCACAACTATTTTTTTTCTAATAAATTTACAGCTAACACATAAATATGATCAGCTGGTTTATTGGTTTCAAAATAAATGTAATGAAAAGAACATGAGTTTTATTAGCAAAATAATTTAAACTATTAATTTTGAACAACCAACTTATTCAAGACTTACATAGGTACTCACAACTATTTTTTTTTCTAATAAATTTACAGCTAACACATAAATAAACATACTTTAATTTTTACATATTTTATTTGTTTTATCTCCTTCACATGGAACTACTGGATACTTTTTGTTAGCTAAAGAATGGTGTTTAAGATGTTTGGTTAGCAATTCATTCTGTTGCTTTAAGTTTTATGGTCGTTTGATGGATGTGATGACATTACCATTCATGTTGGAAATCTGGCATGGACATGGAACCATAAATTTAATTAGAGGCAGCAGCTTACCACGAATCACGGGCCCAAGAAGCCAGCTTTGATGAATGCAAACATTAATTAAATCATTATTACTGTGGAATTATTACCTTTTAATCTATATATTAACTGTTGAGGATTTTATATAGTATTGTTTTGCTCGTGTTATATAATCAAATATCTTTTTAATGTATCTTTTTATATATCAGCTGCTTGATTATGTTGTTGTTCTAATATGTTCACAGTTTGAAGTGTTAATGTTTTAATATTTTTCCTTTTGACATCAAAAGTATTTTATGTATTTTATTCCCTCGTTTCATCATTAACTAACCGACCAAAGTTGACCAAACTCAACATGAAGGACTAATTAAGGTAATATTGATATCTAAATGCTGACACTGAAGTTAACCCTTAGAGTGCCAGACGAGAAATAAAAGTAACGCTCAAAAAATGCCGATGATTTTTCCCGAGGGTCACGCTAAAAATGCCGAGCGCGATCTGGCGATTTTTAGGTTAAAATTTCGTAAAAATCGAATTTTTGATATTTCGACCAACGAAAATCGATGTATCGCATCTAGTAACTTTCGACTCAATGTTAATATATGGGTTAAAAGAATCCGAGTATCCATTCGGTTGTTATGACAACTGTTCGATCATTACGAAACGTCCGGTCAGCCGGACGTTGGCACTTTTGGCTCATTTTAAAAACGACCGGTTCCCCGGACGTCGGCACTCAAAGGGTTAAAATGGACGCTATAAATTTTTGACCCTGAAATAAATATATGCAAAATTTTGAATAACTTATGATTTAACAACCATAAATCATAACACATGCCATAAATCATAACCTGTGAATCTACTCAGCCATGTTGTCTCTTCCGTAGTTCCCCGCTGACGAATCGGCCATCAGATCGCCGTAGTTCTGATCTTGGTCCCGTGGTCCACAACGACGTGACGCGTTTACTCGTTTACAGCGTCTTCGTCAAATGGCTTAACGTAAAAACTATTCATACCTTTGGCGTGAGCTCCACAAAGCCATCAAATGAAACGGCCTGATGGCCACAGTCTGGATGAGTTCCGATAATGTATTAACTTTTGAAAGTTGTACAGGATCATCAAAGATAGCTGTGAAAATAATGCTATGATCGAGTAACAATAAAAAATAAAATCACTTTTTAAAAAGTGGTTTCAAATTTAACATGGAAGGTTTGAATCATAAAATTTCAACCTCACACAATAACAGCAAACAAGTACGGTACTTAAAAATATGTCTAATAACACTTGTAATAATATATTTACACTTACACTGTTGACTCACATTAAAAGTGGTATTAGACATATTTTTATGTACGAATTTTATGTATTTTATGTACAAATTTTGTTGTGTGAGCCAGTTTCTATAGCTTACAATAAATAGTGTGTTGTGAATGTTCTTTTTCACAACACACTAGCCGTTTTACAAAAGTTTTTTGGAGGCCGAATGATATGTAGGTATTGTTGTCTATACCAACTGTCATCGTTACTTGGGGACCGAGCATTCTACATCCCTAGGGCCTAAAATCTGCTGCATATTTAATACAAAATCAGTATCCATAGCATTGAAAATACTTGTTTTATTGTCACCGCTGCCTAGCAACTATTTATTATTATTTTTGCTGATTCTTCAAATTATTTCTTCACATAACCTTAGATTTGTAGTTTTTTGACTGTTAGTGTGCACTATTATTGTGGTAAATAATGGTAATAGAGGACACCAGTGTGGGGACAGTGTTGAAATAGCGTTTGTACCACAGACCAAAATGGTTTTTGGCCAGAGGTACGAAAAAATTGTGACAGCTGGTCTATAGATGAGATGTCTACTTTATAATATCCAGTAGTCAATGCTGTGATTCATAAAACTACAAAATGTTTGGTGTGAACCAATGAACACTACGAATTAACAGCCATTAAATAGATTCTGTATATTCTATTCTAAAAACTTTTCTATAGTTTAACTAAGGTTGTATGAATCTTTTACACCTTTACTGTGTAAAAACGCTCCTTATCATCAGCCCAATGGATAGAAACCAGCCAAGGATTCGAGAAAAGAAGAATGTTGCAGAGGAGACTTGATGAGCCACGATCCTGAGTGGAGCTCCTGTTCCGTTCATAATCTTCATCGGCATGACAATCAACTGAAAGCCTCGTGGTGGTAGACCTGCGTCCGCTAGTGCTAGGTTCTCCATCAGGTAGATGTTGGCAGCAGTGAGCACCTGGTGTGCTATAAACTCAGGGTTGGCACCCCTGTCAATGCTAGGAGTGTCCACTCCTACTCCAACTACTTTACCTGAATCCACCATCCACTTGGCTGCATCTGCAAAACAAGATGGAGTAAATGGACCTAGCTATTCTTGATTGGACTTTTAAATAGGTACAAGCTGCTATACCCGTGCTTTGCAACGGGAAGAAAATGTGACCTAGAGAGCTATTCAAGTGGTGCTGATGTGTGTTTTAAAATACAGCAACTCTATGACTTAGTTTAAAAATATAAACTGATTTAAAAGTGTAATCTTACTTTCAAACCCCTTACTTTCGATGTTAATAGATCCAAAAGAACATACCTCCATACGGACACATACCTTAGCATCAATTTCTTCATATTGCTGCTTCATGAATGACATGTTTTACCATAATTCTTCAATTTTAGTAAAGCCTCTTTCCATGTAGCTTACTATATAAATTACAAAATAAAAACTTTGAGCAATACTTAAACAAAACTTAATACAACCTTTCTTTAAAACCAAACGTAACCCTCCTCAATCTTCATTTTTCTAGTAAATAAACAAACACCAATTCATTGCACTGACCAGCTGTTTCATGAACTAAATTGAATTACATCATTTGAACTTTGGAAATATGCCAGGGGTAGCCCTTTGGAAATTAGCCTGTGGGGCAGAGCCCTTAGGACATTCGTCCATATCAATACTTTTCGGCAAATCTACACACTCTAAGCTTCATTTTGATGTGCCATATGCCTATATTTTTATTTGGTAAATGACCTTAACCGTTTACATAAAATTTGATTGTATCACTTTAATAATATAATAGATCCTAGTAATCAGCTGGTCTTAGCACAGTTTATTGCCAGTAATTGACTGAGCTGAGAGCCATTCCAAATTCACTTATTAATCTGAAAGTTAGCTGCACAGAACACTAAACTGTGGTTAAGTGGTCCTGAAAAATATAAGACTCTTTCTGATTGATCCTGGCCGTCCTTGATCATTATGGGATTTTTACAGAGATGGCCAAGGCTAAAGAACCTCATCCTTGACAGAAGAGAAAAAGAGTCCTTAACGAATTAGTGCAATTTACATTTTACCAGCTCCTTTCTAATTTTACATGGTTGATTGATATAACAGTAAAATTTTTTGTATAATTAGTTAGTTTATTACTTGTTCTATAGAAAATCAGAAGACTGTTTTGGTGAGTGTTTTATGCTTCCTTACAACTAAGTGTGTTTTGCAAAAAAATTTCTGAATTTTACTTTGTTTACGTAAGGTATTTAAAAATACTTTTAATAATTTGAATAAATAGTTAAATATAATGGTAAAAGACGTTTTAGGAAGTTAACACATTGATGCTGACAGTGTTTTCCAAATGTAATGCAAAGTAGCTTAAATAATATAATCCAGGAAAACCGATTTAAAGTAATTGTCTTGAAAAAATTAAGGCTGACTATGGTCCATAGCCAATAAAATCATAAAATTATTAATCTAGTGTCTGGTTTATTAAAAATTCTGCAGCCATGTCTTGCCATTGAGTATTGGGATAAATTTGTACCTACTACAATGTAACATTTTATTTTTGGAATGATTAACTACCTATACTAAAATAGTTAACTCTTACCTTTTGAAACTCCTGGAAAATGGATATCCGATTCATTATCAGCCACCATACCAAAATATTCCGTTTTGTTTGAGTATTTTTTAGCCCAACCAAAATTGAAAATTATTGCAACAGGATCTGGTAAAGGGCCGTAGTTTTGTTCCCAGTCAACTAAATCTTTAACCTTAACCTCGGTGTCGGGATCTTTAGCTGCAGCAGCCCCCATATCAATCATCACACCTGAAAATAGTTATTATTTCAGTGACAATTAAAAAAAACCATTGAAGATTTGTCCAAGCAATTACTGAATATTGCTAATGGCCGTGTCTGTCTATAAGCCAAAGTTGAATAATTAAATTTTGTCTAACCGAAATAGTTTTTCACCACTCTGTTTTTATTAGTTTGAAATGAAGAAAATTGTCTAACCAATATTGTAGACGGAACAAGTGTAAAAGTCAAGTTTGTTCTACCAGTTATAAATCAAGAACAGCTGGACTCATTTGCATGGCTTTTGTTGATTTGTACCTGATATTTTGAAGGCAAAATAACAAAAGTTGCAATAGCTTTTGGACCGTAACTCTTACAGCAATGGGAGGTTTTATACTAATTATGAAAATTACAAATCTGAAATATGGTTCTATCATCAGAAGAGAAACACTAGTAAAGGATTTCCATTCTTTCAGGCACTTTTCACTTTCACCTGAAGAAGGGATTAGAATCCAGGGCTCGCAGTACTGTGAAAACGTCTTTTTCACTACATTCCTCAAATACTGTAATTATAACACACTTAAGAGTCCTTTGAGACTAGTGGCTAACTACAATGTTTTTCACCACACTACGATGTAATTTTTAGCTGTCTTACAAACGTTTATTGGAGGCCGAAAGCAACGTATTCCTGTCTAGCCAGCTGTCATCGTCATTTCGGGACCGAGCAGATTATTTTCTAAGGGGTCCATTGAAGCTAACGGCCTTCTTGGATTTGCCCTTTATAAGAGCATGTTAATTTTGTAAATTTCAAACAGCCGCTGAAGAGTTAATTATTATCTCAAAATATTTTTTTCCAACACCATATTGATTGTAATTTAAATATCTAGTGAACTGTGAGATTAGAAACTTTCTTTGTAGCTTTATAATTGTTTTACGAGTTAGAACGTCTAGGTTACAAGGACTCTGGGTCTATCCATTGTAAGTTGACTAATTATTGACTAATAAATACTTGAATTAAATTCACAAGACAAAATATCTTAAATCTATAAAGCTTAACCTGATACAATGAGTCTATCCAGAGGAATATCCCCCACTTTCCATCCACTGGGATTGAAGTGGAAGGGTGCATCTAGGTGGGTTCCACCATGTTCAGCTGCAGCAAACTTCTTTGCCAACATATAGAAGGGATCCTCTTCATGGACTACTTCTGACAAGTTGAACTCTGGCATTCCGAACCAGTAGATGGTTTTCTCATCAAAACCATGACTGAGATCAACTGTCCTGTTCAAAGCCGAACACGCTTGTATAATAAACACAACACCCAGGAAACGCATGTTAGTTACAGCAAAAACAATGTTATGGTGTTAAACAGTATTATTAGCTTGAAAATAATCCTTTGGTTATGTAAATACCGGTAATCTGTTTACCTTGGGCTTAACTTAATTGCAGGTTTGACTAGATAAGAATGACTCATACACTATCTTCGTCTTGATAGTTCAACTGGTGACAAGAATTAGAACTTAGAAGTATATAAAATAAATGCAGGTTAAATTGTTTCATAATGTTGGATAGAAGTTGTACAGTTGTTTTAGCTAGGTACTAAAATACAGTACCAAAAAATGATGAACTATATTTTTTATAGAATGTCAACAACTTTGACACTTTAAAACAAATTACACATTCAAATATAAGTTATGTCTTTTACTATACTTTTTTATGGATGACAAAGCTAATGAAAAATTGACCACTTTTTCTGTTATTTTCCACAAATAAAATGTAGCTTCAACATGATAGAATCTATAGACAGATTATGCATGGATATTTGCATTGCATTATACTAATGCAAATACGTATGCATAATCTATGTATAACTGATCGCATTCATGGTATCAGTTGACATCAGCTGATGTCAGTGAACCTTCAGTGATGTCCGTAAACCTTCACTTAACTCAATTGATATAATTTAGAGTGATCAGTGGACATCAACTGATATCAGTCAAAAAACAGCTGATGGTAAGTTGATGTCAGTTGAAATCATTATTATTATTATTTTTATATAATTCAAAAATTAGCTGATGTCATATTTTCACTAGGGACACTTGTCTTGTTACAAACACAATTTATTACGTCTAACTGGAGGTGGCTGTGCTCGAAGAGATGGCGCACACAGTGAATATAGGGAACGCAACCCTAAACCAGTATCATCCGCGGTCATTTGACAGAGTAAAGGTTTTTAGTAAAGCTGCAAAAGGACCAGTATGTTACTTCTGGCCAAGAAATAATTACGGACAATATTGTTTGTCCAGAAGTTCTATGAATTTTTTTTACAATTATCCGTGTGAATTATTTTGATAAGGAAATAAAGGACTTTGGTTGAAATAACGGTACATATCAAAAGACGTTTTTTTAATAAATGTTTGTTTCACTTTTTTATGCACGAGTTCATATTGTATTGGAAAAACCAATTACGAAGTTATGTAGGCCTACAGGATTCGCTTGAAAAAATTACAAGTGATAGTTAATGATTATCACATAAAAATAGATATTTTCAACTTAACTCGGAGCAATAGAAGATCATAAATTAATTCTATCACAGATTTCAATGTGAAATTAGCCCTCAAAAAAAAGAAACAAAATTTTGTTGGCACAAGCGATCAGTGTAACTGGACATGAACTAGACTTGAAAAAACTTCAAAATTTACAATGGGATGAGAGGTCTGCTTGTGTTGGTTAGCCTATGCTACGATAGCGCTAGGGGCTAGCGCTCCTTCCTTGGCGTTGACGTTGTGCGACACTGCGGTGGCAACTTTCCCAGCTAGCTACAACAGCTGGCACTCAAGCTGAAGCTAGCAAAATAACAGAACTACTAGTACTCGTAGCTCTCAACTTTGAAAACGAGCGCTAGAATCAAACTTTTATCTAACAGACAAATTAAAACAAAGTTTTGTATCTAATTTTTTGAAACTTTAAATCAGGACTGGGCCAAAAATATAGCAACTTAGATCTCACTAGTGGCTTGCAGGGGCAATAGCCCCTATATATATTCTAGTATATATTTTCTACAAATTATTAGCCTCATGGGTTACCCCCCCAAGGGGTTACCCTACCTTGAATTATCGTTTAACATTTTTGTTTATAACTGTGAGCCGTTGATATGTATAGTACTAATTACATACCTGCAAAATGCATTTTGATGTCTGTTCTGTTTAAAATAAAAATTCCAAAGGACATGATGTGTATTTATAACATAAACTTTCTAATCATAATACAACTAAGTAACATTTTCTAATAATAATCTTCACTACTATTATTTATATCTATATAGAGTTTTCTTTGAATATAGGCAAATTCACTTAGAAAAACACATAAGAGATAATGTCATCATCCAAATTGTAATTGTAAAATGCTACTATAACAAAATATCTCTGAAAACAACATTTGTTGTATAGTATCCTTTTTGGTTGATTCCTTGGTCTTTATTTGGTTCCAGTACTATTTTAACATCATCTGGCCGCTTTACCCGGCTGAACGCAACATTAAGTTAAGTTGACCATGGGTAAACCCAAGGTAAACCTGGGTTTTTCAAATAAATGCCAACTTTTGTGAAGGTTCGGCCTTGCACCACAATTTCACCAAATCAAAGTGGTAATCTATACACAGGAATTACTTCATGTTCATCCAATGCTCATTTATTCTTCTTCTATTAATGTTCTCATTTCGAGGAACAATAGGTACCTCTGTGTGTTGGTCTACATTATTACTTTGCAAAAAACAATACATTGTACAGTATTAAGTTTAAAAGTATCAAATTGTTTGTTCAAAAGATTTTATCAAATGTTCACTTTGTATTTGTATATTTGTACATCACTAACAATTTTAATTTTACAATAACAAAATAATGCACATTCAGGTGTGGTTATAATTTTTTTAATCTCATCTGTGTTTACACTAAATAAAAAGACATTAAATTAGATTCCCATGCTATTTAAATGTGAATTATATTATTCCGTAACAACCTTTTGGTGCATAATTAAGAAAAATGAATATTTTTCCCCAAAATTTCATGCCCAGACCTTTAAAATGAGACCTCTCCCAGCATTCTACAGCCTCCCGTTCGCTCACAATTTCATTGTAAAATTTTGGGCTTACGGAATTAGATATATAGATAGATTTCATGAATTGTAACGATACAATTTCCATCACCACACTGCAGAGAGCGGAAAACGCATATGGTTGAATTTTTCTTAAATATTGTAAATACATACGTACAGTTTTCTTTCAGAGCAGTTTAAAAGCCAAGTTTTCCTAGGCACGGAAGTGGAGAGTGGAGAGAGGAATGCGGAGAGTGGACTCCACTTGCTTTAGGTACAGTAATTTAATGTTAGTTTTCCTAGAAGCGGAGCGGAACACCATGTTAATCTCTTTTCCGCTCTCCGCGTTCCTCTCTCCGCTTCCACGCCTAGGAAAACCCAGCTTTAGAGTCAAGGCAGGACATATAATTTGTTTTACTGTACTCAGTTGATTAACCTTGAGGGAAACAACAGTCCCAAATAAACAAAATTAGTCCTGAAAATAGGTGTTTACCGGACGAGTGTGGTTGTTCCCGTGCGAGACGAAGTCGAGTATGGGATTTCCTTACGAGTCCGGTAAACACATTTTGGACGAGTGATGTACGATATTTTACGCCATACTAAATTTTAAATTCCCATGTTATTCTTATGGAGAATAAGTCAACTGTTGTAGTTTGCTTGTTTATGGACATATTTTGATCAAATTTGGAATATACATTGACATTCATTTCTTACTAAACTACAGTATTAACAATTTACAACAAAAAAACTCTTTTTAGCGAATTTCCCATATAGGGAATAAGCTATTACCGTAGTACTCATGGTAAGACCTGGACGCGGGACCGATTTTTTTTTTCGTTTTGAGGTCCCTAGAGGCCAAAAACACCATCCGTTAAAATTCATATATATATATATATATATATATGTGTCCGTCAGCACGATAACTCGCTCAGCAAAAATGATCCGATTTTGATGAAATTTGGTACAAACGTGTAAACCTACGTTTATTCGAACGAGTTCGCGATCCAGCATGATCGGACCATGGGAACGGGTGTTTACGGGGGGTTTTATGGGGTAAAAATAGGTTTTTCCCATTTTTGACCCAATAAAAAACATAAAATTTAGCAATTTATTTCCAAACCATTTTGTAGAGCTTAAAAAAACAAATAATTTAGTAAATTGAAGCGTTGTTATGCGCCTAATGGTTACGGAGAAAATTCCAAAAAATTGTAAATTTAAAATTCTCATGTTATTCTTATGGAGAATAAGTACGGTAAACTGTTGTAGTTTGCTTGTTTATGAACATATTTTGATCAAATTTGGAAAATGTTTTTATTTCTTACTAACTATTAACATTTTACAAAAAAAAAAAACTGTTTTACCCTCCCTGATGCAGCAAACCTAAGTACTTGTTAAACTAATTCTATTTAAATCGGGAATAAATGTTATATTTTTAAGTAGACATTTCAGTGTAAATCCAATCAGTCAAATGGAAATTCGCTTAGTCTGCAGGTTTGCTGCGGCGGGGTTATTTATCCTCCCTAGCTGTTGCAGCAAACTTAAGTACTCGTTAAGCTAATTATATTTAAATAGGGAATAAATGTGATAAGTAGACATTTGAGTGTAAATCCAATCAGGCTAATGGAAATTCGCTACGTCTGCAGGTTTGCTGTGGCGGGGGGTATTTAGTCTATAGGGAGTAAAAATCAGCTGTTGTAAACAGTTGTAAATTTCGACTGTAGTTATCGTATAGATTGTAATTTATTTGTCGATTGATTTATAGAGATCGATGATTTATAGTTATAAGGTTTTAGATGGTTTATTGGTTTGTCGATTGCTCACATATCGATGGTATAATTAGACTTCTCATCCCATTGTTTTATCTATGGTACTAGCTGTTGTACCCGTGCTTTGCAACGTGAAGAGGACCCAAAAAAGAAACATTTTTATCTTTACATCTGTTGCATATAATAAAGTTACACATCCACCAATGCTTTTAGAAACAAAATTCAACTTTTATGGCCTTAATAGAAACGTTTAAGTTGTCATTTTTAAATCTGGTAAGTAGTGGATACCACCATTTTGGGTTTGATTAATTTTAAATCTTGTGTAGGCTGATATGAGAAAAACTTACCATATCTTCGAATAAAACTTTCACATACATGATTTACCTTCATCTCCCTTTGTTGCATACCTTTTTTCTTTATTTTTGAAATTTTAAATTTCTATTTTGAAGTTGCAAAAATACTAATTTTTTAATTTAAATGAACATTTTTTAAATTTCACTCTTTTTCATATTAAATCACAAATCCTTCCATCTTCAGTTTCTTCACTCACAATAAATCATTAGCAAAACTAAGTCAGCTGTTATAATCTTTAGAAATATTATTGTGCCTTATCAATAGTCTTTTGAAAATTTGAAATATTTAAAAAACTATATCTGTACTATAAAAATGTTAAACAAATAATTTTAGTATTAACGACAGCAGACAAAACTAATATGATTATCAAAGCATCAAGGACCAAGGACAAAAAAATGTAATAGCAAATACAGTATATGTTTCATTGCATCTCTGATTCTACTCTACAAAAATATCAACAAACAACTTAATATCATACCAGTTCTTTTAAACAGTTCCATCGTCTATTGCCTTTACATTTTCACACTTACCATTAAGTAAACATGGTAACAGATATTTCATTGATTTTAGAAACAAAAGAACACTGTGTACTGCTTAGTTTTATTATATTTTCCTTTCATTTAATTTAATCAGTGATGTGACAAAACACAAATAATAAATTTATCAAATAAAGTAAATGTGAACTGAAAACTATGTTAAGATAAAATAATAGTATTTAAATCAACGATATACAATTTAGTTATTGATGATATTCTTTAGTTTAATTTAAGCATTGGTATAGTAGCAAAACACAATAACTAAATTTACCTAAATATACATATAAAAAAAACAATGTGATGTGAAAGTTATGTTAAGTTAATCTTACACATGTTAAGCAGTTCGAATTTACTTAAAGTAGACTCCAAATTCATATAAAACATCTATACATTGTTATTTTCTTATTGTTTCCATGAAAAAATATCAATAACATTATTTTCATAACACTTAAGACACCTTAAAATCAAAAGTAGAGCCTGAGGTGATGCAGCAATGCGTTTAGAATATTTTGTTATTTCTATAATCATTGACATAGTTTTTGAATAAATGATCTTTGATAAATTTTTAGATTAAATAAACCAACCACATAATTGTATGAAATATTATATTAAATTTCATTGGATCAGCTGTCTTAAAATGTGAAATATGCAATTTGGCAGTTTTTCTGGTTTACATTGAAATGTCAAAGCAAATGTAAACATTGTGAGTATTCTCATTGCAGCCATGGAGACCAATCAATATTTACTTTTAAAATCCTCACCTCAGAACCTTTAAAGCCAAAGGGGCAATTAAAGCCCATGGTCAGTATATGGAAGTGTGAATAGTCCTATAATGGTCCTTGGTATGGTAACTATATTTTTGTAAAATTTAAGCCCAGTTGGTTCAGTAGTTTTTGCACCTATTAGTAATACACATACAGACAGACACCATTAGATTTTTATATAATAGTATAGATATAGATATAGATATAGATATAGATAGTATAGATAATGTACTGTAACACAATCGTAATAGACGAAATGATTGAATCCCTTACAAAACAGCTGCTTATTTGCATTAGCATTTTTTTAAATCAGAATTTATTTTAAAATCTGTTTAAACAAAATATGAGAACAATAAGTAAAAGAGGTAACATAAAAAATGGCAGGAAGCAAGCACCTGTTCATCAATAAGTCTTGCCAAAAATCGGATCAATCATTTAAATATTTACAGAAATCTGTAGCTTTAGGTCCAGCACATGTACAACACTTTTTACCCTAGTAATGCAATGACTATTGTCCAGCAGATTAACAGCAAGACTGTTCGGATGATATTCTAATTTTTCTTGATACTTTTCGCTAAGGTCTGTAATTTCTTCTTTCACTGATTTAATTTTGAAGTCATTCCTAATTGTAGTGTTCAGTGTTGGGTACGAACCAGGGTGCACCAATAATTCTTCTCAGCGTCTTAGCCTGAAATCATTCGCAAGAATTTCAATGTGTTGGATTTGCTCGAGGTCCCCCAAAGTTGAATTCCGTATGTCCAAATTGGTTTGATCATAACTTTATACAGTAAAATTTTGTTAGCCAATGATAATTTTGAATTGACCTTAGCCAATTGAGTTTACGAATTTTTAATTCCATTTGCTGCCTCTTGCACCAGATATGAGATTTCCAATTTAATTTTTGTCAAGAGTTAGGCCTAAATATTTTACACTGTCTGCCTCTGTTAAAGCTACATTACTGGAGGATTGTAGTCTGTTCTCAGAGTAAAAACAATATGTTTGGACTTGTTTTCGTTGACTTTTATCCTCCACTTTTTAAGCCAATATTGGAGCTCAGTCAAGGCAGCTTGCAGATTAAAGGGAAGCAACTTGAGGGTCCAATTCTGCATTAGCATTAGCAGAATTAAAAACAAGCTGGAATTAGTTTTGAAAGGTTATCTCTACATAAAAATTATTTAGTTTTCTAGCTTTGTTTATTAGTTAATGATGCAATATGACGAAAAGTATGGTTCAACGCACGGGAAAAATACTTTTTAACCCTCGCTCATTTTGCGACCCCGAGGTCGAGGCGAAGCCGACTTCGCCTCGATCTTAAAACTTAACCCACGGCCACCTCTAACTACAGGCCGCGGCCTGGTAGAATTGGCAACGTCGCAAGTGGTGTTGTTTAGTGACAGACGTCCCATAAGATAATAACATGGCAGACAGGTGTCATCAGCTCATTAATTTGCACTTTATTGATTTAAATTTATGAACATAAATTTATTAAAATATTGAAAATAAACCATACAGAATTGACAGGTCAAAAAGAGTCACTTTAGGCCCTAGTGATGAAATATACTATAACATGACATTTTACAGGTTTGATTGTTTGTTTTATTGTTGCGTTTTCTTGTTTGTTTCGCTAAAAATATACATATTCTTCGGGGGGGGGGGGGGGGGGCTGGTGGTCTGCTGAGACCCCAATTCGAGCCTATTGGATGCATACCTACTCTGTTATAGTTTGTTGGAGAGGTCTTTTATATATACATTACTTGACTTGATGTCTTGATACATAATATGATTTATTATATTTTAGAACGTACATTAGGAGTTACAGTCTAGGAGAGCCATGTTTTAGAGAGAGCGGATAAAGTGAAGAAGACATTTAATACGCTGTAAAGTCCGTGGTTAAAACTGTTTGATCACGGCCACCTTCGGTGACCGTGGTTTGATCTATGGAGATTCTGAAAAATTCCCATTCCTGTTGCGCATTCTTTGCTTCTTCCTCTATGTAGTCAGCAGACCAATAGCATGCGGTCTTCAATTCCTCACTTCACTTCCCAAATAAATCTCACCCACCACATCGTCAGCAGATAGAGAATACAGAAAGCACAAGATACGAAGAATCGAGAAGCAGAGAATGAGAGAATTGTTAATCAAAATGGCGTTGTGTGATGTAGATGAATAAGCTGCTTAACTCATGATATTGTATTTGTTTTAATAATTCGCGAGTTCCCCTGTGTTAGAGTAAGGAATTTGCAATGTCTTCATTGCAGTTTGTTGTGCATCCCATCCCTGGCACTGAGGACCAGTTAAATGACAGGTATTTGCCGTTTTAATTTGTCTCATTTCGATGCAGGAAGTCCAGCTCTACCATTTTGGTTCTGGGAAGTGTAATATTTTTCCGATTATGGTATGAGGTTTTTCAATGTACAATTTATACCATCTCATTTTTATATTATTCATTATGGCTTGTTAAATTGAAACCTAAGGAACGAACATTTTGCAACGCCTAAGGCTTATGCATGGGAGTCCTCCTAGGATCCCATGCATAGCAGTAGCCTATGCATCATTTATTTTATGATTGATTACGTTTTAACTTAGTCTGGGCTGTTTCCCTTCTCTCAAAAGAAATACTAATAAGTAGGCCTAATTGATTACTGTCTTTGTAGCAGTATCCTAGTATGTAGGCTGCCATGGCATTGCCCTGTTAAGAAGTTAAGTAGGCCTAGATGCAATATTTAAACCTAGGGCTAGGCCTAACTTACTTGCTTAAACAGGCCTTAATTCCACGTAGCCTACCACAACTAGGCTGGGCTTTAAATTATGTTATTTTTGCAAAATCGCTTGGCCAACCCGACTTAGACTATAGCCTAATAAGTAAGCCTTTGTTAATTTAGTCTGAGGTGTAAAAGGGTTGTGGAGCAGACATAGGCTAGGCTATCTTAACTTGCGGTAAGGTCTGTTAAAAATCTGGTGTGAAAAGGCTTTTGTCCAAGAACAAGGTTAGGGTACCGGTAGGCCATAAGTATTATAATGAGCTAAACTTAGGTCTTCCCTTGTTGCAGTAATAACTTAGGTAGGCTAAACTTGAGCCTGGTCGGAGCCCTTAAAAACTGGGTATTTCTGAACTTTCCGGTCTTCTTTTAAACGTTTTTAAACCATTCCTATGATCTAAATATACAAGAAAATACCTTTAAAGCATTTTTAAGGCGCGGAAACCACTACAAATTATGAAAATATAAATTAACTGTTATGGAACTATTTTCTCAAGTCGCTGAGCACATCGCTTCCCGAGGAACGACTAGCAGAGTGATGACGGACTCGGTGACTAGGCTACCGTAATTTTTTATGTAGGCTACACTTAGGCACCTAGCCTATTTGTCTGTGTTGCCAGCTGATAGGAACAAGGATTAAATAAGCAATATATTGAACCGCATCGAAATCGATATTTAATCCGATAATACCTTACAGGTTAGCCTACATGTTGAACTACATCGTAAACACTGATCTACCTTCCCCACATGCCTTTTCTCTTGTAAAAGCAATTTATGTAACCATTCAGCACGTTTAGTTAGGTTAGAATAGTTTAATTTTATAACAAACCTAACCCAAACTAACCGTTAAATAAACAATCAATATTAAATCAATAGTCAACTGGTAACACAAACCATTCTAGTAGCCCAGGAGTACTTAAGTAGTCACCAGTCTGTATCACTCCGCTCCTCTTTCCTCGAGTAGTGTTGTGCTCCGCTACCTACTTGAGAAAATAGTTCCGTATAGTTTTGTAATTTGTAGTGGTTTCCGCGTCTTAAAAATGCTTTATAGGTATTTTCTTGTTTATTAAGATCGTAGGAATGGTTTAGAAACGTTTAGGCCTAGCTTAAAGAAAAGTCCAGAAATTCAGATTTACCCAAAACTGTAATCTTACCCTTCATAGCTTAACTTAGGTTACATCACAGAGTTTTCCTCCGTAGGCCCTACGCATTTGTTTTTAAAGAATAATAAATATGTTATCACCAGCTGGCAGTTTCAAGTTTCTTACTGCAACCATCCCTCTTATACAATTAGGCCTAGACTACTCCTAACTGTTTAAGAACATTTTGCAGTCACCCCTCACCGCACTAGGCCTACCCCATTAAGTTAATAAGCCTTTTGGGAGCCACGGGGAGGTTAAGTTTTAGCCAATTTTATTTGAGGTTTGCCAGGCATAAGTTTACATGCTGTTTATATGGTTACCTGGTATTTTTAAGTTAAAACTTCGGAATTTAATTTCAATAGGTTTTTTTTTAGGTAAAATAAAATATATTTATTGACATCTCTTATAGGCCTATGTTAAGTTATTTTTACAAACTTAGTCTTCACGATTCTATGGTTTCACAGACTTAAATTTAATGACTTTTGCCTAAAGCCTAAAACTACCTCATTGCTTAAAGGCATCATCAGCGCAGGTCTCGAGCACTAACTTACAATTGGCAAAGGCTATCAAAACGCAAGGCCTATGGTACGTTGTCACCTTTGCATTTCTCAGCAGGGTATAGCGATTTCTGATTTCTGAGGGAGCAAGGGGCTCTCATTGCTCTACATCATGCTATTTTTGGGGGCTCCAGGCAGCTGGAATGATTTAGGCGCGGTGGTGTCGGCAATCTTCTCAGCGTTAGTTACATAGGAATTTCAGATTGTTGAGTAAAGGATTTCAAATATGCCTTATTATTAATTTCTAGTCATGAGTCTGTTAAAATTGTCTGATTTTGTTTTCTGATTTCTATTGCTTCGAAAATCTTTCTTTTGTAAAAGTTGGTTCATTGGGCCAAAACCTTTTACTTTTATTAGGTACCGGTAGGCTATTGAAATATAGTCCTATCATATCGCGTTTCATTTGAATGAGCTGCCACATGACAGATATGTCTTTATCTTGGTTTTTAGTGGATCTTATTAAATTTGTGTTCAGATATTACAACACGTTTTCTACAATGATGGCTCTCTGCAACAAACCGAAACATCAGCTCCTTGTCTCAAGTTTTTGTCTGTGACATGGTCAAAACCTTGTTTGTTCAATTTTATTGTGGTGACTGTGGAAGCCTTTGTTTCTATGCAATTAGATGATTCCTATACAGTATAAGGTAAACAACCCAAATACCGTGGCTACACCTAATTCCGTGATTCTCGTTTTTTCTCACCAACAACAATAAATATTGCTATACGAAATCAATTTTTACCGTTTGGGGCACTGATCTATAAATACCAAAAAATGGGTAACAATTCACAGGTACCTTTGATTGATTGATTGATTGATTGACCTATGGAAACTTGTGACTCGCGGTCACGGTGCGTTCGTCAAAATGACCGCGGTCACGGGGTGATCGTCGGTATGACTCGCGGTCACAGGGTGATCGTCGGTATGACTCGCGGTCACGGGGGGATCGTCTGTATGACTCACGATCGTCGGCATGATTCCACGGTCACGTCACGATCGTCGGTATGACTCGCGGTCACGGCATGATCGTCGGCATGACTCCACGGTCACGGCGCGATCGTCGGTAGGACTCCACAGTCACGTCATGATCGTCGGTATGAGTCGCGGTCACGGCATGATCGTCGGCATGACTCCACGGTCACGGCGCGATCGTCAGTAGGACTCCACGGTCACGGCGTGATCGTCGGTATGACTCGCGGTCACGGGGTGATCGTCTGTATGACGCATGATCACGGCACGATCGTCGGCATGACTCCACGGTCACGGCGCGATCGTCGGTAGGACTTCACGGTCACAGCCCAATCGTCGTTATGACTCGCGGTCACGGTGCAATCGTCGATCCAATAATCGCGGTCACGTCGCGATCGTTTTTATGACTCCGCGGTGAATGACTTCATCTCCTGCGTTCGCGGACCTATCGCTCGCATTAACGGTGTTATCGGCATTCACGAAGCTATCCCACAATGAAGCTTTTCACAGCCTAGAGACTGCAATGCTGTGGTTAGAGCAGCAAGAAGAATGTGAATCTGTTCAATTGCTGTCTTTAAAACGACTGCGAGATTTAGCAGCAAAAAACGAGTGTCTGGACTAAAGCAGAAATCTATTTTGGACTTTTTTAAAATCTCTTTCTGTACACATTCTGATAGTCCAGTTCTAAGTACTGTTGTACATGTTTATTGCTGTATTGTAAAAATAAATCTGGATGTTAATTAATCAAATTTATATTATTGTACAGTTTCCACGGACGCGAAATCAGAAAATCGCCGCCGGCCGCTATCCCTTCCCGTAATTTCCCGTTCCCCATATTTTTCCCGTCAATAACCGATTATCCGAAAAATCAGTTATCCGAACACCCCCAATCCCCAATTAATTCGGATAATCGGTTTTCTTCTGTACTAGCTAGGGAGGTTTCAGCTTCCCCCAACCTTCTGTTTCCCTAATATTATTTCATTATTTTGACACAATATATGTATAACACAAAAAACACAATAAGGATCGCCGGTTTTAATTATTTGCCATGATTAAAAGATTACCATAGAGAATTTATTTTTTATTTGAGTAGGCCTACTGGTAGTATTTATTTTATATTTATTGTAAAGTCGAATTCTGTACTGTACACATTCCGTGGTCACAGGTTTTTTTTAAATTAGGTCACAAAAAGTCCGCAAAAAGTTTGATTTTACTTTATAGTGAACTGGTAGACACCCTGTCAATGTAAACTTAATTGGAACTCATTCAGATAGGAGTTATGTAAGCCTACAAAGAAATATTTGTTTATTTTTGCATGCATTTTAAAAATTTACTCAGCATAACAATTACAAAATATTATTTTTAACAAAGCTCAACTCTTTCAATTAATTAATCTTAATTCTCAGGTATATTGACTACAGTGTTGTGTTAATACTTAATCGAGTTTGTTTACTTTGTTGAAGTTACAGTATCAAATGTTGCTGTAATCTTGAAACCAAGTGTACGTATGGAAGCACTGGTGACAGTTTGTGGTTTGTTCCTCCTTATATGAATTAATTTACAAATGCTCAATGTTTATGTTGGCAAGGATGAGAGTGGTGTCATCTGCAGACATGATTGCTCCACAAAAATCATCCCAGGTATTTTGAGAGGTCGTTTGCCTAGAAAATGTATATAGTATAGGTCCCAGGACTGATCCTGTGGTTATTAGTTGGGATTTTGATTTTATTTTATATATAATGTTACTGTCCTTATCTTCAAGCGTTATCCTATTTTCAGATTAAAAGAAGTGGCAGACCGCTTGAATCGCTTTGGACCGACAGCGCCCCCTGCTGCGCTCGCAGGGATCAGGAGTGCGGTGAAGCGGATCGCGGTTGGACCAAATCACTTTGCATTGTTGTTGGAGGACGGACGAGTTTGCCGTGTTACGTTCTCCATCATCTCAGACAGACTTGACCTGACAAAAAATGACCCGACAAAGAAGTAAATGATTATTTAAATGGATAATCCATTACTTATACTGTTGTTCTTTCTGGTACTTTCCTGTTAAAGGGAACATTTATTGTTATCAATGATTTTTTTTATATATACATTTTTTTGTTTTCCTTTACGATTCATATTCCTTCTGTTTTAATATCTTAAACGTATTAAATTACGAATTTACTGCTGTTCTTGTTGTGGCAAAAATAATATTTAGGATTAAAAAATGAAATTGTTCTATACCACAACCTAACATAACTAACCAAACTTGCTGCCCTATTTCAAAATTCTGTTTGATAACAGTAAAGGCATGAGGGGAATATCGTTACAGCAAGTTTGGTTAGATTAGTTTAGAGCAGTTTCATTTCAGTAAATTATTTTTTTTAATTGTTCATGTTGATACGGAACAATAAGTTATTTATTTCTGTAGTCAGCTGATATGTTTTAATATGTTGATATCTATACATTAGATCGAAAAGAAAATTTTGATATATAAAAATAAACGGTATCAGCATTCTGACACATACTTTCTCCCATAAGTTTGTCAACAACCTTTATCATGTGTAAGCGGTGAGAGTAAATATACGGAAATAGGATTAGTACAATTTTGATCAGAATTTAAAGGACTATAACATACTAAATTTTTATGAAAATCGTTCGGGCCATTTTTGTGAATATCAGATTTTTCCGTTATCTTATGGGGTTTTTTATGGGGGTTTTATGGGAAAATAACATAATTTTCAATAACTTTTGAACCGTAATTTTTACAGAAATGGGATTTGTACTATTTTGTTCAGAATATAAAGGACTATAACATACTAAATTTTTATCAAAATCTTTCGGACCGTTTTTGGAAAAATCCTATTTTTCCGTTATTTTATGGGGTTTTATGGGAAAATCCCCATTAAAAATCAAAACTTCTAAACATTTGAAAAACTATCAAAATTGTAAGGACCATAACATAGCCTACTATGTTAAATAAAAACCAAATTTTTTTTCTAAAATCCTATTTTTTGGCGTACACCGTGAACAATTAACCAATCCTTGATAAACCACCGCGGCCCAGGCAGAAATGGTGGTCGGCTTACCCACCCTGAATTTTAATTCCAGTTTGTTAACCTAGCCCACTTAAACTAGGAATCTAGAGATTTTTATTTCCATCCCATCCTTATTGCTGTTGAAAGGCCCACATGTGAAACTTACACTGAAAGATGCAAGACATAAAAAATAATATTTAAATTTAACATTGTAAAATAAGGCATTGATTGATAAATGTAGCTTGCTCTCTTGTGCAAATAATATAATACATTTTATTTGCAGTATTTTATAGGTTTTCTTTGATGCCTTTTCTAATTGACGTTTTTTTTTTTACTAGGGATGGGCCGATTCCGATTCTCGATACCTTGATACCTTCGATACCAGTGGTATCGAAGAATCGCCGATACTCGATACTTTGCTTCATTGTACGATTCTGAAAAGTGAGGTTAATTAATAATGCTAAACTCAACTGACATTGAAGGTTGTAAAGAGTGGCACATCATAGTTTATTTGAAATACTCTGAAGTCAGCTAATATAAATAATTCCAAGTTCATTATCTCACATTCGTAATAGTTTTATAATCCAAAATAGATTGCCATTGCATTTCAGAACGAGTAGCAAAGGGTCGAGGCTGTGTTTATTTGACAACAGTGACAAGACAAGACAACTAGGCCTATCAGATGTCTAGTTGCCGCCATGTTGTCAGATCAAAGGCAATGTTGCCAGATGGTACAAGCATTTAATATATACATATAATACACATAAGGTGTATATAGTCAATGGTTTAACTCGCATTTTCTAACTCCAAATTGTGGCATAGCTTATAATTTTTTGTGAAAGTGTGGCATAGCTTATAACTGATTATAAGCTGTGGAACAAATTCACGATTATAAGCTATGACATTATAAGATATGAGACCCCACAAACTGTTCAGCTAATTCAGGGCTTCATGGTGACTATTGTAGAAAGCCATTTAGCGATGTATTTTTATCGGTTTTTTTATGTTGTTTCTCTATGACTGAACTGAAACAGCTGTCACGAGTTTGCAAATGGCAAATAAATTGTTTAACCTATGTTTTGGTTTTTTGTTGTTTGTTTTGTTTTCTGTGCGTGCATAGTGTAGTGAGTTTGAGTTGTTCAAAATGGATCTCCGACTCCGTTCTAGTGATGTGACGAACTCCATGACTTTTTTATATGATTCTTTAAGTAATTTAAGTGAAATTGATGATGACAATATTGAAGATGACTTTGAGTTTATAACTCAAGCAATATGGAACATTCATTGTAGGCCTAGGCCTAGATGTACGAATTATGAATTCTTATGAAAAAAAAACACTCTGAACATTTTAGGCCTACCGGTACCTAAATTGGTGATTGTGCTCAATTAATTATTATTATCAATTAATTATTAATTTAATAAAATATGTTAAAATTCATGTCTTCTTGAAATAGCCCTATCTTATTTTTCCTTTTTGGCTAACCTAATCTATGTAACCTTAATAAATTCAATGCAGTTATCTTATTGTATTTAAAGATTAAATAAAGTTAGGCTTTATCATAAGTTCATAAGTTATATGTGTTATTAAATGAATTTTTAACAGGTATCGGTATCGAGTGCGGAATCGAGAATCGAAACCAAAGTTGTAGAATCGGAATCGGTATCGGAATCGACCAATTCAGGAATCGGCCCATCTCTATTTTTTTACCTAAGCCTAATTTTGCTCTAAAGTGGGACAGTTAAGAATAGGTGTACTGCAGTCATAAAAAGTACACCTGTTCCTGTTAGCGAGCTGCAAGTTAATTTACATAAATGTGAATTGTTGATTAGTTGGTTGAAATTGATTAGTTAACAATGTAAGGGCACACAATGATTTCAGCTCTAAAGGCATGTTCGGAGGAGGAAGTGGTGGTGGAGGTGGCTCCTCCCGTCAGCTCACTCGCACCCGAGCCAGGATTATGCGCACATCAGCGGCTCCGTTCCGTGGTGCAGGTGGTCGTAGCTCTGGTGCAGGTGTGATCATGGGCGGCAGTGGGGGCAGTTCTAGCTCATCACGCCCTGTGGTACCCGCTCCCTATGTCCCTGAGGAACTGGTGTCGCAAGCACAAGTTGTGCTGCAAGGGAAGAGCCGAAACCTTATTATCAGAGAGTTGCAGGTCAGAATCTTTTCTTGTGTTACCATTTCTCAGAATCTTAAGCTATAAGGATTTGTAGTTAATGGTAGGCTTTTTCATTTGATCCTAATATCACCTCACAAAATGCTTGAAACCTAATAGGCTCTAAGTGTGTAACATTCCTAACTTCATTAATTAGAATTTTTTAACGACTTTATAGGCTTACCGTCGGTAGTCCAAAATTGTGTCTGACTACAAATAATGTTGTTCAAAGCTGACATGTTTTGTTGCAAATGCAACATCGTCGGAGCTTTACGCCAAAAACATCAAAAAACGTAGTCCGAGGGGTTTTAGAATGAATACTAGGATTTTTTAGCTGTTTGGCATTGTAATTATGGCCTGTAAAGTTATCAAGAGAATTAGATATTTCATTATTAATCTGATTTTTAAACTATTTGGTATTAATAATGTATTAGATTGGTGTATTTAATATTCTTGATCCAAACCGATGCTGATCCGAACATGTGTAAAAATTCATTCCCTTATTTAGCATTTACAAACAGCTGATTTGGTTGCTTTTCTTAACATACTGTTCTCCTTTCATTGCTTCGTAAAAATCAATTACATTTTCCATCTGTGATTTACTTCTTATGTTGTGAGTATAATGGAAAATACATTTTTGAAGATAATTTATCATTTCTAGTTGCAATATAATTTTAATTTTCATCGTAGTAGATTGTTTAATGGGCTATCTCAGAATCAGTGTCTCCCTGCCTCCTAACGTAGTTGAAAGTCCAAACATAAATTTGCAACAAAAACTTGTATTTAAATGGTATTGGTTGTTTCAGCGTACAAACCTAGATGTTAACCTGGCCGTGAACAATTTGCTGTCCCGGGATGACGAGGAAGGAGACGAGGGAGATGACGGTGCAGACTCTTATGTTCCGGAGGATCTTATCTCACTGTTGGACGGAGGCTTCCACGCTGACCACTCCGTCATCATTGACGCAGACGCTATGTTCTCCGAGGACATGTTCGGATACTCTGCGATGAGGATGTAAGTAAAAGGTTACAAATACTGTCATAAGTCATACCTTTCACCTTGTATATATATTCCATATATTATACTAGGTATTCCATTTCCATGTTAAAGCTGTTGCTAGTTTAGAATAAAAATTAATATACAGTAGAACCTCGATAACAAGACTCTCATTTGGATTATTGAATGAGACTTATTATCAAGGTCGACTTCTTATCGAGGTTTAAAATAACATGTGATTAGGGCTAAAATAAAATTCAAGGGGTTTAGAAAATGACACTTGTTATAAAGGACGACTTATTGAGTATTCCACTGTAGTTGAATGAAGCCATCGACAAAATAACACTGATATAAATTTCTGATGTGAGCAGTAAAACAACTGAATATAACAGAAATTTTTGAATGGCCACCATTTCTAAACTTATTTTTAAATAGCCAAAACTTTGAAATTAAAATTAGATTCAGCCATATAGGCTAATGCTACCAGTGAAAATTAGCTTCATTTTTTAATCTAGTTTTTCTATGAATCAGAATCAGGATCAAAATCTTTATTGCTATTGATCAAACATAAAACTATGACCATTTTATTTACAAGGTATTCAGTTTTATTTCTAGCCTATTAAAAAAAAGGAATCCAAATTGTCTTGTTATTGTCTATACCAGTTACAGCACTGGTTTTTTTTTTATTATAAGAATCTCAAATACTTTTAAGAGGAAATGGTTCAAATCTCTCAAATTTCTGTGCAAATGAGTGGGATACCCGAGTTGATAACTACACTTGTAACCTATTATTTGAAAATTATTACATTACAGATACCATTACTTTTCCATCTTATCTCTGATAATCATTGTTGAGTTATGATTTTAATTTTCTTAATTTTTATGTTTTATGAAAGCTTATTCTCTTAAAAAAAAAAAATTCTCAGTCCGACTATTTATTGTTGTGTGACTAAAATTAATCACTTAGTCTTAAATAGTTCAAGATAATATGATTTGCTGTTTTTACATCAATGACTTTATTCTATATAATTGTGTGTGATAAATAGTTTAAGATAATATTGTGTCACATTCAGCCGAGGAATACCTGGCACGAGTGGCACAAGACGTCTACCCTCCAACCCAGAGCGAGAGCGTAGTGAGAATCCAGAGAGGGAGAGGTCTGACAGAGGAGAGCGCAGCGCTGATAGAGACAGCTTCTCTCGCTGGAGAGACAGACAGTACTTCGGACCACGGCGCTGGCTGGAGACAGCACTTCGGGACTCAGCCTGGGAGCCTGGTGAGTGATAATATAGTTTGAAACATGGCTGTAATTTAAAGTAGGCCTATATTTGCAGACCAAAGATCCAAAATAGATTAGTACAATTTTAAAAACCATCCACACTTATAATTTTTAATGGGCGATATTTTACCCGTTTACCTGTGGGTTATATTAGCAACATTCTAAAGTTTGGTTGGACTCATGTTGCCAAGTGTGTTCATCCTAAAGATAGTCCTAAAATTTCAATTGTTGACTAGCAGATACAATTACAAAGTAAGTTACCGGTTACAATACAACTGACTTATTCATTTTTCTGTCAGTGATATTATCATATTGTGTGATTTTTTTACTACGTTCAAAACACTTAAGTTGTTAAGTTTGTGAATGAAGGAGATGGAAATGGAAATGGCATTACTTGGAACGCTGGAGAAAAGCTACAATCATTGTCTCTCTTTTGAAGAAAAACTTTTTTTTACAGACAACAAGAAGAAAGAATTTGCAACGGCCAGTCCCCTGTGGATGTCGGACGATGTGGAGTTCTGGCCGGAGCCTGCGCCCAAGTTTACCAACATCGCGGCTCTGCACAGTGAACTGATTGCTCTGTCCAGCAACGGACAGTTGTATCAGTGGAAGTGGAATGAGACTGAACCTTACAAGCATTCCTGTGAGGTAAGCGTTTAATCTAGACAATCCTACTGTCTTTGATGTTTGGAAATAAATCTTTGTTTAGTAGACAGAGACACTCATTTGGATCTGGTTTGAACTTGATATGGTTCAGGCGGCCTCCTATCTACAACCATTGATTGACTAAGGAATACTAAAGTAAACATCCTATCTATAGCCAATTTTTCATAAAAAACATACTGTACTTTGATACTGTACTGTTTTCTCCCTTGATACTTAATAGATTAATGTGACATAAAATGGTGCTTTTGTTTACAATAAGCTGTCCTCTCAGGTTGACTTGGTTAAACCATTGAGGAGAAATTTCATTATGCCTCCCCCCAGACTGCTGAGGAAGTTTTTCCCCCAAATTGCACCCATCCATATCTCATTTTGCCCTCTTCAGTTCTTGTGTCTGGTGCTAGTCAAGTCCGTACTTTTAGCTCAAATGTTGCGTATAATTAAATATTTAAAGTTATGTGAATCATGTTTTCAAGGCAGAATTATTTCCCAAATAAATTCAACCAATATATTTTTATAATTTGCATGTGGACTATTATATTTAATATTTGCTCCTCTAGTGATCAGATGTAACATAGTTATGTTTGCAGGGGTCACCACATCACCCCAAGACTGTTCCTCTGGGGCTGACCAATGAGAAGGTGGTGTTGTTGTCCGCAACAGCCATCCGATGTTCAGTAGCTACGGAGAGTGGCAAGGTGAGAATCCTTGAAAAATATGTTCACGATTTTGACTATGCAGGGTATTACTGATCAGTAAAAAAGTCAAATGTCACTGGTTTTGACCTAAGGGATAAGGTGTTTTTGATGGGAGTTTTTTTAAGTAGTAGAGATCAAAGTCACTCTTCCTTTTTTCTGAGCAATGTGAGTTAAAATAATGTTTTATAATTATTGATACAGACTGATTTCAGAATCTCCCATGATTGCGGCAAATTGCGATCATCTCCTGCTGTTTCGCCTGTGTCTGTCATATATAAATTTGCAAATTTGGCTATGAAATCTGTGAATTGTGTGTTCAATTTTAAAATTTGAAGGGAACAGTGCATAAAATATTTTTCATAGTTGAATGTTAAGTTAATTTCTTTTTTTAAATAAACTGCATTGAATAGTCCAAAAAAACTATTTGTGAAATAAGACATTGTCAAAAATTTTTACATTCCAGGTTGCCACTTGGTTGGACGAGTTACTCGCTCACGCCGCAGGCAAGCTGGAACATCCGGCTACTGCTTTCACAGAGTTCACGCTAGATCGGATCACAGCCCTTCACACTTGCACCCTCTACACTGTGGCCAAACTGGAAAGTGGAGCACTCTACTGGTGGTCAGTATTAAACCGATTCATAACATATACAGGGTCCTCAAAACGTCAAGGAATAGCATTTAATTTTTTAATCAATAATGGAAAAAATCCCTACACATAAGTTTTCTGTCAAAAAATAATTTGTTAAGAAAAATAAATATAATTTTTCTTCATGCTGGAAACGTTTCAATTAACGAGATCATGAGTTTAGTAATATTGTACATCAAATCAACTTTATCTATAAGGAGAACCCAACGCCGCAAAACCTGACCTCAAAGGTTTATTCGTTTCATGACAGTAGCAGTTATTACAAGGAATAGCAACTTAGCCTTGTTTAACACATACAAGTTTTTAATTTTAACCGCTGCTGCTTGGGCTATAACCTTTCGGTCAGGCTTGTGGGTATGTGTTTTCTATGTGTAAACTAATGTAGTACTCGACCCATGCTCTTTTTTTAAAAAGATTTCCCTGTGATCGTTTCTAGTATGAAAAAATCATCTTTGCTCAAGTTGATTTTTTTGGTAGGACTGTAGTGTAGGTTCTTATTTGCAAAGATTTGTTTCATTATTTAATGTTAATTGTTGCATTTAATTTTTTTATATCTGTTTCAAAAAATAACAAAATGGAATGCATTTCCTGGACTTTTTTAACAAACTCTGCAACACAAATAAAGAGGGCGAGGACGTTTCGGAAGATGTAGTTTTTGTCAATAAATAGTGGAAATTTTAATGCTTTTTTCTAGGGGTGTGCGAAGCAGCAAAAAATTTTCGATTCGAAGCAACGATTCGATTCAAAAGATTTTCGATTCGATTCGATGCAACTCGATTCAAAGCAATACGGTATTTTTCTATTCATAATTGTCAATTGAGTGGATTAACAATAATTAAAATTTATCACATTTGTGTAATACAAATTTTTGTTGATGTAGTATTAGGCCTATTCATACTTACATATGAATTTTAGGTGAAAAAATATTTATTTTCAATCATATGTATTAGAATAACTGCTGGAAATACCAGTGAGCTGCTTTACTTGCCTATTTCATAATTTTTACTTGGAATTGGCTCAACTGCAAGAAAGAAGAAAATATTTTTTTTATCAAGACACTCATTCTCATTTTAATAACTGTTTAAATAACTAAATAGGTACCGGTAGCTAAATTACAACAAATTTGAATGGAACTTAATATAAAAAGACCATTAAGAAATAAATTTACATATCACAAGTTTAGGGCCTGTGGACCGGCTTCAGGACTGCAAGCAAGAAGAAAATAAAAATAATATGTTTCCACCATGCAACATGTATCATTCATTCCCTGCCTCCTAACCTCCTTAGTATAATAACCTCACACTTACATTATTTGTTACATCATCATAAATAAAGAATTATTATTGGCATCAGTAGGCCTACAGCTTTACATAGGCATTATTTTTTTAGGGCCTAAAATAGTAATAGGCTAGAAGCAACATGTCAAGTGGAGAACTCATTGAAGAAAAGATATTGTGTAAACTAATTTCCTATAAAACTCAAAAACAGTAAATAACATACAAACATTGTTTATGGTATAATTAATAAGGACTAAAAAATGCATATAATGTCATACAGTGTAGTATAGACCTACCGGTACTGCAAGAGATTAAAATCCTAAAACAACTGATTTTGATAGCTAATGAATGAAAAGAATTAAAAATCCATAAAATGAAGCTAAACAATATCACAACTAATTAGGTACCCGAAAAGTAACTCTTAAATAATAATATATAGAAGATTAAAATAATATTAAATCAAGAGACAAGAAAGTTAAATGCTATCTTCTAGTGCCCTTGGCAACACAGGTCAATGTTTTTAAACTACCCTCAATGTTTTTGGAACAGCAGGGCCTTTTTCTCTTAAGGAAGGGTAGTAGTATGTCAACAAAAACAATGAATCAGTCTCACCAGCCAGGCCCGGGCAACGATGTGTGAATTCAAGGTCATAGACCCTCCCCCTCCCCTCTTACACCACCCGGTTGCTACCCAGTTGCTTCAATTGCTGACAAAATGCAAGTGATGAAACAAGGAAGTAGAGACAAAGAAATATATTTCTTTATTCAAAAACACAAAACTGTTAGAGATTATTTTCAAAGAAATTAATTCAATGTAATTTGTGAGTTGTAAATATTGTATTGGATCTTAGAAATATATTTTTTTAACACTATTTAACCAAGATACAGATCTGTTCACTATATCAGATATTATGTAAAATACTAAAATATATTTTTAATTAGGTATTGAATGAACAATAAATGATTATACTAGTATGTCTGGATAAATAGTCTTTCTATTCTTTTGACTCTGTTGACTCTTTGCACTGTTAGTGTTGCGTCTTTGTATTGTTACTCTTATCAGTAGACGACTAGACCTGGCTCTGGCTAGTGGCAGTGCGGCAATTGCTCTGTTGTGTCTTTATTCTTAAAGGTCGTGAGCCAACTTAATTTTTAATTCTCATTTGAACATTTTAATTCCTCTGTAATAGATATAATAATATAAGAGTGTTTCTTTGGAAATAAATTATTCTTTTTTTTTCTTTTGCCCCAACAAAAATTCGGGGACGGGGACCGACAGACACCTAACAAAAATACCAAATGTATCAGTCTATAACATTGATCTCACTAGTTAAGTATTAAGTAACAATTTTTCAGACTTATTTTTGAAATGATTTTGGAGTAACCTACCTTGTTTTGGCTAGGTTCACAGTAGTAAAATATTTCACACACTGCTTACATCAAGACAAAAAACAAAACCTCTAATCATTTGCAATGTCAAAACAAAAAAATATAAAACAATTAAAGCTATATTTAATGCAAAGAATGTATTAAATAAGAACGCCTTCGTAAAGGAAACGCAACAGCAACGCGCTCCTGTATTGCGGGTATTGCATTGACTTTCTGCAGGCGTTTTTCGTATATGGATACTGACTCCCTCTTGAATCGAATCGTTTTTTGACCACCACTGAATCGAATCGCGATTCGATGCATCGAATCGAATCGAATCGAAATTTCGATGCATTTTCGATGCATCGCACACCCCTACTTTTTTCTTTCAAAAGAGATCTGCAAATATTGTTTTAGCGAATTTCCCATATAGGGAATAAGCTATTACCGTAGTACTCATGGTAAGAAGTAGGGATGGTCAAGTCTCGAAATTTCGGGAAATTTTCGGGAAATTTTAAATCTCGTTAAACGAGACAAGATTTCTTTTTGGCCGAGATTTTTATCAAGACAAGAATAAAAAAAAAAAAAAAAAAAAATTAAAAACGCCTGCAGAAAGTCAATGCAATACCCGCAATACAGGAGCGTGTTGTAGTTGCGTTTCCTTTGCGAAGGCGTTCTTATTGAATTAATTCTTCAAATGTAAATATTATTTTAATAACATTTGAGAAGTTTTGTTAAGTGTTAGCAGTGTGAGGAATGTTTTATTACTATAAAAAAAGTCAAAACAAGTAACTATTTTAACAAAATTAATATTTTATTTTATGATTTATTTTATTTTAGGATAAGTTGAACTCTATCCTAACTGATATCACTATGTTTCCTAATCGTAGGCATTTTTAATAAGTTAGGCGTGATTAATAAAAAAATGTTATGCTGATGTTTTTTAATAAAAGATTGTAAATATTCTTGCCTATTATCATTATTTTTGTATTCAAACAGTCATCTAACAATGTTACAAAATCAGGTAAAAATTCCGAACGTGCATTTCCCGTTGTGTATGAGAAGGGAAATCCCGTCTCGATCTCGTCTCGAAATTTTATGAGAAATAAAAAATCTCGTCTCGTCTCGTCTCGAACTAAAAATCCAATCTCTAAGAAGTAAACTGTTATAGTTTGCTTGATTATGAACATATTTTGATCAAATTTGGAAAATACATTTATTTCTTACTAAACTATTAACATTTTACAGAAAAACAAAATACTTTTACCCTCCCAAACAGGCAAATGGAAATTTGCTTGGTCTGCAGGTTTGCTGTGGCAGGGGTATTTAATGTTATTTTAATTACTGTCATCTGTTACTGTACCTATACACAAAATATCTTTCTTCAAATAATCACTGATTGCTTTCTGAACTTTGTCTTCATCAAGTACGAGAACATTGAATATCTGCTCCATTCCATTTGCTAGACCAACTACCAGTGTCACGACAAACAATTCCTGTTGCCTAATTTTTCAACATTTCTTGTTATTAAATTGAAATAAGTCATTTTGTTACTATTGATTTATTTTTTAAAGGAAACTAAAGAAACAGCCTATTAAATGTTGTAATATTTTTGTCATAGGGGCGTCTTACCATTCAGTCAAAGGAAGAAGTTGTGGGAGAAGTACAGGGCCAAGTCTCGCAAACAGAGACCATCAACTGGATCCCCGGAAATAACTACTGGCAGTCAAGTTTGCATGAAGAATTCACCCATATACCAACCAGGAGCAGTTGGTAAGCTCTTACTTTGTGCTCGTAACATTGAAATTAAGTTAAGTTTGATAATCTTGTTAACCAAAATTGGTTGGCTTTTACTTGTGCTATCATTAACAAATGCCCACAAATATGTTAATTTCAGGGATATGGTGGTATTTTTTACCTATAGTAACCACAAAACGAAAAAAAATCCAAACCTGGGTCTAAGTCTCACCATGACACATAGAGTAATGGCTTATTCCGTATAGGGAAATTTGCTGATATTCCCCACAGGGAAAATTTGCTAAGACTATACTGACTTAACATTGAGGGTGAGAGGGATAAACTTAAACTTTCCTAACAAGATGTAACACATGGGGTTCCATTCTTAATTTATTTGTCATCAAAGTATAAATAGATTAACTAGATTTTTAATCTTCATAGAGGACATTGTGTGATATGACTTTTCCAAGGAGATTAATTTGATTTAAGTTTTTGTAAAACTGGCACGCCAAGCTATTTTAATTTGAAAATGCTATACCATGAATAAATCCACAAATCAAAATTAATTTACAATATTGCAGGCTTCTGTATCTCCGGAGGTGTGCCGAAAGTGGGCCAGCTACAGAATGCAGCGTGGAACCTCAGTGACACGAGTCGCTTCAAGCTGATGGCTCCCGTGAGTCAGACCCAGAGCCGAGGGTTGGAGGGGCTGTTGCCAGGCAGTAGTGGCAAGTCTAGGGATCACAAGGAGACAGCTGACCGCATAGACATGCCTCCACCTCCTAGCCCTGCCAGCTCTACCTGCAGCGATACTGGCTCTACCTCACACAGTAAGTATTACCAGTAAATACAGTTAACTCCATTTAAAAATCAGTTTTTTTAACCACAGGTGGGTGTCAAATGTTATTTTGATTCAGAGATATCTACATCAGTAGTTGCCGAGATATAAAAAGATTATACACAAAATAAATATATTTGTTAAAATAAACAACATTGGGTTTCAAGATCAGTGTACAGTAGTCGCAGCTAGTCTGGGCGCGCGGACCCTAGTGTACTAACCGTTCCCCATGCCAAAGCCATGAAGACAGCGCTGATGCGCTGAACAACCCCAGAGAGCCGTGTGGGCCAGATGTTTTTGGAAGTGAGCAATAAACACCCCCCGCCCTAGCGCTGCCGCGCGCCCAGACTAGCTGCGACTACTGTACGATTCAGGCCAAGCCGGGCCAACTACCTCCGCTACGGCAGCCAATGCCTGTTGCCAAGCTAATTTTTCAATTGATTCAAACAAGTTAATATAGTTTCGGTACGGCAAGGTACGGTTATAAAAAGGTTTTTCTGTATAGTAGAATCGCTCTTAAATTGAAAAATAAAGTACCTGTAGGCTTTTTTTATCCTAGCCAAAACTTTGATTAAAAAGGTGTTCTTTGTTACAATTTTATATTGATGAGAATTGAGGCAACGAATAATGTTTTATGAATTATTAGTTTTATGAATGTGAGCCTAGCCTACAAGCTTGAGCGAGAACCAAGTTATAAAATAATTGAGCTCAAGAAGAGTTTTTAAACTTAAATGTTATCACGAGCGCAGAATGTGACTTCAAAGAACGTATATTTAAAAAGAATTCATGCTTTTGCTGTAATTTCAATAGACAACGTTAACGTTTTTTTTATTTCATGAGACATTGATGATGTTTCCATTACCACAGGATATTGGCAGCATTTCGCTATGTTCTCGGAAGATGATGATAAAATTTCCGTGACTGCATAATTTATTCTTTAAATACCTGCTTAAAGTATTCTTTGACAACTAGTTTTGGTTCATGAATCATTTTGCACAGTGTTCGATTTGTAAAAAAATAGGTACTGGAACTGTAACCTATTTAATGTAATTTGTACTCATGTATGTACCAAATAATGCCAATATTTTTATCTTTCTGAAAGGGAGGTACTCCGCCACGTTCCCCCACAAATCGAGCAATGATCTTTAAGTCCTACAAATAGTCTATGTTAAAATACTTAAATTCGAAGGCTGTTATAATAAAGTTTGATAAAAGCGAATACACACAATAAACATCATTATAAAAGCAGTCTCCAGAAAAAATGAAAGTTTGTTTACCAGTAGACAAATAATTTTTCACTGTATCTTAATAATAAAAAAAAATAAACACTATGTGGTATTAGTTATATTTTAAAATGTAAAGTGTGTTTGAAATTATTTTCAGAGCGTCCCAAAAGACCAGCTGTCAAAGAGGATGCTGAAAAGAAGGACGAGGAAAATTGGTTTTTGAAAGATGTCATCTTTGTGGAAGATGTGAAAAGCCTTCCAGTAGGTAAGTATTTGACAATAATATTTTATTCTTTTACATGTTTGTGCTTAACTTTTAAACACTAGCCTACGTACAAATCTGAAAAAATTATACTGCACTAGCGTCTGAGTTGAGTAGCTCAAAACATTATTAAAGATTTCTGTGTTTATTATATGATGAACATGTCCTCATAATTAATTGGGATCAACACCGTTTCATCAGTATTATGATTTTCAGAATATTAGCTGGCTTTACCATCCCTCACACAGTCAGCTAAAGATGTATGTACGTACATTGCGCATTGCGGCGGTGTATTTGAATGCCAGAGTTTTTGTAACATTGCAGTTCCTCATGATGGTAATACAGTAGTGAAGGTGCTACTCAAAACTCCCTAAGGACTCCTCTGTTAAGGAGTAGTTTGTAGTGCCCTCACTCCTGGATTGTGTCTTAATGAATGATAGGGAAGTACATTGTCTCTGTAACGTCAGCTAATCAATTAAACCCAGAAAACAACGAGTTTACAACTAGAGAAAACAAATGTTGAACTCTGCGATCTTCATAGTAAATGATTGTGCAGGTCGGGTGCTGAAGGTGGATGGGGCATACGCTGCAGTTAAATTCCCCAACCCTTCACCCAAAGAAGGAGGCAAGGACTCTAAGGAGACAACAACTGATGATACTCTCACTTTACTGCAAGACTGTCGTCTGCTAAGGAAAGATGAGTTGCAGGTATGAATAATTGTTTCTTCCGAGATTTATGAAATATTTAGGGCTGCAATATAATCATTCTGTATCACACCGTGAAATAACCGACTCCGTGAAGTGTCCGTCAAATGTTTCAAAATGTCTGCTGTACTACTGCTAAGACGGGTTTACAATAAATATAAGTGTTTCTGTGTTTTCCTTTTAAGTATTCTTTAATTCATCTAACTTGCATCTGACTTCAAATATTGTATTTAGCCTCCACTGTTGAAAATTAAATTCCTTCCAGCCTAATATTTATGCTCTTCTGACTGTGATTTTTTACCCTAGTGTGGTCTTGCTCTCCGTGTTGCTGTTTGGTTCAAAAATTTATAACTTACAATGACTACTGCTTTAAACCAAAATTCACTGTACTATAAACATGATGGAAATAAGGGATTCATATTGATTAATTTATTATTACTGATAAGATTGTTGAAATTATATCTCCCCTAATCCCTGGAATGGTGTATTCTGCAGGTTGTGAAAACAAATACAACCTCCAGAGCTCCAGACTGCTTTCAAAGGACTCCAAGGAGGATAAATATGACAGAAAACGGAGGTCATATTTTGACTATTGCTGTGGACGGTCAAGGTATGCCTGCTTAGTACTTATATTATCAGTGCACATGTAGTTAAAAATGATTTAAAACTGTGAATGCAAGCAATTCTAATCAATATCGTTCTTCATATTATTGTGACTTTGTTATATAGGGATCCATGCGGTGGTGAAGACAGCATCCAAATTGAGCTACGTGTTGTACAACGTGACCAATGGTAGAGTGGAACAAGATTCTCCGTTCCCGTCCGAGACCAGTTCATTCCTAGGCCTGGAACCTCAGAACATCTGCCTGACCAGCACTGGTGATGTTAGTATTTTGAATTATTAAGTTTCATCCTTTACCCATTAAAGACTTGGTTTGGCTTCAATAGCATAGCCTTTAGAATCCAATAAAAAATGGCCAATTTACAACAGTAAAAAAATCATTTGGCTTTTTAACTTAAATAGATAAAAGTGGTATGTAAATTAATCTAAATTAAATTTGCTATTGTAATAAACATGTTTCAAGTAAAAAAAAATTATAACTTTAAAAAATCTTGCAAAAAGAAAAAAATAAATTTGTTAAAAGCAATGTCAAAATATGTAGTCTAAATATTTTTTTTAACTATTTCTTGCTGTTATTCCCTTACTTTATTCAATTTCCTACATAAAAACTTGTAATTTACAATTATATCAACAATGGTCTATGTTTTTACAGCTATTTATGTAAAACACTATCTAACCTCGCATCACCACATTGTCGTCCGATAGGCCTACTCCGCCCGATTCGCCATCACTTTCACTGTCATTTTCGCACAAAAGTCTAGTCAATCTCACTCGAGAATATGCGATCAAATTAGTTTGTATGGCCCCCCATTTATAAAACATAATAATAAACTTGTAACTAAGTTATAATGACTTATCACCACTGAAAGTACGAACACAAACGTCTGAACATGAAGAACGTAAACAATCACATCACATCTGTTGCACCATTTGGCCAACCAGACAAATAAAAATAATATCCCTTGTCAATGTCTGATATTACAGAGGGAATAAGAAAATTATTCTATTGTAAAAATGTAGACTTATCTTATCACAAATAAAACACAAAAGCTGTTATGTAATACCTTTCATATAAATACGGTAACACAACTTTTAGTGACGTAATATTTTTACACTTTTTGTTACTTGTTTTCTACTTATTACTTTTAGTTTATTCTTAAATAATCATATGTTATTTAAACAATAAGTCTTCTCTTTAGAAACATTTCAATTCATAAAACTTAGTAGCCTAACTACGCAACAATTAATTATTTAAACAATCATTAATAATGCTATGTTGTCATCACAAAACTGTTCTGAAATAAGGTTTTTGGGCCTATACAGCCGATCACAGAACCATTCCGTGATAAATCTTCAAAGGTTTAAATTTCATATTTTTCATTTATTGGGCTGCATTGATATTTGCAATTATTGGGGATTACTAGTAAAAATTCATTTCTGTAAAAGTTAATATTATCTTACTAATATTATAAATGTGAAAGTTTGTGTGTTTGTTTGTTTGTTTGTGTGTTTGAAGTTTAATCACGCATAAACCACTGGACGGATTGGGCTGAAATTTGGCATGATGATAGCTTACATTCCCGATTAACATATAGGCATATTCTTAACTCAAAAATCCTTTCGGGCTCCGCCCCAGTGGCTCTGTAATTACCCATGTTAACCTTATGAGTATTCATATTTAAAGGGAATTAAAGAATTTAGTCAGCTGTTTCAACTAAAAAAGTTGGTTCTATGATAAGGAAAAGCATTAAAAAGTTATAAGATTTACCAACAGGGTACAGCACTATATATTTTTTGCATTTATGAAAACAGCTAATTTGAACTAAGCAGCAACAAAAACTGTGATTCGCAATGAGAACTGTCAAAGTAGGATTGTTTACAGTTATGTTTATGTTTTTAATTTCATGAATAATTTGTGATATTTTGCGAATTGTTGATAATTTTTTTTTCTATTGTTTAGGTGAAGTGGTAGAACATGGCTATGGTAGATGTGTAATACTGTAGAATACTGTAAATTTAAAAAAGCAAATTTTATCAAACTGTGTCCTCCCTTATTTTTTTTTTTTTTTTTTTTTTTTTAAAGAGGTTGGCGGCCTCTTTTAACCTTGCATTTGCCCGTCCACATAGACTACAGATCTGTGCGTGGAACGTATCCAGCAAAGCAAGGGGTGAGCCGGTACAGTACAAAGGTGAACTGTACTGATAAAAGTTTGTGGCAGTGACCAGGATCCGAACCCACGACACTTCTGCCTTGTGCCTTGTGCCTTGTGGTTATTGCAAACGCAAAGCTTGAGTATAACTGCAATAATCATTTTATACTTATATTCCAACCCCGTACGAAGGACGGGTACTCTGCTAGTTAGTAAATAAACCTTAACCCCTTAATTCAGATGTTTTATGTAAATTCCAAGTTTTAATGCCAAATCATATTTTAGTCAAATTACTACAAAATCTTGAGTACGTAGTATGAATATTTTGTGTTGAAATAGACATTAAAAAATAGACTTGCATTTTACAATTTTTTATAAATAATTTGTTATGTTATCTTTACAATGCTAATTACTTTATAGGTATGTCTGTTAATATATAGTAAGAATAAACAGTAAAAAAAACTGACGTATTTTACTGCTATGATTTACACTATTTATATGTACCAATGTGCTTGAAATTAATTAAGAGCGTTTGATTTGATAAACTAGGAGATATTTTAGAGTTTTTAAATATATGATTTAATTTAAATTAGACCACTCAAAGTAACATTCCCTAAACAACACCCACATTAATAAAACATCACGTTTTAGCCACCAAACTATTCATAAAACACCAAACCAAAACTTGTTCAACGTGTTGGTTTGAAAATGTTGACTGCAGCTACATACAGTTTTGTGTCGGAGATTTCCGTTTGTTCACCTATGTGGTGTGTTCGCAGAGCAACGACAGTGTACTGCTGTTGAGGGATGGGAACTCAACATTGTGTCCACTAGCCAAGGACAGTGTGGACAGTATAAGAGACGCTCAGTGGCTAGACCTGCCTCCTGTCAGATGCATTGGCACAGGCGTTCACACCTTGACAAGTGTCACCGCTCCAGGTAATTGAACATTCCAATACTTCGAACGGCTATTAGCATCAAGTCCACAAACTATTTCATAAGTATGAATTAAACTGTTGACTTCATTAATTACATCCAAGTGTTCAATATTCATAGCCAAACTATATCAAGTAAGATTTCCAAGTGAGGACAGCGCCACAAGTGATGGTCAGACTGTTCCCATCAGCCGTTGGCCTTAACAATATTGAATCCACATTTCTAGCAGAAAAGTATGCTTCTCTCTGATGTCACATTTAACAATGTCTACATGATCAAATGTTTCAGCTCTGAAGAACCAAGTGGCACTGATTGTGCTGGCGCTGAACACCCAGCTGCTCATGTCCAGGGTGTTGAGGTGTGATTTGGAGGGAGTTCGTCAGGTGCTGCAATCTCTGGAACAGGAACCAAGTGAGCAACCACTCCTACCTAAACAAATATTATGTGTTCTTTTCATTCATTTCTTGTTTGTTCTGAATTTTCTAAATATTCCTGCCAAAAAACTGGGATTGGGTGTTGCTCTAGCTTAAAAAACAGCCTCTTTGATTTTGGTGTAGCGGCAGGTTTGATTCTTGGCACACTACATTTACTCAAACAGATAAGGGTTTTGAAACAATCTCCCTCAAAAGCATTTAGTGTTGTCAATTTTAAGATAAACAAGCATGGTTATAGCTTTTGACATTGTTCTAGGATTTACTTTTTATAACTTTAACACTATGGCAGGATTTACTTTTTAAAATTGTATAAGCTTTAAAATTCAATTTTAAACTCCCTATTAAATTCTTAACTAATGTTACAGATCCAGATTTTCAAGGTCTAGTTTTGTAAAAGTACAGAATTTTATTGCTTAACCTAGAATTGTCTGGTTATTAGGTAACTTAGTTATGTTAAGGTTATTGGTGTAACTACCAAAGTTCTCTATTTATATCTTCAACCCTTCCTTCTGTGATGTATTTTTTTACAAAATGTATAATGTATCATGTTTTTTTTCTTTAGAAAGTAGTGAAAACCTACAAGCAATTCTAGCAGAACGCTGTGATGGAAATCGAAATGTCCTCCATGCTTGTGTTTCCATGTGTACTCCTACTTCCAATAAGGAGGCTGAAAATAGTAAGTACCCTTTTATATTTTATAGAGCGACATCTACATTGGAAATGTAAGCTTGTTAAACGGTTTAAACTTATAGAGTTAAACAAATTTTTAAAGTGAATACCTATATCTACTAACCTTGTTCAAGAGATTTTTTATGATTTTACAATGATCACCATTCCAACTAGTGCAACACACAGAAATAAAAAAATATGTAACATATTGTCCAGATACATTAAAAAAAGTGAACTCTTTAAGGTTTGATCTGGCCTCGATAGCTCAAGCAACTTAAGTTGGAGATCACTGATGTGAACCTAGTATCTTGGCTATTAACACTGTATGGGGTTTCAGCGGACAATGCAGCCAACAGCAACACCTCAGGGCTAGAGTCTATCAATGTGATTACCAATGCCTTGGCACCACGCAGTGTCAGTCTGCGGGAGATGATGAGGAGAGCGACCGCTGCGGTCCGCACATCAGGTAAATATAGTGGAAGAGTAATAAAAACTAGTGATGGGCGGATCCAAGAAAATGTCGGTACCGGATCCGGATCCGGATCTTGAAAAATTCGGATCCGGATCTTCGGATCCGGATCCAGATACACACTGTCATAAGGGCGGGTTAAAAAAAAACGTAATTAACAGAATGCCAATTTAAATCATACTTTTATTATTTTTTATGTTGTACAGTGATACAGACAGCTTTGTGTTAGTAAAAAAATCGGTGTTGTACATTGATACAGACAGCTTTGTGTTTAGTAATCAAATCGGTGTTGTAAAGTGATACAGACAGATTTGTGTTAGTAAACAAATTGGTGTTGCACAGTGATACAGACAGCTTTTTGTCTTAGTAAAAAATCGGGGTTGTACAGTGAAACAGACAGCTTTGTGTTAGTTAAAAAATCGGTGTTGTACAGTGAAACAGACAGCTTTGTGTTAGTTAAAAAATCGGTGTTGTACAGTGATACAGACAGCTTTGTGTTGGTAAAAAATCGGGATTGTACAGTGATACAGACAGCTTTTTGTGTTAGTAAAAAATCGGTGTTGTACAGTGATACAGACAGCTTTGTGTTAGTAAAAAAATCTGTGTTGTAGAGTGATACAGACAGCTTTGTGTTAGTAAACAAATCGGGGTTGTACAGTGATACAGACAGCTTTGTGTTAGTAAAAAAATCGGTGTTGTACATTGATACAGACAGCTTTGTGTTTAGTAATCAAATCGGTGTTGTAAAGTGATACAGACAGATTTGTGTTAGTAAACAAATTGGTGTTGCACAGTGATACAGACAGCTTTTTGTCTTAGTAAAAAATCGGGGTTGTACAGTGAAACAGACAGCTTTGTGTTAGTTAAAAAATCGGTGTTGTACAGTGATACAAACAGCTTTGTGTTGGTAAAAAATCGGGGTTGTACAGTGAAACAGACAGCTTTGTGTTAGTTAAAAAATCGGTGTTGTACAGTGATACAGACAGCTTTGTGTTGGTAAAAAATCGGGATTGTACAGTGATACAGACAGCTTTTTGTGTTAGTAAAAAATCGGTGTTGTACAGTGATACAGACAGCTTTGTGTTAGTAAAAAAATCTGTGTTGTAGAGTGATACAGACAGCTTTGTGTTAGTAAACAAATCGGGGTTGTACAGTGATACAGACAGCTTTGTGTTAGTTAAAAAATCGGTGTTGTACAGTGATACAGACAGCTTTGTGTTAGTTAAAAAATCGGTGTTGTACAGTGATACAGACAGCTTTGTGTTGGTAAAAAATCGGGGTTGTACAGTGATACAGACAGCTTTGTGTTAGTAAACAAATCGGTGTTGTACAGTGATACAGACAGCTTTGTGTTAGTAAACAAATCGGTGTTGTACAGTGATACAGACAGCTTTGTGTTAGTTAAAAAATCGGTGTTGTACAGTGATACAGAAAGCTTTGTGTTGGTAAAAAATCGGGGTTGTACAGTGATACAGACAGCTTTGTGTTAGTAAACAAATCGGTGTTGTACAGTGATACAGACAGCTTTGTGTTAGTTAAAAAATCGGTGTTGTAGAGTGATACAGACAGCTTTGTGTTGGTAAAAAATCGGTGTTGTAGAGTGATACAGACAGCTTTGTGTTGGTAAAAAATCGGTGTTGTACAGTGATACAGACAGCTTTTTGTGTTAGTAAAAAATCGGTGTTGTACAGTGATACAGACAGCTTTGTGTTAGTAAAAAAATCGGTGTTGTAGAGTGATACAGACAGCTTTGTGTTAGTAAAAAAATCGGGGTTGTACAGTGATACAGACAGCTTTGTGTTAGTAAACAAATCGGTGTTGTACAGTGATACAGACAGCTTTGTGTTAGTTAAAAAATCGGTGTTGTAGAGTGATACAGACAGCTTTGTGTTGGTAAAAAATCGGGGTTGTACAGTGATACAGACAACTTTTTGTTAGTAAACAAATCGGTGTTGTACAGTGATACAGACAGCTTTGTGTTAGTTAAAAAATCGGTGTTGTACAGTGATACAGACAGCTTTGTGTTGGTAAAAAATCGGGGTTGTACAGTGATACAGATAGCTTTGTGTTAGTAAACAAATCGGTGTTGTACAGTGATACAGACAGCTTTGTGTTAGTTAAAAAATCGGTGTTGTAGAGTGATACAGACAGCTTTGTGTTGGTAAAAAATCGGTGTTGTACAGTAATACAGACAGCTTTTTGTGTTAGTAAAAAATCGGTGTTGTACAGTGATACAGACAGCTTTTTGTGTTAGTAAAAAATCGGTGCTGTACAGTGATACAGACAGCTTTGTGTTAGTAAAAAAATCGGTGTTGTAGAGTGATACAGACAGCTTTGTGTTAGTAAAAAAATCGGGGTTGTACAGTGATACAGACAGCTTTGTATTAGGAAAAAATCGGGAAAAAATTTAAAAAATCGGATCCAACAAAACCGGATCCAGCCCAAGATCCGGAATTTTTTGGATCCGATCCGGTGCCGGTTCTAGCTTGGATCCGGCGTATCCGGTAGTCCGATTTCCGGATCCGACCATCACTAATAAAAACGTTTCAACATGGTAAATTTTTATGTTGTAATTTCTCTGGTGTAGGGTGTATAAATGTTATACTGCAATGAAAGTGTTTGTTTTCAATGATCACACATTAACCTGTTTTAAATTACAACTGAATTGTAAAATTACTGAAGACTACCCTTTTGCTATGAAAAAGAATTTTGAAATTTGTAACCAAGAGATAAAACGTAACTTTATTCTAGTTTTGTTCAAAGAAAGGCTCTAGGCCAGGATTTTGGATAGAAGAATAAAGGGGGATAGCAGGTAGGGTTAACTGAGAAGGAATACAGGTAGACCATAGAACACACATTAGCCAAAACACACACAATATTTCCTCTCCAGTGGGGACTTTGTCAAGAATGAGGGAAAAAGAGTTCACAAAATGGCTGTACATTACTTGTTTTGTACTTAGTTTTTTCTTAAGGAATTATTTCCACAGCTTTTTAAGTGGTCACATTTTTATGTAAGTACAATAATAATTCTCAATTAATGTGTAATATTGTGTTTTATAAGGGATGCTCTAAACCCTGGCCTGAATACCTTTTGTGTGAGAGTCCAGTGACAAACTATCAAATCCTACATGGGATCAAACCAACAACCATCAAATTTGATTCACTAACCACTTGACTACCCAGACAGTTATTTCATGTTATGTATGTGTGTTGCAGGAGAAGGGGAAGCTGCCAATAACATGCAGCCGTACGTGGCTCCGGCCCCTGAGGCAGAGATGGGTTGGCCTCCGACAGAGCCAGTGTTTGACCTGGCGTCGGGTGATGAGGACAGTTTGACATTTGGTAAAAACGCTCCTCCTACTAGCCAGCCTGCGTGCGTGGCCGACCCTGCTGAGAGGCGCAACAACGCCCTGACTGCCCTCAAACTGCTGTGTGACTCACCGGCACTCGCCCCTCATCTCAAGGAACTCCTTAGTGCAAGGTAGACATCCCATATTTACAGAACATATTGAATGAGTTATACGAATCTAACCTTCTCCCTTCGTTTTTGTTATTGTGGTAATTTGTGACTTAAAATATCCTGTAGTTTACATTAAGCTGTCCTTTCTGTATAGCTTGATTCAATTAAATTCAATTCAATTTGTTTATTTACGGCAAAAACCATTGTACAATAAATACCATACACAAAAATTCAAAGCTATACAATTGGTAAAAGTACATGCTCAAAATCAATGAATCAATAAGCTTTTGAAACATAATAAATAATAATTTATAAATAAAAAACGTTTTTAAAACAAAATGTTTCTAAACGCACTAAAAAGTAGAAAATAATTTATAAATATGTGGAGAGTATAAATACTTGTAAGATTTAAAACAAAAAACGTGGGGTGCATGCAATAGATAATTTACAATTACCTTCACCTATTGAACTAATGTATTATTATCAATTGCATGCACCCCACGTTTTTCGTTTTAAATCTTACAAGTATTTATACTCTCCACATATTTATAAATTATTTTCTACTTTTTAGTGTGTTTAAAAACGTTTTGTTTTAAAAACGTTTTTTATTTATAAATTATTTTCTACTTTTTAGTTTTTAATGTGTGTGAATCTTAAATCTATTTCAAGCATCTATATCAGATTAAGACAGAGACATGTGAGAAATCTAAGGTTTATTTGAGTTTCTTTTCATATAATTATGTATTAGATTGAATGTATGGTCTACTTACTAACTATAAATATATTAATCTATTTAATTTATTGTTTACTTTATAGAATACTAAATAAATAACAATTGATATTATTAACAAACGCCTTTATATATGCAACAAGCAATCAGATTGTTTATCTTTATTTTGAAATGTTTGTATAAAGAATCTCTCTCCTGTACCTCATAACCTCTGCTCTTCGAACTGTCAAATTTAAGTATTTACAGCTGACTTAAATTAATTGATGTATTTACATTCTTTCAAAATGTAAACATGTGAAATTTGGAATCCCATGGGGCGTAGCCCAAGGGAAATATGAAAATTGAGTTATATAATCTTGCATTGTCATCCATTTGTGAGCTATGTTTCAAATTTCAAGTCTCTAGCTCATCGGGAACTTCATTTCAAATTGATATCAAAATTTGTAGGAAAGCTAGCTAATAAAAACAAGCCCATGGGGCGTAGCCCAGGGGAAATATGAAAATTAAATGATATAATATTGCATTGTCATCCATTTTTGAGCTATGTTTCAAGTTTCAAGTCTCTAGCTCATCGGGAAGTATAAAAATTTGCAAGAAAGCGAGTTAACAAAAACAAGCCCATGGGGCGTAGCCCAAGGGAAATATGTAAATTAAATTATATAATATTGCATTGTCTTCCATTTGTGAGCTATGTTTCAAGTTTCAAGTCTCTAGCTCATCGGGAAGTTAGTATAAAATGGATTGCAAAATTTGTACCGGACAGGAAAGCGAGCTAATAAAAACGTTTTAAAAAGTAATAATAAATAGCACATGCATAGCAAATAACAAATAAATGCAAAATTGGAAATTACTGAGACAACAATGGTGGTTTTAAATAAGAGCAGAAGTAACATTCGGGAGATAAACAAACAATAATATATACTAAATACAATAAGTGAACAAGGGTGAGCAGCTAACGTGCAAAAGACATACAACTTATACAAGACCTAAAACTAAAATGACACAAGATGCATAGAAAAAATAATATTACTAAAGAGTGCATACAAAAGTAAGTAGCAAGTAGACTGAACAAAAAGAAGCTAGCATTACAAGAAGACATGCAAGAGGATGCACAGGTAACGTGCATAAGGCATAATACTGATATGAGACAGAAGATGCATACAAATCATAATAACAATATTAAAATGCGTACAATAGTGAGTAAAAATCGGACTCTGAACAAACCAAAAAAAAGAAAGAAGCTAGCATTACAAGAAAATGTACACATGGTTAACGAGCAAAGACATAAAACTGAAATAAGACACAAGATGCAAGACATAATAATACTAATAAATAGTGCATAGACTCTGACCAAAACAAGAAGTTAGCATCACAAAAACATAATCAACATGAACAAGAGATTAATTAAGCATATTGTATTCATCAACATAAATAAGTAATTGAACACACTATGTCAGTGGTTACAGTTGTTAAGCTATGACCGTTTTCATTCTCAAATTGGCTACAGCCTCTAACATGTCAATGGAATTTCTAGTACTATCCATAGTCAACATCTTGATCTGAGATGATTGAATGTAAAAAAAAAGAGAGTAATACCTACTTACCTAACAGACACTAGATTTATTTCCAGAGCCTAAACTTGCACTCTTAACAAATTTATTGTGATGCAAGCAATTAAGTTTGATTTTTCCCAAGGAAGAATTTTATGCAAACCAGGAAAAACTCAAAAGACTATAAGAATTCATATTTCATTCCAGGTTTTGTTAACTAATTGTGGATGTGTAAATATTTTATCTGAGAAGTAAAATAAACTTGAACTCAAGATATTTTTATGATGTCTGGGTAAAGCCTTTCGGTTGAGAGTTTAGAAATTGTTTGGTATGGTTCTTGAAGATGCTAAAAAAAAAACAATTTTTGTATGTAGACACTGTAAAAACAGACAGTGGGTTAACGGTACACTTATTTGACAGGGACGCCCAAGGTCAGACGCCATTCATGCTGGCTGTCTGTTGCCGAGCCTACAACGCTGCGTTGTATATCCTGGACGCCATACAGCGACTAGTAGCTCGCGTGCCTACTTCCTACGAGGACCTGACACCTCCACCTCCACCTCCACCTATGCCTCCGTCAACCACCTCTACCGAGGAGAAGCTCCAGAATGTCGTCTCCACATTTTTCATTGCCAAAGAAGCTGCGACAGAGACGAGGAAACAAAACTACCCATCATGGCTCTACCCCACTGGCACTGACCCTGGTGAGTGGTTTTGGTATTTAGAGGGTAAAGTTGTCAAGTGTGGTGTTATTTATGATGATTTTCTGGATGTTGAGTAAATAACAGGATTACGCTGATTAAAAAACTAAGATTTTCCTCAGGACGGCAAGATTTTAGAATAGCCTAATCGCTAATAGCATATATCCGAGCATTTGTTTATCAATCGGCAAGTTCTTATTAATGTAGTTGTTTTTGGTTAAGTGTGAAAAATAGTTCCTTGAAAATATTTAAATATTAGCCTAATCAGTCTTAGGTTACCAAATTTTAACTTTTGTATTTTGGTATCTTGATTAAGTACAGAGCAGTATTCAAATAATATTATCACACACCTTAGATGCTTAGCTGAAGTGACATTTGGGGTACCCTACCTGACCAGAGGCTGGTGGTGTTGGTGAAAGTCCATGTTAACACTAAAATACCCCCGCCGCAGCAAACCTGCAGACTTAGCGAATTTCCATTTGCCTGATTGGATTTAACCTAAAATGTCTCCTTAAAAATATCACATTTATTCGCTATTAAACAGAGTTAGTTTAATGAGTACTTAGGTTTGCTGCGACAGGGAGGGTAAAAAAGTTTTTTTTTTTTTTAATATTAAAAGTTAGGCCTACTGTGGTTTAGTAAGAAATTAATGTATTTTCCAAATTTGATCAAAATATGTTCATAAACAAGCAAACTACAACAGTTGACTTATTCTCCATAAGAATAACATAGGAATTTTAAAATTACAATTTTTTTGAATTTTCTCCGTAACAATTAGGCGCATAATAATGCCTCTGGCCTCTGGGGACATCAAAATGAAAAAGTAAATCGGTCCCGGGCTTAGGTCTTACCATGAGACCTACGGTAATAGCTACTTCCCTTAGGGAAATTCGCTAAAACTTGCAAATAAAAACGTAATTTCTTCTTTAGAAAATAAAATATCACTTTTACTTAGCCTACTGTACTGACTAATTAATAAAAGGGATTGAGTTGTAACATTGCGGGTTTAGATATGAAAGAAGGTGGTGCGGTTATGAAATATGACCGATAAATGGTTTCCCGGCGACCTACGGCAGTGGACTTTGTCGTTTGTAAGGTTTTTAACTGTGAGAACAAAGGTCGCATATCTTCTTTATCGCAAGGAGCAGCAGAATGGAAGAACCACTGCTGAAATGGAAATTACTAGGGCTATTTGTCATTATTTGAAACTGAAAATGTAGAAATGTGCAATCATTTTGAATTATAATCATAGAGATTAAATTTGTCCAACAATTTGGGTCAAGCAAAATTGGTTCATGAATGAACAAATTTGTATTTTCTTTTAATTTTTAATATCTTTCTTCATACAGAAGAATGGTATGAATACCTAAATCTACACGTACACAAGGGCGGCAGGACGGACGGGACCGGACAACCGCAATTTAGGACAGTCTGTGAGCTAAACTTCGAACTAAAACTGTGAGTCAGACTTCGACAGAGACCGTGAGACCATGGCCCTGTTTCATAAAGATACTAGTCTAGTAATTACTAGTCTAGTAAATACTAGTCCCGTATTTACCTGTCCTACTAATTTGTGGTTCATAAACGTGTTTATACCGCTAGTAAATACTAGTGTATTTTACTAGTCACGTGACCAAAACTACTAGTCACGTGATCAACTTTACAAGGTAAATTTTCAAAACAAATTTCTAACCTCAATCACGGGTTTTCAAACCCTTTATAAAGGGTTTTAATTTTGTTTTCATTTGATACAAAAAGTAAATAGTTGTAAAAACGCAGTGTTTCCTTTTAATTAATAACTATATAGACACATAAGTAAAACAATCACACATTATTTATTAAACCGCTATTATTTATGTTCATCAATGAGCCCACCGACGCGCCGGCGCGGCGCGGCGTCGCGTCGCTGCAATCAACACGGTGATTGTATATAGTAGCCGGTTGTAGGCCTAGTTGCGGCGCTCAACAGTTGGGTGGAAGTTGATCTGTTGCTGCCGCATTCGCTGTGATTTGTATAGTTTTTGTTTTATTCTGACATATAAAATTAAGCTTGCTATGAGTAAAGAAAAGAAGGCTCAAATTTGGAATGTAATTAAATCGTCTAAGGACATTTTGTTTATTGTTCAAGTACCCTTACCTATGTTTTCAATTATTCGAATGCATAAGGATATTTGGGTTAAACACCATTTGGTAATATTCATATTTTGAGTCTACAAACCATGAATAATAAGCCGAAACGTTTCTTGATGTAACAAATAATCGCTACGTTACAAGCAATGGAGTAGGTTTTCAAGTATAGTAAAACATTGCGTAGTCGCTAGGGCAGGGCATAGCTCAGAGTTAGAGTTCTCGCTAGTCATGTGGCGGGTCCCTGGTTCAAATCTATGCCACTCACTATACTTTAATTCCATTAATTCAACTTTTCCATGTTTTTACATTAAAATAACAGCTCTAATCAACATCAAATTTGTTTTATTACTTTGAATAACAAATTCCGAATACCAAAATGGATTAAAAGTAATGTTTTTATGATAAGCAGTTCAGTTCAACGCCCAAAAATCAAATATAGGCCTACAAAATTGTTAGTATATCACAGGGTTTCAGCTATTTAGGGAAGCAAATAACAAGCACCTCAATAAATAAATACAATGCAACTCCTCTTTAAAATTGTCTTACTATTATTTCCTATTAAAATGTCTTTAAATAAAACCGAGACCCTTGGGTGTAAAATAATCTGATTAATGTTGCAATGTTGGATACATTTGTTACATATTTGTATGCACTACGGTATGCGGTTTTAATATGGTTTCTCTCAAAGCTTAAAAATAATTTCTCTGTGATGGCTAAATAGTAACCATGAAATTTAACTCAAGTGTAAAATTAGACTAAAATTGATAACTTATAATTATAATTAATTCTAATAGGGCGATTGTATAGACATTACAAAATTCTATTTCTCTCATTTTGTACTACGCCACATCAATTGATTGTAATTTATATCTAATAATTATCATTTTAGCACTCACAGATATATTTTTATTTTAAATTGCAAACGTGAGCCAATTTGCACTTGCAAAAAGAACTTAATAATTCATTTTTTTAATGATGTGAGTAATGAAATAAATCTCTTTTCAAAAATACTAGTCTACTTCAAATAATACGGGTGAAGAGAGGTTGGTAGAAAATAGCAAGTATTTACTAGTGTAATTTACAAGAGTAAAACTTTATGAAACACATTGCTATCTACACTAGTAAAAACCACTAGTAATACTAGTCCCTACACTAGTAACTAGTATTTTACACTAGTAGGTTTTTGAAACGTAGACTTGTAAAATACACTAGTATTACTAGTCCATGGACTAGTAAATACTAGACTAGTAGTTTTATGAAACAGGGCCCAGTGGAGAATGGCAGAAGTCCCGTGCCACCCGCCCGATCGTTGCGCAGCGTCCGGTCGGTATGGAAGCTCGAAAATGTCCTAGAGTTTTGTCTCTCGAACTTCGGAAATCCCACCGTAGTGGGCCAATGTTATTATTTACTTTCAAAGATTGCCGTGCCTCCCTAGTGCGCGTGTAGCTTGGTAGCTGGGTGGTCATAGAGCTCCTAACAATCATAAGGTCGCTAGTTCAACCTAAGAGAAGTCGGTAGGCTTCTTGATGGTTTCAAACTGAATCCGACAGTTTCTGTCAGACATTATACTTGTCCTTATGCCTCAAGTTGCAACCAGTGGATTTTCTGTTGCAGAAGGAAAGAAGGCGTCGCTGAGTGAAGTAGAGACTCGCATTGACCAAGATGCGTTGAAAGCTATGATATTCCCTACAGGCTCCAACCCAGACCACTCTCCTCTGCATGTTGTGTGCTGCAATGACACTTGCAGCTTCACCTGGACTGGAGCAGAACACATCAACCAGGTAATCAATTATCTCATGCCAGTCTGAAGTGTAGAGAGAGGTAGGCCACTGATGTTAACCCCAGTTTACAACTTAGAAACTAGAGTTAATTTTAATACAGTTCAATTTTATGAATTGAATTAAAATTTATTGATTCAGATAACACTAATATTCAATTAAAATGTATAACACTATTAAAATGGTTACTGTTTGCTAGGACATATTTGAATGCCGCACTTGTGGACTGACTGGGTCGCTGTGTTGCTGCACTGAGTGTGCGCGAGTGTGTCACAAAGGTCATGACTGCAAGTTGAAGCGTACGTCCCCCACGGCGTACTGCGACTGCTGGGAGAAGTGCAAGTGTAAAGCTCTCATACAAGGCAACCAGGTGGCTCGATACGACTTGCTGTGTCGTCTCATCGCAGACACTAACTTAGTCACACAACACAACAGCAGGTTAGTCTCAGCTCATTAGTAACAGAGTTATGCAAAAACAAGATGGTTATGTTTTTGAAATGGGTGTTTTTCCCCTTTTTTTTATGTCCACGCCAGTTTTAGCGAATTTCCCTATAGGGAAGTAGCTATTACCGTAGGTCTCATGGTAAGACCTAGGCCCAGGACCGATTTACTTTTTCATTTTGATGTCCCCAGAGGCCAAAAACACCATTTGTTCAAATTTTTATATATCTATATAAATATATATATATATAAATAATTATATATATCTATATAAAGATGTATATATATATATATATATATATATGTCCATCCCGATTTTGATAAAATTTGGTTTGAAGGTGTAAGGCAGGATAAACTTGAATGAGTTCGCTAACCAGCATGATCGGATTATGGGAACGGGGTTTTATGGGGTAAAAATAGGTTTTCCCATTTTTTGACCCTAAAAACACAAAATTTCACAATTTCTTTCTAAACCATTTTGTAGAGCTTAAAAAAACAAATAATTTAGTATATTGAAGCGTGATTATGCGCCTAATTGTTACGGATAAAATTCAATTTAAAATTCGCAAGTTATTCTTATGGAGAATAAGTCAACTGTTGTAGTTTGCTTGTTTATAAACATATTTTGATAAAATTTGGAAAATACATTAATTTCTTACTAAACTACAGTACGGTAACCTTTTAACATTTTATATTTAAAAAACACTTGTTTACCCTCCCTGTTGCAGCAAACCTAAGTACTCGTTAAACTAATTCTGTTTAAATAGGGAACAAATGTGATATTTTAAGGAGACATTTTAGTGTAAATCCAATCAGGCAAATGGAAATTCGCTAAGTCTGCAGGTTTGCTGCGGCGGGGGTATTATTATTTTAGAAGAATCTCAAACATTTTCATGAGAAAACCCAAATCCCTCAATATTTTATGGATATGCCAGGGATTGAACCTGTCTCTCTCCCACTAAAATTTGTGTTTCTAACCACTTGGCCAGGAAAACTTCCAACAACAATTCTATTTTGTATTGCATTCTTCAAACTACCTTCCCCTGCTGGAACGATCTTTTAAAATCATCATTTAATCCTATTTTTTTAAAGCAACATTGTTATTACAGTTAAACCTTAACTATCCAGTCCCAGGGGGAGGGAGACTACGGGTAGCTCAAAACCATGGTTAATTCAATATGGTTCAAAAATATATGACAGACTGTATAAATAGAAATTAATGTCATAATTTGGATTTTTTTTTACTAAATGCATTACTGTGCAATCATGATATTTTCAAGTCATTGACCTTGGTTCAGTTAAAAATTTTCACTTCCTCATACTTATCAAACAGTTTCCTAATCACTGCACGGCAATAAATCAAGTTAAGATAATACTGTTTCACAGCTTATGGTCCCAAAATAGTAGTAACAGCATTTCATTTTAGTGAAACCACCCCTTTATGACATGTTCAAACATGCTGGACAAACAAGTTGATAAAACAGAGCTCGATGTTTGTGATTTGTCTAATTTGTTCTTAAACAAAAAAACAATCACCATTATCATTATCGAAGATAAATCAACAGTTGAGCATAGTTTGCACTCTTTGTAATTTGCGTGATAACCTCTAGTTTTGTTTTACAGAGTTTTTGCTGTTGTATTTCAAGTCACTCGCATGTTGTTGGTGTGTTGTATTAGTGATTGTTGTTATGTTCAGGGGAGAGAGCATCCTGTTGTTCCTGGTCCAGACAGTTGGTCGTCAGAGTGTAGAGCAGCGACAGTACAGAGCCTCGCGTCCAAGATCTGCCTCCGCCTCCTCTAGGAAGACACCATCCTCTGACGTCGGTAAGACTCGTATCATTACATACCATCTTCACCTATATAGACCAACTATCGCAGTCACACATTAACGAATTTTGTTGTTTTTTCTCAATTTTTTTTATTTGATTGACAATATAAAAGGAATGCTTTTGCACTTTAAATTTTATCCAACAAAATGGTAAAATTAAAATTTTGTCTTTTAGTTTGGCTTTAATTTTTTTTGTATTTTTTCAATAACTATATTAGGTGTTGTTGGTTAAGGGAGGCCAGAAGAGGTTTAATCCTATTGAGAAAACTCACTTTTTGCACAGGTAACCTGGTCTTCCTGTCAAAATTAATAGCCTATATAAATTAGTCATTGGACATTTTTTTTATTTAAAAAAAGCTTTTATTAAGGTCATGATTTTTTGGATTTTTTATGGATAGGTTAAATAGTAGAAATGAAAATTCGCAAATAAATTCAACAGAAACACACATTGAATCTTTTGAGCTACTGTAGGAGCTCTTTAAGTGCATTTTTGTTAGAAATATAAGCCAGCTGTTAGATTAGTAGTTTGAAGATATTACACTAATGTGTCGGTATTTGACTTAATAATTGCTATTTCCAAAATTCGTATAACCTATTTCCACCTGAGTCAAGAAATATTAACCAAAATATCTCCATTTTTCAGAGCCTGATATGCCCGATCATGATTTGGAACCACCACGTTTTAGTCGCAGAGCATTTGAGCGACTTCTCAATGATTGGCCTGCAGTAAAAGGCATGATTATGTCAGGTAAGTTTCTCCCATGAACATAAGAAGTTTTAAGAAAGTGACATTTCTAGATCTTTTGACCAACCAACCTTTGAATAGTCACAGCAAAATATTCCTAGCAAATGTGAGATAATTATTCATGTCAACTGATTTATGCTGTACATATCTGACTTGTGTTGAAGGTGTGAAAGTAAGTGAGTCGCCCAATGAACCAATGTATGAAGATCAAGCCTACCTTCAGAGTCAGAGTGGTACAACTCTGTTGGACAAGTTTACTCATTGTCTTCTGGTCAAGTGTAATCCGGAGGTAAGTGTTATTTTGGAAAATATTACCTCCATGCACATTTGGCAATTTTGCCTTGAATGTGTCCTATTCATACCTACTTAACATTTGAATTTTTATTTTTATTCTTTATTGAACATGACAAAACATACGTCCTAATGTATACTTTTCTAAAAATACTTGCAATTTGACTCTACTGTTTGAACATAATGCTCTTTGCTCCAATAATAAGCATTCAGATGGTTATTTTCTTTCTGTTAATGAAATATGTGTTTCAGATGCTCGACACGTTGCTCACAACACTCATGCGTGAGCTCCAGAATGATAATATTCCCGGACGTATACAAGAGGCGACAGAAGTAGCCCGCAGATTTGTACGCTCTGTTGCTCGCATATTTGTCATATTCAGTGTGGAGATGGCACCCACAACAAGCAAACGAAGGGGGTGAGTTTTGTAACAACTGTCTAAAAGTTACATTCTACAATCTTTGAAGATGGGAATGACTTTTTGAAGGGAAAACACTTAAAGATAAATTAATAAGAGGAATCGAATAATCAATATACTCATACAAAGTTACACAGTTGAATGTGCTGCCCCTCCAATGGGACTTTCTCAGGAAGGAGTACAATTCTTGTTTTGTAAGACTTTGTGTGCTATCAACTGCTGGGATTCTTATCTGAATAAGTGTTCCATCCAAACCAGCCCTTCTTTTACATATGTCTTAACTGTTTTCGCTCTAGAAAAAAAATTTTGAGCAGGAATTTTGCATGATAGCTGTTGGTGCAGTCAGATTTAAATCAATTTGTAATTTTTTACAAAAGAGTACCTACTGTTTTTCAACAGAAATTTCCCATAAAAACGCAACAACAAAAAATAACAAGACATATTGTTCACAGGACTAGTGGTGTCTCAGCGCCTCTAGTAAAGTGCAAACGAGTGTTTCAAGCTCTGATCAAGCTGGCAGTAGAGGAGTTGTGTGAGATTGCCGACAGCCTCATTGCACCAGTGAGGCTAGGTGTAGCACGACCTACAGCACCATTCACTCTATCCAGCTCCACTATTGAGGTGATCAATGTAAGTGTTGTTCCATAGTCTTGTTTGGCACCGTGTAGTAATAGGCTACTGCTTACCCCCTGGCTGAGAGTCTAAATCCAGGAAGGTCTAAAAGTACACTCAATGGAGAAAACTTTTCTGATACCGTTTTAGACCTCACGACATTTAGACCTTGGGCTCACAACCTATATTTTCTAATTAAATGTTTATGAAGTGAGAGTTGCTGAGGGTCTTTATCCACATGGAGAGGTTTTCGTGCAGGTTCGATTTTAGCGAATTTCCCATATAGGGAATAAGCTATTACCGTAGGTCTCATGGTAAGACCTAGACCCGGGACCGATTTACTTTTTTGTTTTGAGGTCCCCAGAGGCCAAAAACACCATCCGTTCAAATTCATATATATTTATATATGTGTCCGTTAGCGCGATAACTCGAACAAATATGATCCGATTTTGATGAAATTTGGTACAAACATGTAAACTTACGTTTATTCGAACGAGTTCGCGAACCAGCATAATCGGACCATGGGAACATGGGTTTATGGGGTGTTTTATGGGGTAAAAATGGGTTTTTCCCATTTTTAACCCTAAAAATAAAAATTTTTACAATTTCTTTCTCAACCATTTTGTAGAGCTTAAAAAAATAAATAATTTAGTATATTGAAGCGCTGTTTTATGCCTAACGGTCACAGAGAAAATTCAAAAAAAGTGTAATTTAAAATTCCCATGTTATTCTTATGGAGAAAATGAAAACTGTTGTAGTTTACTTGTTTATGGATATATGCTGATAAAATTTGGCAAATTTATTTATTTCATTCTATACTATTGACATATGGTCAAAAACACTTTTAAACATCCCCGTAGCAGCAAACCTAAGCACTGGTTAAACCTAGCCTATGTTATTTAAATTGGGAAAAAATATGTCTTATTTATGGAAATATTTTAGTAAAAATGAAATCAGACAAGTTGAAATTCGCTTAGTCTGCAGGTTTGCTGCGGCGGGGGTATTTATAAGTGTGCAATCCATGTTAAGCTAACAAAGGTGTTGTTTTTAATGATCAGTAGGGATGGACGGGATTGAATTTTTAGTTCGGGACGGGACAGGATTTTTATTTCCTTCCCGATTTTCGAGACGGGACGGAACGGGATTTTTTTCTGTGCATAAAAAGAAAGTCTTGAGTATTGCAGTTACCAAAAAAGGCATACAAAATCAATCTTTACAGTTTGTGGCACTGATCTATAAAAACCAAAAAATGGGTAACAATTTTTCAGGTACCTGTAGAAACTTGTGACTCGCGGTCACGGTGCGATCGTCGGTATGACTCACGGTCACGGCGCGATCATCGGTATGACTCACGGTCACGGCGCGATCGTCGGTATGACTCACAGTCACGGCGCGATTGTCGGTATGACTCCGCGGTCACGGGGTGATCGTCGGTATGACTCCGCGGTCATGGAGTGATCGTCGGTATGACTCGCGGTCACAGCGCGATTGTTGGTATGTCTTCGCGGTCACGGCACGATCGTCGGTATGACTCACGGTCACGGCGCGATCGTCGGTATGTCTCTGCGGTCACGGCGTGATCGTCGGTATGACTCCGCGGTCACGGCGCGATCGTCGGTATGACTCACGGTCACGGGGTGATCGTCGGTATGTCTCCGCGGTCACGGCGTGATCGTCGGTATGACACCACGGTCACGGCGCGATCGTCGTTATGACTCACGGTCACGGCGCGATTGTCGGTATGAGTCCGCGGTCATGGCGCGATCGTCGGTATGACTCCGCGGTCACGGGGTCATCGTCGGTATGACTCCGCGGTCACGGCGCGATCGTCGGTATGACTCACGGTCACGGCGCAATCGTCGAAACAACTTCGTCTCCTGCGTTCGCGGACCTATTGCTCGCAATAGCGGCGTCATCTGCACTCGCGAAGCGGTAAAATCGCCGGCGATTCGACCAAATCCCGTCCCGAAAAATTCCCGAATCAAATGTAATCCCGTCCCGATAATCGGGAATATTTTTTTCCCGAAAAATTCCCGAAATTTCGGGACCCGTCCATCCCTAATGATCAGTCTTTTATATGAAAATTTGGTTGTCAACATTTTTCTATCAAATCTCAAATCACTATGAAGCCTAAATGTTGTACAATTAATTCACGTAAAGTAACCTGATAGTAATCAGCTCCGTCACTATCCCCCTGCGTCACTAACTCCTGCTTGTTTTGGTTGTGTCCTCACGTGCGTCTTTAGCTGGCAACCAGTCATAATGGTAAGAGTGTTACATTGCTGTCCTTTCTGTTGGTTAATATCTCTCACAGGTTTGTTGCTTATCTCAAGGTAAATTCAAATGCAGAAATGTTATTCATGTTTTACACCAGTATTAGCTTAGAAGCCCTATTATTTTCTAAGATAAGATTGGCATAAGTTTACTCCGGTGGTAATTCTTGAAGTCTGGAGGAAAAATGAATTTAAAGAGTCAGTTTTGTGGCTTTGTAGGGATCTGAAGAGCTATTCTCAGTGGAGCCCCTGGCACCCCATGGCTCAGTGTCAGGACGTAGGTCCATGGCTGGTGGTAGAGGGGGAGAGATCTCCCGACCTTTGGGTGCCCGCAGTCGGCCTCAACCTCGGATGGACATGGAAATGGAACATGATGAAATGGTCGAGAGTAAGTAATGTTACAACACGTTTCTGCCGTAAATAACAATTAAGAGGAAATATTAGTAGACCTTTCACCCTCCTTTTGAGATTGAATGGTTGTGTCAATGCATGTTGGGGATTATGATTTCATTTTTAGTTTGGACCATGTGGTCATAATGTTTGCCACAATAAAGAATTATTTTCATTGAATCATTCATTTTCTTTTTATTTCAGTACAGTACTGTAACTCTGTATTCCTTTATGTTACAAACAGTACCAGGAGATCGAGATTTGCTCGAATTAAATTAAAAATTTACTAGACAAGTTATTTAGCTAAATTAAAAACTTTACTATGTACGTTAATCATTAGGAACAAATTTTAGATGATACAAAGAAAACATTTTAATACACCTTTATAAATAAATAGATTGCTATAAAAATTACCTTTATCAGCTGTTTTATTAACTGCAGCTACAAAAAGGTATTGACGATAACATGGGTACCTACTTTAAAGGGCTGTTGGGCGGAAACTGGATTTTTCCCAGCCTTGAGACCAACTCTAATGGATTTCTTGTGGCCAAATACCCCATAATAAACCAAAAAATTATAAATCCGCAGACAAAAATCTAAGTTTGTCAGTACATACGCTTGTTGTTGATTATATATATTTTGTAGGTATTTGGATAGTGTAAAATTATTATGGTTTAGAAAAATGTATCAATGTATTATTTTGGTATAATTTTATAAAATGTTTCTCAGAGATCACTGATGACATGTTATTGCAGGTCTAGTAGCTCTAGCCCAGGACGCAGAGGCTAGTGATGGTGAAGAACCAGTAGGCGGGGGTGGTAGAGAGGTAGGCAGTGGAGGTGTGGCTGAGGCAGCTGGAGAGTCTGATAATGAGGATCTAATGGTGGAGTCAGAGTCAGACTCCGACCAGAGTAACCAGGACACGGCCAGTGCACAGCGCAGTGTACAGACAGGCGCTACTGCAGGCTCTGACACAGGTCAGATTAGATCAATTTAACATAGAACATCTATAGTAAGAATCAAAGTTTAATTCAGGAAAAAAGTAAAACAATTAATTAATAACAATCTTTGTAAATTGGCTTTGACTTTTTGTACCTCCATGATGACACTACTCATTGACTTTGTTTACTTCATTATGAGTTTAAATGTCTTATGACGAGTTTAGCCGCTACAAAGTCCAGTTTACTTAGAAGGAACACCTGGATTAGAAATGGGGTGGGGAACTTGCAAGCTGCGTGCTATTGACCACTGGTCTAACTAAAGCCAGTATAAATTTACTTTATAGTATTATGATGACACCTGCCTTTGCAAAGAAAAAGTTGATAACCTGAGATACTAAACAAAGCCACTTTTCTGTCAGTACCAACATAGAAAAATAAAATACACTTGATACAAAAAAGGGTTATTTACATGCCTTGAAGTTGTATCATTTTATTTTAACTAGGCTACAAACAATTTAAAGATTCAAAACTATATATTATAATACTAAATAAACATATGTTTTTAATTCAAATAAAGTATATATTGTTATATATCTATTTTACTTTTCATAAGTTTCTAGTTAAATATTTTACGTGTGTACCATATATACATGCTATCTTAAACGTTGGCCACAATAGATTCTCTGTTGTTTGATTTAAATAGAACATGAAGTCTTCCCTCAATTAGTTTTAAAAATATACTTATGGATTTGTAAGATCAATCCTTAATTTGCAACAAGAAAAATTAAAATTAAAAATGATATGTGAAATGGAGAACATTTCATTGTGAAAGACACAAGTAGATGTGCAGTGTATATATGGTATACGCGGCCCGGGAGTCGGACTGTATTTGTGCCTGACCAGGCATGGCATCGCTACTGCTGTTCCCAGAAGACGACTCGGGAGACTCAAGCCAACAAGAGGAGGACGTCTCAGAGGCAGGGGAGAGTGACGACATGGACACTGAGGAGATACTGCTGACTGACGAACAGCTTGAGAGACGAACGTAAGTCAAAACATTCCACAGTAAATATAACAATGGCTTACAAAAAAGTTTTATTATGAAAAATAAGCCAAACTTGAATAATACACACATTTAAACATAAAATCATAGCAAGAAAATGCAATCGTAATCATTTTTGAAATCCTAAATTTAATGAATATAGTTTAAAGGATAGCCAAGTGGCTAGTTTGGAATTATTTTAAAAAGGGATAGACTCCAGCTAGCTTACCTGGGAAAATAAAGAGTCCACGGGGCAATAGCTGTTGTACATTCTACTGTACATACACACACAAATTAAAGAGGACTTTGTTTATTCACACTAACAATTTTAAGGAAATGTTTTTGAAGCATGGATGGCTGTGGGGTTTTTTTGTGAGTCTTGACTGTGTCTTGCTTAACAGAGGTTGCTCTTAAGTTTATAAATTTTAGGTTTTCACTATTGCAGGTTATGTTTGCTTTAATCTTGTTTTCTTGGTTGTGGGATGAGATATAAATCTGTAATAAATAAATGATTAAAGAATAATAACAATTTGCAGGACCAGTTCAGGTCAGGGACAACGTAGCAACCTGGCGCCTCAATCTATGCAGTGGGCAATCAGAAATAGAGACACTTCATCTAGATCTGCTGGTGAGCATTTTTAAACTTGGGCACAACAAGATGTGTATAAAGATGGGTTGGTTAATGAAAGTGCTTGTAAAAAATTTGCAAACCCCATTATGTAGAAAGTATAAATAAGTTTATCCTTTAATTAGCTCAAATAAATATTTAGGGGGAGAGGTGTTCAGTTCTTCTTTTGTCTTCTCGTATTCCTACAAATTAACTCCAATGTATAGTTGTCACAACTAAATTGTAAAATCAAAAAATATTCCCATTTTTTTGAAGGTTAGGCCTATAATTTTTAGATTTAGTTGTTTGCCCGTGGTAATTTGTTTGTTTCCTCATATAAAAAGATTTATTTGCATTTTCATGAAAGTGTTGGTTGAAAAATTGTTGGTGTTAATTTGTCTGAGATTGTATTACCTTTTGCTTGGAATTAGTTCAATCGTAAAATCTAGATATTTCAGACTGTTCCTTGTTAAATAATACTACATAGCAAAAAAAGATTAAATAAAATAATAAAGATTTGTGATTTTAAAATGTATCATAAGAGCTAAAACAATTTAATGCAATTTTTTTATATTTTTGACCAATCTTGGATGATATAGTAGGAGAACTAAACTCTCTATTTGTTTCAGGTGGATTCCGAGTGGCATCCAACTCACTGGTGTTCATTGATCCGTCGACACTGCGCCGCTCTACCAGTGCAGTGGGCAGCAGCCATGAGCCGGTAACTATGGCTACCACGGCGGCATGTCTAGCGCGGGCTGCAGCCATCGTGTTGCGCCAGATAGCTGACCTGCTGGCTATGATGAGTGACTACAGCAACCTGGCACCCACACTGCCTGAGACATTGGAGGTCACTTACCAGGACCAGTACAACCTGCAGGTCAGATATTGGAAGAGGTTCTGTAAAAAGGCAGTTGAATGGGATACACACATAAATTATTGACTTAAAATTAGGTCCATATGTATGTATTCTTTCACTCTAAGATACAGTGTTTCTATTTAGGAGATTATTCAAAGGATTAAATTTCAGCTTGCCTACCTGAGAAAATTATAATCCAGGAGCTAATAGAAACCTAAAAGAACACAAAACACAGCAGGGATATTTCGTCTTGATGTTCTTTAGAGAGTAGAAAATGAGAAATAACAGTTTACGTTCAAAACTGGTGTCATTTTTTGTTTTCAAGAAATTCTTTACGAACCAGAGTTGTTTTTTTTCTTTCTAAAATATTGTGTTCTATTGAGTGTCCTGCGTTGTATATCTTGCTATGTGGAGATGGCTACAAATTTGTCCTTTACAAACAACAATAACATTTACAACACGGTTTTAACAAATCATTGTTTGCAAGACAAATGGGCGTAGGTTCATATGATAGGTATGATATGTACTTACGCCTTTTTCTTGCAACCGTCGAATTATAACAAGTTCCTCTGTTGAAAAACAAGAAGTCCTATAACAACAATTATTTCACAACAAGCCTAATTACAAAAGATCAATTATCAAAACTAGTCTCGTAGCCTGGTATGTGGACAGGTCTGTGTATTTCCCCAGGGATAGTTCACTGTCACTTTCTCTATGGACCATGACCCAGTCTCCTAGCCCGGTGTGTCAGTGTCAATGTGTTGGTACCCCTCCCATCTATTTTAGGGTTTTCTGTGACATAAAAGTTGCTATAGCTTACAATTAATCATCTTATCAGTTTGACTTGGTTATAAGATGGCATATTCAAGATCAATCAGTAATTTTCCTCAATGCACTTGGTTGGCTCAATTCAACTTTGCCCATTTTGATTCTTATCAGGTTGGTTTTATCAAATTAGAGAATTTAAACAGAAACATTAGTTAGTGATCACTTTATTTAATTGTACATGATGTTTACAGACATACCTGGAAGCCAGGTTGAAGCCGACCTGGGACTGGCTGTTAACTGTGATGGACTCCACTGAGGCTCAGTTGAGGTTCGGAGCCTCTCTGACTCAATCCTCCGACCCTACTCATCCCGGCCACCCCCTCCATCACAACCCAGGTAATCATTAGCTAGTTAGGAACGAGAGATTGTCAATGTTACATCTCCAGTCATCATCGTTGGAGATAGCAATGCCACTCTCAAGTGTCAGTAGTTCTTCTAGACCAGTGTTTATATTAATATCCTTTTAACACTTCTTCTATGTGAACTATGACCTACCTGAACTTATTTAAAGTAAGCTCACTGTTATTCCTTTATCCTAAAAATAAAAATCATAGCCAGGCCTAGAGCCTTTCCATAAACTAAACTATATGGTTCAAGACAACTTTGTTACGGTACTGTCGGTTGATATATTTAAAAGTTAATATAGAGAACATGTGGTGCTTGTATCAGTTTATGTTCAGTTGACCAGTATTAAAACATTATATTTTATTCTTGTTACATGTCATTTTTATAATTTTAAACTTGCAAACTCATTATTATGGATTTTATTTTTTATCATGGAAGGGCAGCCATTAGGTTACATGTTAGAAAATGTATCTAGCTATTTCAGTTAACATTTAAATTCTCCAGCAGGTACCAGCAGTGGAAGTGGGAACACACTGTCTCTCTCAGTGCTGGCTAGTGGGCCGTCAAGCTCTACTCCTGCTGCTAGTGGTGCCACAACAACAACAACAACCAGACCTGCCACCAACACACCAGCCGGCATCAACCGGTCAGTGACCAGTAGTGGCACTACGCCGTCCAACACCAGCACCACACGTATAGTTGGCTTTACTGCCAACACCACAGACACTCCACGCAACACCAGGGATAGAGAGTGTAAGTGTCAGGTTGTGCTCTGGAATTCCCCAATGATACTTTTTGTCACATGAGTAAATTGAGGATGAGTAAATCAATCCTCTGTAGCAAACATTTTGTTGCTTTACTTATAATTTTGATCATCAAGTATCCTTAATAGGAAATTGCTTAAAAAAGCTGTTTGGTCTTTGTAATTGTCCCCAAAAAATCCATAAACTTTCAGGTTCAGGTGTTAGAAGCGAAATTTTCTTAGCTGAGCTCCTGCGCTTTAAAAATATTCAGAAATAGCAGTTAAACTGTTATTGCATTCAGCAAAAAGACAATGTAATTTCTCTGGTCATATTCAATGGATCTGATGGACAATTGAAACAATCATACTGATGATCATACTGTTGCAGCTTCAGATCCCAATTCTGCACGACGAGAGTTTCTGTCCTATGCGTTGTCTCTGATGCGTTCACACAACGCAGAGCACGCAGACAGTCTACCGGTGTTGGATGTGAGTGCTCTGCGTCACGTTGCGTATGTGTTTGACGCTCTCATCTACTACATGAGATCCACCTCGGACCAGACCACTGTCGCAGAGGAGCTGCGTGACACCGCAGCCAACAACAGCGACTGGATACAACAGGTAACAATCACACCTTTCAGGGGTAGGGTAGTAGTAGATTTCTCAGTCGATTTGCATCTAATGCATCTACTTGCGTATTGAGTTTACTTTCGTAGATAAATTGTTGGTTTTATATTTTTAATTGGTATTAAATTTTACTCACAAAGAAAGATCTTAAGATGTCAAAATGTACAGTTAGGACTAAAATGTGTGGGAGATATATCTTAGTTTTCCCCTCAATATGTTCCTGAATGAGCACCTTGTGGGTATCAAATGTTATAAACTAGGGAAATGTGTAGGTTTATTTTAGGATTAATAAAATGCTTAGGTGCCTCTCCTTAAAAACTGATACAATTTTAACAAGCTATGTTAAGCTCTACTTAACACGTTCACTGCGGCATACATCAAACAGCCTGGCGTACCACAAATAAAATCAAAAGATCATTATTCATATCTCTGTAAATACATCAGGGCTGTGCGAATAGTTCGAAAAACGAATCGAATCCGAATCTTTTTGGAGATTCGATTCGGATTCGAGAACGAATCTTCTGTTTCTAACTCTATTCGGATTCGGAATCGATATTCGAATTTACCGGAAAGAGACCCGGGTTCGGATTCGATATTCGAATGTACCGGAAAGAGATCCGAGTTGGGATTCGATATGAGAATTTAAATATCATTTTCATAATGTGATTTTGATTAAAAATTGGCTCCAGCATTCAAAGATTAGAAACAAAAGCACTAAAGCACCAACTGCCAGCTGACCTAGAGCTAGAGAAAACTGTATTTAGGGTAAAATCTATTTCGTTCCTTCAGTAAATTGTAATATCATCGGCCATCGCACCGGTAGTTTTGCAAGCGGATTATTATGGAGCAGTTGATTCGACAATCGACTCGTTGACTCCGTCGTTGAATTGCACTCGCCGGGTTTTCACTTCACTCGGTCAGTTTTAGTCGTTCCGTCAGTCGGTTTTAGAACCAAGAACCAACAGAGAACGAAATGGCCGCAGTGACTCAGATTATTATCCCAAAAACGGGACTTTTTAGACCACGATCGGGATTTAAATTGGATGCGGGATAAAACGGATTTTTCAGCTATGACGTCTGTTTTTAATTTTTTCTACTTAGTTTTAGGGAAAAACGAACTACAATTGGTAAACTCCTGTAGCAAAACATAATATCAATGTTTAAACAACTATTTAAACATGATACGTCAAACATAAATAACACTCGGAATTAAACTAAAAAGACCATAAGGGATAAAACGGGATTTCTCGACCCAGCAGGCGGGATTATTTTTTTTGGTCGTGTGTGGATACATGGAATGGCGGACGTGGTTGGGTTTCTTGCTTCTTAATCAATGATCAGTGTCGTCTATGGTGTCGTCTGTCGAGTTGATTCATTGAACCAGGAATTGGGATTGGAACTGGAACATTGAAGTTTGACTCTTGAGTGACTTATTACGACAACTAATAGAACGAAAACGAAAGGACAACGGGACAATGACACTGACAGCACTCGACTCATCCATCAGTATGACAAAATGAAAATGGACGCCAGACTACCTTAGGAAAATAAATAAATTAATAATTATACGTTAAACTGTGTTTTTTATTAGGCCTAAGTTATGTTCTATAAGAAAAGTGTTACTTGTACTTTATTGATCTAATCCAATTTATAGTTCTGATTTGATGATGCACTTTTGATTAAATGGAAAATATGACGTACTGGTACAGATAGCCACATTCAAGTACAAGTTAAAGTGTAAACATAACCTAAACTTAAGTAACTTATGTAAAAGGTTGAAAAAGGATTTTTTTTGTATAGACAACTAATTAATTAGTTGGTTTATAGCCTAACTTAGCCTATATCATATAGGTAGTTTGATTCACTTTTAACTTAAGTTAGGCCTATTTATTTCTGTTTATTTTTAATATCAAAATTGTTGATTATTAGTAGTTTGTAAAGCTTCCAGTAAGTTGATCATCCAGATTAGTCTTATCACCTTCAATCTTTTTCATATTGTTTTAATGTTGTTTTTTGAGGGTCTCAAAGAAAACTTAAGTTAGATTGGGTTTAGCTTAGGGTATTTAAGATATTTGATTTCAAATTTATAGATGTAAGGTAGGTATTATGCCTAAGCTGCAATGGGTCAAAATTGGACAGTGGACACTAAAAACTACTTGTGTACTCTGATTTTTTGTTGCCTGGTTCATAATATGAACCTGACCATAGTGTTATTCTTTAGGCCTAGGTCGCATTTGAACCCTATCTTGGCTATCAGTAAACTTAACCTCACAGTGTGAGATGTTAACTTGTAATAGTCATAACTTACGGACTTAGGCTCATGTTGCATTTGAACCCTATCTTGGCTATCAGTACATAAACTTAACCTCACAGTGGGAGGTGAGATGTTAATTTGTAATAGCCTAGGTAGTTATAACTTACGGACTTAGGCTTGTGTCGCATTTGAACCCTATCTTGGCTATCAGTACATAAACTTAACCTCACAGTGTGAGGTGAGATGTTAACTTGTAATAGTCATAACTTACGGACTTAGGCTCATATGTCGCATTTGAACCCTATATAATCCACTATATACATATTTAAAAAGAAAATAAACAAGTAGGACATCTTGGACTCTCTTGACCAAATTCTAAATAATATAAATTATGACATATTATGTCTTTCGGAACTGGTTCAAATATTCAGAATCGATAACAGCTGTAAATTTGAGATTCGGATTCGATCCGGGTTCGATAACGGCTGTAAATTTAAGATTCGGATTCGATCCGGGTTCGATAACAGCTGTAAATTTGAGATTCGGATTCGATCCGGATTCGGTAATGGCTATAAATTTTAGATTCGGATTCGACCCGGAACTAATTAAAGTATTCGGATTCGATCCGGATTCGGTAAAATCTGTACAGCTATGATTCGGATTCGAACCAAAATTTCTGGATTCGCACAGCCCTGAAATACATATTAACATGAATAGTGTCAAACTATTTCCTTAAAAGAACTACCCTAATAATGACTTAAATAATTTCATATTGACTAGAGAAAAATTACTAGGCCTACCCCAGTAATTTGGAGTTGTATTATCTATCTTTTTTAGGACATATAAGTAGTTCCATGAGTTGACCGTCATGATCTGATAAGGCTGTAACAATGCTCTCAGTTTTAATTTGATCCTTATTATTGTTAGTTAAAATATTATCTACACAGTTGTGACCCTTGTGGGAAAATTTATTACTGTAGATAAATCGTATCATATATTAGGAGAATTCTTTTAAGCTCTTTTAGCTCCGGCGAATCTTTAAGAGTGTCAATATTAAATTCACCAATTATAATCCAATTTTTTTTCTTTTCTTACTAGATTATTCATTAGTTTACTCAGACAGTTTAAAAACTGGCATTCAGATATTTCCTTCTGACGAATAACGAAAGAGCAGCGGTGATTGTGCTGCGTTACCCCGAGAGTAGATATAGCTCACTAAAACATGTAGGCCTAATGACTCAAAATTCAATGTTTATAAATATAGTCCTTATTTAAATTCCAAACTCAATCTTGTTATATTTTCAATATTTATTTTGAATGAAATGAAAATGAATGAATGAAATGAAATGAAAAAGTGCTTTATTGCTGCTTTTATTTACATTTCCAGATACCACGCAGGGCATCTGCCAAAATAAACACTTTAGGCATTGGCCGGAAGGGCCGTCGGCCAGGTTGGCAACACAGCAAAGTTACAATAACACTTAAAACAACCACAACATATATATACCTAACAAATAATCAAAATAATATTTATTTTATTCATGTTCATTGTTAATTATTAAAACCATATTGTCTCAACATATATATAATTTATAATCAAAATATTGGCTTATCCAAAATTATTATTCAAAACAATTTCAACCATGTTTTTATCTATGTGAACTCCATAACTGGAAATGATTTACAACAATGAGACTGACAGTCAATTAAGGCATCCAAGAAGAACATACATTTTTTAAACTATTAGTTGTGAAATAAATTGTGAAATTATAAAATAAAGTATTGGCAAAATATCCAAATCAAGTTAACCGAAGAAAAAAGAATTTAGGCCTACATTATTAAGAAGAAAGTTATTATTATAGAAGATTGGTGAGAAAATTCCATTTATTAAGTTATTAACTCAGACTATAGACTCTTCAAGCATCCATTTGGACCCAACTTAACTTACCTCCATTCATTAAAATCTAAATCTTTCCTATTTATTGTTTCTAAAAGATTATTTAATTTATAACTTACCGTACTTATTGAAAATTTAAATTAGGCATCAACAAAATCTTTTGATTCAGTCTGCACGAATCCCCACCCCTGAAGAATTTTTGTAACCTTATTTCAATCATTTATATACCATTAAACCCTGTACTTTAAAACCTCTGTCCTCGTAATTATTATTGTTTAAACTAAGATAAGATTAGAATAACACCATGTTAGACCACCATTTAGGGTTTATTTCAAACACCCAAGGGTAGCAGCACTGATTGGATCCGTAGCCAGTGTCTTTGTAATACCGTATGGCTCTAAGATAGGAACCAGGACAAAAGCATTGCCATTTTACGGGAAATTTAAGTACCACCCTACACCAAAAGAAAGCTTGCATTCTAAGCTACAGCCTGGCAACGATTATAACATTCTGCGTCAATGGCTGAGCTCACACTGACTGTTCAAAGTTAAATCCGGCCGATTACGACTGTGCAGCACCTGGCGCGTAGCCGGCACCGGCTGATTTCTACTGCTAAGCAGGGAACGTGTTAAGTAATTACTAGAAAGTAAAGTATCCCCCTGCAACACCTTTTGGCCTAAAAAACAAACGGCCACCATTTCTTCCAATGTTTCATCTCTGTAATTGGTTTTCCTTGTCCCCTTTTCTTTGTTGTTAATTTTGTTGGATAAGGTTACGTTAGCACCCCAACCCTAAATAACACAAAGGACATTAAGTGGCTTACTGGTTCACTAATGGTTTACTCTTTAAAGTGTAATTTTCAATCAAAGTTTATATTGCAATTTTATATGGCACAGTTACTAGTATCTCACTAACGTTCACCTGCATTTCAAATGTAGGACAAAAGTTCAATCTTTTGTTCACTACTAATTAAAATTTCACTTTGTTTTACTTTATTTCAGTTTTTAAAACAGTGTTGTTATGGTAGGCTGTGTATACATTATATATTAAGTAAAAGAAAGCTGTTCATATATTTGCTAAGCTAAATAAGTTTTATAATGCTGTTCAGGACGAAAACGACAATGACGAGACGGATGAAGACCTTGGAAGGATGGAAACTGAGACCGAATCTGTTGACGATGCTGAGGTGAGGTTTCCTTTGTGTTTTCAATAATCATCAACATCAAAGATTAGTTGATTAATCCCATGTAGTATTGTTCTAAAACACTTTTAACATGCATTTTTAACTTTATTTTTAAGGAAACAACCATTTTACTAGAATCATACATCAAACTAATTCCAAAAATAACTTATATAGGATATGTGTAAGGGAGAATATAATTCTGTTTGCTTACACCTGTATTGTACTGTGCCAGGTGGTTGTGCTGGCGGGTGGACCTCCTATCCCCACAGGTGGTGGCAAGGGCCGTAAGCACGCCTTCTTCCAGAGGTCAGAGTCCACGTTGTGTCTAGGCTGCCCTCCGCCAGACCCGTTTGACACCCCCATGGCTCAGGCGCTGCCACTAGCTGATCAGCCTCACCTTCTTCAACCCAACGCTCGTAGAGAGGATCTCTTTGGCATACCCAAGCAGCCAATCACCATCTCCCCTAAAGGTATTAAGATTACAGAAGCCCTGTGTGGAAGTATCCAGCCATGAGGGTTGTTTGTAAGCTCTCAATGAAGGCCTGTTGTGAAAGGCTAAACTATTCTCTGGTTGCTCAGCGAGTGCAGCGGGAGATTTGGCCCTACCTGGTTGGGCTCCAACTCACGCACACACACTCAACATCCCCTTGCTTCAATACCTAGAAAATATAACACCTGTTGTATGATACCTCAAAATCGCTAATATCATGTTTGTGATGTACAGTCAAAATGCTTTGTGTTACTAAATTTGTAAAAAGTGAGTCAAGTTTTTGTAAGCTAGTTATGACTCGCGCAACGGGTCATTGATCCATCCTAATCCCTTGTCTGTCTAGCCAGCTGCACTCGCTGGGAAGCCAGTGTACAGACTCAAATCTAAGACTAGGGTTTTTCTCTTTCCTAGAATAGGAAAGGTCGCTCAGTCTCGTTGCAGTACATGTATTTTTTCCAAAACCTACACCAAAATTTACACATATTTCTTTAAAACTATAACACTTTTCTCCTTATCTATCATCTGGTGATAAATTTCAATGTAGGTTGACACCTTGCCTCACAAATTTAAACAGATAATTCAACTCTTACCAAGTCAGAGTGTCAATGTTCCTGCCATCAATAACAGCTACAACAAAGATACTGACGGTCGAATATGGGTGAGGATCTGCTTGAGCAGAGAAGGAGTTGAGGAACAAGGCGCTAATGTTAGAATAAAACTAGCTTATTGCGTTGTGACAGAAGCTCGCCAGGTATCTAAATTTTTCAAAACCACGTAATTTTACCAACCAATGCTACCGATCCCAATGAAAGCTTATACTACTTATTTGTTACCAAGTCTTTCAATCTTGCAAAATACCAGGAAACATACCTTTTTAAAATATCTCTTAATAGTTAATAGCCAAATTTTGGGTAAATTAACTGTAAACAAAAGCTGTATTTTCCCTCGAAAACTTGCAAAATGTTTATATAGGTTGTTCAAAATGCTAAAAATGTGTTGTATATAATTTTAAAGAAAATATTGTGATTTTTGGCACTTTCAAAATTATTTTATAAGGCATAGAAAGGAACTATGCTCACTATGCTACCTCACAAAAAACGTACACCCAAGTGTTTGTGAAATAGTAACAATCATCACAGCCAATGTTGGTTTGTCAGGCAACGGAACACCGGGTGAGACCAGTCAGCTGGAGGTTCTGCCTACAAGGTTGAGTCTGTCCTCCCGTGGGGCTCAACCCAAGTCCCCAGACATCCCCCCTCCGCCGTTCAAACCCAGAGGTACATTAAAAATATATATTTTTGATTTTGATTTTTTAATTGTAAACATTTTTAATTTTTCATCCTAACGACTCACCACTTGTAAAAACTGTTTCTGTGGCAGCTAAACCTGAGTAATTGAATTTAAATTTGCCTGCAGGAGGTGACATTATTTCGGGGGAGAGGGGTGGGGTGAAATTTAACCCACAAATGAATGATACTAGCAAACTGACACATATATACTCTTTTCTATTAGCTGAACATGCAATTGTTTGTTATGTACAGAACTACAGACCACAATTAAATTTAGCATGTGGGTACTAATACATGGCAATTCCAGGCGTTTATTCAGTTTTAATGAAATTTTGAAGCCTAATTTTTACACCACTGGGAGTTGAGCCATTATTCAGGATTTAAAAGAATTATAATGGATTTTAGTCAAAACAGTTTTGTGTAAATCCCATTTTTATTTTTTTTTTATGGAAAGAAATATATATATATGTGTCTGGAAGCAAGATAACTTGAGTAAAAATGATCCAATGGATGGAATAATTGTTATGTTATTAACTGTTTAACATTTTGACAGTTGTCAAAGATGTGTACATGTTTTGTATCACTTTTGATTATTTTTACTTATAGAGGAGGGCACAGTAGAGGACACACCTCAAGATCTGACTATAAACAAGGAAACCGTTGTGGAAACTGAAGAGGACTCCAAGATGAGCATTGGGGAAAACTCTCAAGGTAACCATCCTGGTTCAAGAATCAAGAATTTTATTGTCGTTAAGCACATGGCAAAGTCAAATACAGTATTATAAGACATCAAATGTGCAATATGGACAAATATAAAAAAATAAATCAACAGACATATAGATATAGACACTGAAAAAACAGCTACAAGTACAAAATCACTATCTAAATAAGTTAAAATCTTAATGTACTAATATCACAGGCCAAAGTTTGTTAAACAGAATAAAAAATATTTTCTTTTAACCACTTTGACAGAGTTATTTTGAATCTGCCTAGGTTCACAGTCCAGGCTTCTTTTGGCAGCTTGTTAAAAAGCTTGACTTTCATAAACAAATGGCTCTTTTTAGATTTTTCTAGTTTTATAGATATGCAATCAAGTAAATAGTTCCGTCTAGTATTATATTTGTGAGATTTACTTCTAAAACTATAGCTATTTAAGTTTTCCTTAACACTAACTAAGCTCAAATATACATACAAACACGGAAGAGTCATTATTTGGAATTCTTTAAAATGTGGAACACATGACTCTCCGTCAGGGATGTTTGCCATTATCCTAATAGCTTTTTTTTTGCCATATAAATGCTTTTTCAGAATCTGAGCTATTACCCCAAAAAATTATTCCATACATTAAATGGAAATTAAAAAAACATAGTAAGCTGTAACTAACATTGAGGAACTAACACAATATTTTAATTTTCTAAGTAAACAAGTAACTCTAGATAGTTTTCTACACAGCTGATTTATTTGGGATTTCCAGTCAAGTCTGCTATCTAGGTATATCTAGGTTCAGTATCATTAGTTTCATTTAAACCAGTAGTTTATAACCTAATGTACCTTTTTGGGTTTTGTTCTTAATTTTCTTGGCCCAACTTAAAACGGCACTAAAAGATTGGTATCTGTTCCCGTATACTTGAGGAGACGGGCATAAATCATAGTGGGTGTGAGTAATTGTGTTTGTATTTTGCATTGTGTATCACTCAACGGCCTAACCCTGAACCCTGTGATGTAAACTTAATACATTGGTTGCATTGTGGAGTGTTATTTGTTTGATGTAGTGTGTGTTGTTGCAGAGTGTGTGAGAGCTCCCATCATCATCTCACCACCCAGTGTGGCTGGCAGCTCGGTGGATGTTGCAGAAGAAGGATCAGTGCCCAGATTACAAGTGAAAAGTGTCATTGTGAGGGCTGGCCCTAGCCCTGCATCACTGGTTAGTACTACAAACTGTGGCAGTGAGTTAATCTGTTTAAATATCAAGACATAATGGTATTCATCTCATCCACATAACACAAGATTCAAAAATATTATAAAACCAGTTCAACATAGGCTTAAAATCTTTCATTTATCCCCTCAGTATATGGGGCCAAAAATTTACAATAAATTACCCGCTGGGATTAAAAACATTGCCTCATTCTCTAAATTTAAACTATCTTTAAAAAATTACCTTTTGGAAAGGGCATTTTACTCGTTAGATGAATATCTGGAAAATGAGTATATTTGAAAGATATTGCTTCTCCCATAGGTTTGTAGCTTATTATTTGCTTTATTTCTTTTGTAAGCTATTTTATTTAAAAATGTAGTATAGTATTAGTATTAGACTTTGTGACAAATCACCTGTCAAGAGAAGCAAATTTATTGGGAAAATGTTAATGTTATCTAAAATCTTTTTTTTTCATTACTTAGCACTTTAACTTGTGAATAAATTTTCTTTTGGTTTTACTAATGTCTATTGTTCTAAAAAATAATCCCAAATTAGACCTAAACACCCTACTTTTTACCATATTTAGGATTATTGATTATGCATTATTATTGTTATTTTATGGCCAGCATTAAGTCCATTATGGACCACTTAAGTCAATATAATGGTCAGGTTCTTTTTAAATTCTGTCTCTTCTTCTTGTCCACCCAATACTTCTTCATTCTTTCCAACCGTTGTTTTCTTTCTTCTTCCGAAACCACTCTTCCTTGTCTCTGATTGTTTGCTCCTATTGGCAGGATGATTTTTTTGTCTTTGAGTACTGCAAGCGCCTCTGACTCATTTTCCAAATCTTCTAATGATATTTTCAACCTTCTCATGTCCTCCTTAATCTCTGTAATCCACCGTAAGTCACTCTTGCTATTCCACTACTTGTCAATTATTTTCTTGCTTATTCTATTTTCTGGTGTCCTTAAAAGATGTCCAATGAATGAAATTATTTTCTTTTTAATTATACTTGTCAATGGCTCTATTTCCTTATACAGTTTTATTTGAGGCCAGTCTCCAATTTTCTACAATTTGGATGCAATGTTCTCCAATTTTGATTTTGTTAGCCAATGGTGGTTTTGTTACCATTATTTCAGTTTTCTCAAAAGAAATTTTTAGACCTATGCTCTGGGCTATTTCCTGAAGTGATTTTATTTGTTGCTTGATTTCTTGGATGTTATTAGCTAGAAGAGCCAGATCGTCAGCAAATCCTATTTATATCATTTTTTTTTGTTCCAACAGTAACATTTTTAGGGTTTGTTTTAAGCCATTCCCTCATAATGTATTCAAGTGGACAGTTAAAAAGAAGTGTTGAAAGGCCATCTCCCTGTCTCAACTTCCTAAAATTGCATTATTATTATTAGGTATAAGTTTCTATTGTTTTTAGAATGGGCTGGTTTATCTAGCAAGATTGTTATCCGGCCAGGGGCTCGGTCCCGTGGTAATGAAATGAAATGAAATGAAATGAAAAATGTCTTTATTTAAGAGGCGAAGTTAGGACTAGCAAGTCCTCTCTACCACTTAACCTCTAAAAACATAAATAAACTATCCACTTTATAAGTAAAATTAAATAATCTAAGGTACCATATTATAAAAATGTTGAAATTAAATTAAATTAAATTAAATTAAATTTAAACCCAAAAATCCATTCACACAAGCCGCCAACAACCCGCCACACCAGCGCCAGAGACTCATTCATGCCTGCTACTCAAAATCATAGATTTTATCTCTGCCCCAAACCTTGCACGGTTCTCTATGGATTTTATATGGTCAGGAAGAAGATTCCACATTCGAATTGCAGATACTAAGAAAGATTTATTAAAAACTGTTGACCGGTGAATTGGTGTAGATAAAAGAAGAGAGCCTCTACGAGTGGAACGGGTACTGATGTCAGAGATGAAATGGAAGTTATCTGATAAATACTTAGGAATTTTACTGTTGATAATGGAGTGTAGAAGACGGAGGGTGTGAAATTCCCGAAGTTCATTTAGCCTCATTAATGAAAGCAGGTTGAAATAGGGAGTGACATGGTCATATCGTCTAAGGCCAAATATGAATCTGATACAGGAATTCTGCGCTCGCTGAAGTCTGCTAGAAACCTCATTAGTCATGTCATTGATCACCACATCACAGTAGTTGAAATGAGTCAAGATGAGAGTTTTTACTAACATGATTTTCAAGTTTAGTGGAAAGTAGTCTGCAAAACGTTTGATGGTGTGAATAGTCCCAAAGACCCTGTTACAAGTGGAATTTGCTTGGTCAGACCAATTCAAATGTTTGTTCATTATGAGTCCTAAGTTTCTCACTTTGTCGCAGTAGGTAAGGTCTTTTCCGTCAAAGCTAAGTTGTGGTGCAGTGAGTAAGTTTATTTTAGTCATTAATCTTGGGTAGCCAACAATCATTGCTTGAGTTTTGTCAATGTTGAGTTTAAGTCCGTTGTTTGTGGCCCAATGAGTTATTGATTCAATGTCAATGTTCATGAGTCGCACAGCAGTATCCATCTCGTCTACATTAAAGTGAGAGTAAATCTGTAAGTCGTCAGCATACAGATGGTAGTGTGAGTTAGTGATGTGTTCTGTGATGTCATTGATGTAAATTGAGAACAGTAGTGGGCCAAGAACAGATCCTTGAGGAACACCTCTAGTAATCTGCTCCCAAGTAGAACATTTGTCACCAGCTTTGACACATTGCTGACGATCAGATAAATAGGACTCAATCCAGTCAACACAGTTGTCAGAGAAACCAGCCAAGCGCAGTTTTAGGAGTAAAAGAGGATGGTATACGCAGTCGAACGCCTTTGAAAAGTCAAAGAGCGTTAAAATGGTGGCCTGTCTGTTATCCATTGCACGGCGGATGTCATCAGTAATTTTCAACAAAGCAGTGGTAGTGCTATATTTCGCACGAAACCCAGATTGAAAATCCGATAAGACGTTGTTCTCTTCCAAAAAAACTGAGAATTTATTATGCACTATTCTTTCAAGGCATTTAGAAAGGGCAGGAAGAATGCTGATTGGTCTATAATCAGAAGGGGTATTGGGAGATGAAATTTTCTGAAGTGGGCGAACAATGACTGATTTCCAGATGGAGGGGAAGGTAGAGGTTGCTAATGATCTGTTAAATATGAATGTTAGTACCGGGAGAGTAACTGGTAGAGTGTCTTTAATAAACCTAATAGGAATATCATCAGCGCCGACTGCGTTACTTGTCATCCCTAGGATTGCCCTGCGAACATCAAATTCACTAACTGGGGAAAAGAAAAACTGATTTTCTGGCATGTCAAGTGGTCTAGATGTGATATCGGCAACATGGTTAAAGGCACCTGCAGAACTTATAGGAATATTCACAAAAAAGTTGTTAATAGTGTCGAGACTGATGGATATTTGATGTGAATTTTTAGACTTGCCGATACCTAGGTTCTTAACTTTGGTCCACAAAGTTTTGGATGATTGTTTCTGGGAGAAAGATGTATAATAATACCTGGCTTTAGAGTTTCTAATCTGTTGTTGGGTTTGATTCCTGAGTCTTTTGTAACAGGCCCAGTCATCAGGGAGTTTGGTGCGCTTGGCTTTACGAAATGCAGCATCTCTATTTTTTTGAAGTTGTCGAATAAAATCATTTATCCAGGGAGCAGGTGGCTTAGAAACTCTTTTAGATACTATTGGACAGTGTTTATTGAGAAGATTAGAAATGAGGAAAGTAAAATGCTCGACCATTGAATTGACATCAGGATCATTAGTAACCACATCCCACGGTTGAGTAGAAGCATCTAAGAGCAGATCATTGAGGTTAAGATTACGATAGTCTCTGTATTTAATCAAATTTGGGCAGAATTTGGGCTTTTTTAATTTATATACACAGAAAATCAGGTCATGTTTAGAAAGTCCAGGGGCAGAAAATTGACCGTGGTGGGCAATAAAGGATGGGTCACTAACAGCTATGATATCCAGCAGTGTGTCAGCAGTGGCTGTGTGATGTGTGGCAAGTAAAGGTAAGATAGTAATGTTACAGGAGAAGAACAGATTTGTAAGTGTAGTTTGGTCATAAGTAAGTGGTCCAAGTAGGTCAGTGTTAAAGTCACCCATCACAATGACATGACCATAGCGAGGCAGCAGACCCACCAAATCCTGTTCAAACTCAGCCAAGAACCCAATGTGAGGTGCTCTGTAACAAACACAAATCAAAAAATGTGTTTTGTTAACACAAACGTCCAAAAACAAATATTCAGGTCTTCCCACTGTTTCTGAGTTAGACTTTAAAAGTACAGAGGAAGGAAAATGAGACTTAACATAAACAGCAACTCCTCCTCCACCCTTATGGAGACGATCATTTCTAAAAATATTGTAGCCAGTTAGTTCAACACATTTGTCATTTAACGATGGTTTGAGCCAAGTTTCAGAAATTAAAATCAAATCTATTGAGGAATCCTGAAAGATTGTACGAAATTCGTCTATGTGACAAAAAAGAGATTGTGCATTTACATGAGCTGCCTTTAAGAAGTTGGGGAATGGAGATAGGGTTTGGCAGAGAAGCTGAGATAACGGCGGAGAGAGAGAGGGACCGAGCAGGGTCGGGGCAGCGTTATCAGTTACTGGACTGATAAGCATTGATGAGCAGGCAACAAGTGGCACATGACAATGGAGGCCGGGAAGCAGGCGACACAAGCATACAACATTCGCACACACATACACTCACTATGCCTAGACAATGGCATCTTAATATTTTCCTAGCAAAATAAAAAATTAACATTCTTATACGGAAAACATCAGCATACATAAATAGCATAATTCTAAAATACACCCAAAATAAACTAAATATAGGTACATAAGTAAACATTAAATATAGTTTGATAAATTTTGATATGAATGATGCAATACATTTATAATTCAATGACATGCTTCCATAAGGTTCAATCTCTTTAATTGTTAATAATACCATTTAGGTCACACAGCTTTCAAAATGATTCTTTGATTTAGTTTATACAATACTGTAAGTAGCCTAATTAACTGCTTAATAAAACTGATAATTAATTATTCTACAAGTTTGATATCATAATAAATTTGGATATAAATTATAAGATACATTAATAATTTAACAACAATTTACTAAATAGGCCTACTTCTTAAAACTATTTAAATCTTTTTAATTGCACAATGATATTAAGATAGAAAAATTAATAGTTTTTTCAAATAAATTACTTTTAATTGCAGTATGATTTTAAATTGTAAATATTTTATAAATCGAGCTACTAATCAAATTATGTTTAGGCTAGTATAACATTAATTGAAACAAAACTATTGAATTTAACATGCAAATTTATTTAATGTGATAATTATTGAGTTTACAACAATAAGTAGTTAAAACTGGTCAATTGCCTATACGTTTGTTGGTGATCTAATAATAGACCATAATATTACTGATATTAATTGATCTTGAAATTACAAAATAAAATAATCAATACGTAATAAAAGCCAAACAAAAATAAAAGTGTAATGATAAAAGTTATAGCCTAATAAAATGCAATAAAGAGATGCATATTTACTGGTCACTAGTGCTGTTCCCTGCTGTCACCACCTCCTCCAACCGCGTCGCGACACCTTTCTTGCCGCGACTGTCGATCCACAGCACTCGACCGTCCATTGTCCAAGTATTCGCTGTTCCGTGCTTCGCCACCGCCGCCTTCAACACGTCCATCCGTCGCGACGTCAAATCCTCCCGAACAGTCACGCCAGTCCCTTTAAGCTTCTTTTTCACCGAATATATTTGTTGGCGGTGTTTGTAGCCCACGAAACGAACGATGATGGCCCGTGGTCTACTCCTTCCTTCTTTATCAGGTGACGGCTGCTTCCCAACGCGATGGCTCCTACAGATGGCGTCAGACGGTAACTCGATGCCAAGTTTCTCACGGCACAGCTGTACTACCAGCGCGTCTGTGTCCTCGGCTGCTGTCTCGCTGATCCCGAAGATTCTCAGGTTGTTTCGGCGCTGGTATTGCTCGAGTTCGTCAGTTCGGTCGGCGATGTTGTTGTCGAGCTCCCGTAGCTTCGTCCTGAGGTCGATCACGTCGTTCTTAAGTCTCGAGATCTCATCACTCATCGGCTTTAATGCAGAAATAACAGCATTCTCGATTACTGACTTAAGTTCTTCAGTCAAACGAGCGACAAGTCCCGATATCACATCTTCGCTGGTCAGGTGTGATTCGACGGCACTTTTGACTAAAGCCGGGTCAATGGTCTTGTTTGCATCAGGCATTGTTGTCTTGGCTGTGGGACTTAGAGCAGACGACACAGAAACCGATCGCTGTAGGCCTCGTTTATCAGTTGCAGATAACTCAACCGGTTTGCCCTTCGAACCCGACCGTAATCCAAGCGGTGATCTTTTCATGAAAGAAAAATAAGTTATTGTCAATTATTTCACACGCGTCGGCACTTATAGAAAAATTGATGATATCACTTTGAACAGCATAAAGTACTTTAAAAAATGGTGTAAAAATATTTTTGGAACGTTAAAGAAATACCATAGAAATATAAGGTTAAAATAGAGCTGATGTAAAACGTGTTCGCTAGGGAAATGTCATCCCCTCTCCAACGTGGTAGATGTTTACCTTTACATTACAATACAGTGTTTTGTGTTGTCAGAATGGTGATGTGATGTCTTCACCAATCAAGCCTGTGCTGGATACCATCTCCGCACCCAACGACGACATCTCCGCCAACGTCACTGTAGAGACAACCCAACCCCCACCTCCTAGGTATGTATACTGTTTAGTTTCACTGGGTTAAATGTAAAAAGAGGTTTGTTATGGTTCCAATCAGACAATTTATTTATTATTGTTTTCCTTTTTCACTGGAGTGTAGTTTTGTCTTCACATTGTTTTTGGCTACTAAGATGAATTGTCGTATAGGAGTGGGAACTGTCTTGAATAGTAATGAAATTAAATGAAAAATCATTTATTTATACAGGCAAAGTTAGGGCCACATGGCCCTTTCTTACACTTAACCTGTTTATAGTAGCGTAATAGTAGCGTATAATGTAAAGAAAGAACATATTGTGTCAGGTCTCAGATTTGATCATGTTTGCTTGACCACAATGGGAGCTTTATGGAGTCCTTAATTTACAGACAGCCCTTCTGTAAATCAAGCTTTTGCATTTTAAAATCATGATGTAACCTTAACTATTAATTGTGTGGTACTACCTTGTTATTTTCACTGTAAATACTGTAAACAGATTTTTAATTAATTTATCTATTTACCATAACCGAAATCGTAGCTTTCTAAAACTACCTACTCCTTCATTTTGATTAAGAAGAGGTTACACTGTACAAATCTAACCATACTGATGTATGATCCAGGCCGGTGCCAGTGATTGGTCAGTCTGTGTCCCATGATCTGCTTCTGGGACGTTGGCGTCTCACTCTGGATCTGTTTGGTCGAGTGTTCATGGAAGATGTCGGACTGGAACCTGGTTCCGTAGTCAGCGAACTTGGTGGGTTCCCAGTCAAAGAAGCAAAGTTCCGTCGCGACATGGAGAAACTGAGAAATCTGCAGAATCGGGATCTGACACTTGCCAAGGTATAAAGTAATACATGTTTTAATATTGTTTGTTAAAAACAATAAACACTAAAGTATATTTGTTATTTGTTATTGATTATTATTTTGTTATATCATTTTTGGTGTTAAACGTTGTGTTGGTCACAAATAGTGTTCTGTTTGTTTATTCTCTCTATTTTAATTTAAAGACATTAGATATCTAAACCTTTTTAATTAATACTAATTTTCATTCATGCTTTAACTTTAAATATTTTTTAGAAAGGGATAGAAATCAGCATGCTCACCTGGGACAGTTTATAGTCCGGGTTAAAAGTCACTACACACACTGATATGTTGGTCTAATAAAAAACTTCCTGAGAGAGAAGGTTGAAGAGATAAATTTATTACATTGTTGATAAATTCAAGACCCCATACATTTGTGAAGTGAGCCTATTTAAAAACGAGAGGTACCTACCATTACCATCTTTGTTGTGAAATTCATAAACATTTTTCAATGTGAAATTTAATAAGTATTTTTATCAACTTATATGTCTTCCTCCAACATCACTTCTCACTCTGTTCAAATGCAATTTTGTTCCTAAGATGGAGAGAGACAGAACACAGCTGATCGTGCAGACAATGAAGGAGTTGAACACGCAGTACAATGCATACAACAAACGTGCGTCACCCTCTCAGCCGCCACTGGCTGTCAACAGAGTCAAGGTGACCTTCAAGGACGAACCTGGCGAAGGCTCTGGAGTGGCCAGGAGTTTCTACACGGCCATAGCCGAGGTATAACCCATCAATTCTCCATGAGTGGTAAACTCAAATCTCAAAACCAACAAAACTTTAAAAATTTGGTTTTAAGATTCGATTGTATATTGACTATATTTCTTTTAAATAATGACCAGTAAATAAAAGTTTGAATCGATCTCATATTCATGTCACTACGCAAGCCAGGAGTTTAATTGTTTTAGGCCTAGTGTTTAAAAGGATGTAACCTTCAGTATCCAATAGTGGTAACTCAGTTGGGTTAGGCCAGGGGGAGCGGTGAGGTCTTTCCACATGCACGTTTAGAATCTTGTTCACAATCAATATTAAGCTGACTAATGTGTGGATTACCCAGTGGGAGGGTTCATCTTAAAAAACAGTGTTTGGCTTGGGTGGACAGAATTAGTGAGTTTAATTAGAATTGCACACAACCTGTTTTGCTTCTTTTAACATTAGTATATAGCATATAGTAGCTTACCGAGTCTGGGGAATGCCTTGTACAAAGAGCCAAACTTTACAACCGAGACATAATACTTTTTTTGCAGTGTTGCATGCAGTCCAAAGGTGTGTTTGAAGAAAAGACAAATACAGTATATCTGTATCATGTCCTAAACAATATCTTTGCTACTGGATGTTGTTGAGGAGTTTTCTTTACAATTGTTTGTGTCTTTATAGGCGTTGTTGGCCAACCAAAAACTTCCCAATCTGGAGTCAGCACAAGTCGGTTCTCGCTATGGACAGTACAATGTTCTACAGAGGCTTCGGTCCAGAGAGAGAGATAGCTTACGAAGACAGGTTAGTGGAGAAAACCAACAAATATTGGAAAGATAAGTGAGATATATAATAGGTTTGATTTTGTTACCTTTGCACTTGTGTACCACAGAGTTTGTCAAAAACGTGTTAGTGTTAGTTGTAGGTTTTGTCTTTTATGTGTTAGGTTTATTTGCTCAACAGTTAGACAAAGATATAAAAAAAGTTTAAAATCAATGTTAATCAAAAAGAAGTAAAACTAGAGTGCATAACATAAATAGTTAAAACTGTCATAATTCTTGTAAAGTCCAAACCCTAACAGACTTAAGAACCAGAGAAACCTAAAAGGATATCTATAGAAATGAGCCAAGATGGACCTAGGTGGTATGTGTGTAGATTTGAGTTGTTTAGAAATATATGTAACCTATTAGTAACATTTGATCCAGAATTATTATAACAATTGTATAACAAGATATTATACAGATGCCACGGTCGTCATCACAGAGGTGTCGAGAGCCGAGACGCAGCCTGTCTCATGAGGCGAGAGCCTTCAACTCCACGGTGGCACCAGCTGATGGGGCGCCGGGCACCAGCAACAACCAGCCAAACAACGACCATCTGTCTGTACATCAGCAACAGCTAGGAGACAGGCTCTACCCCAAGGTACACTACTAGCAAGTTGTGCTGGTCTTTCAGCCTTGTTGCTTTTGCTGTTTTATGTCTTGTTGGTATTTTTAGAGTTGTAACGCCTCATTCACACAGGACGAGTTTACAAGCTACTCTCAAGTGTGTAAGAAGCTGGGGAGTTGGCGAGTGCGCGCACATTTGTTCACACGGAGCTTGTCCACTTGCTAACTTGCCGACGTGTAGAAAAGACGCCGGCGAGTACGCTTGTAGCTGTTCACACGATGCTTTTTCCACTTGCTAGGAAGCTGGCTTGAACCAAATCCTCCGACATCTTTGAATAACATGCGTACAAGCACAAGCAACAGTGTTCACAGTGGACTACTTTACACGCCTACTTGCTCAAAAGCTGGCGAGTTGGCGTGTAAAGTAGCCGCAGAGTCAGCTTTTTCAAGAGTTTTTTTACCAAGCAGCTTTTCAGCGAGTACGTCATTCACACAGCTATTTTACTAGCTGCATGAAAAAAAACCGGCGTGTAGCTTGTAAACTCGCCCCGTGTGAACAACCGGGCTTAACTTAACACTTCTACAGAGGAGTAGAAGATGACTATATGCAACAAGGCCAAAAAGTTAGCACACTATATTAGTATTGTGACACGGTATTTCACCCTAAAGATCACTATAGTGTTATTAAGTACAGATGTTGTGTATTTACCTATATATCCTCTCTTGCTTGAGTACCTTCTACGTAGGGAATATATCCAAGAAATAGAAATAAAAATTTCCTAGAAGTTAAGAAAACTTGAGTATTTTGCTATTTAATATTCAGCTACCAAAACTGAGCATGTGAAGCTTTTTAATGCCTTGACGTGCTACCAAATATTTTCATAAGAAATAGTTAACATTCAATGGGTGTAAAATGTTCATTTGTAACCCTCAGATAATTTGAAAAATACAACAACAACAAAAATTATTATAAATTTTAATCTCTTCACAAGCTGGAAAAGCCGCTTGACTACCAGCTTGATTTTACACTTGTCAATAATATGTGGACAGTAACATCATTAATTGAGGTGTCCGTCAGGTACAAGCACTGAGGCCGACGTTCGCAGGCAAGATCACTGGCATGCTGTTGGAGTTGTCGCCTGCTCAGCTACTTATGCTATTGGCCAGTGAGGACGCCCTCAGGCAGCGAGTGGATGAGGCAATGGAGCTCATAGTCGCCCACGGACAAGACCTCGCCTCAGAGGCTCTCCTTGGTAATACAGTAAACTCTATACTGCCTTAAAAGACTCACACAATAATTTATTAAGAGAGAAGGAATGGATACACAACCATCCATTCCAGGTTGTTGAAACCCTTTACTCGGGTAAATTAGCTTTGTATCGTTTTCTTTTTCCTTAATATATTCCTAAGTGTTTATTCCTCAAAATAAAAATAAATAATTCAACATTGATACAGCAATATGGGCAGCACACTACACTGGCATCTACTGTTTGGCTCTGACTTGAATGCTTGTGAGTGAAATTCGCGTAGGATTGGATATAGCTTGCCTCTCCATTACCCTTGCCTCCTCTTTGAGCTAAACTAAAAACATCATAGAGCTTACCGCCATTTATCTCTTCAATATCAACTTTAAAACGACTTAATGATAATGTTAAGTGAGTTGTTTTCTTTTCACAGTCGTAACTCGGATTTTGACATTTAAGGTATCGATAATTTAAAGATCGTTTTACATATTTGCAAAAATCACTGAAAGAATATTTTCTTTCATTTCTTTATCTCTTTATTCATTGGATGAGTTTTGGAATTTAAGAAATGTAAAATAAATTATAGGCTAAGCCTATATAGAAAGATATAATTTAAAAGTTAAAAATATTTCATATAGTTTTACTTTTTCTATTTAAGCTTAACATTGTATTTGTAAAGATAATAATTGTTTAGTGATAAGGCATAATACATCATTATATTTATTTTGACACTATTCTTTGTATGATTATATTTGTACACGAATAAGGAGAATGTGAATTGAATCAGAGTGTCAAGTTAGTCAGGCAAAACAGGAAAGTCGGGGATTAATATTCAATTTCAAAATGGTCTTATAAAGTCGGGATTTAGTCTTTACTTTGTTGTCACAGTCGGGAATTCCATTGACCTTGTAAAATCCAATCAAATGTCCATTAATTGATGCCTGAAACACATTTTTAAGTAAGGATGTGTTAATGATCAAGAATCAATCGTCGAAAGTCAAGACTAGTTTTTAAAATCAATACAAATTGAAAAATAAAATTTATATGAATTTGAAAAACAAGTCTTTAAAAGTCTTGAATTAGTCTTGAATTTTAAAATGGAAATAAACTAGACACCCTGAAGAATAGAGTTGTTTTGTTAACAGATGGTGGCTCCACATGCGAAAATGCTACTTATTTGTCTCTACTTTCGGCTTGTGGTAAATGGACTTTAGTTATTTAATTATTGTAATGTTTTTGTGGTTCTAATTTCATTTTATGTTATCATTACCATTATTAAAGATGTAATAGATAATTAGTCTTTCCAACCAATTAGTAATTTTTAAAATATCAAATAAATAAGGAAATTAAAACTTTGTACGTAATCTTATTTGTAATGTGAATTGATAGTTTTAATAAATTTATAACAAAATTACAATTAGGGTTTAATACAAACATTTGTAAGTCAGCGCTGGTACCGGGGAGAGATGGCTAGTTCTTCATCTGGCATGTCTTCTCCACTGTCTTCAGTCACTTCACTGTCGCTGTCAATTTCACTCATCTCAATCCCAAAACTGTCAATGGCGTCTCTCAGCAGACCGTCTTTCTCCCAGTACTCCCGTCTCAACTTTAATGTGTGGTCGGTGAATCCCTCCCAGTCGATCCTGCTCACTGAAGTGGTCGCTTGCCTTGTAACCTCCTGCAACTTGGCCAGTGAAAAATCTCCATTTTTATTGGTCTCTTTTACAAGTCTTTTGACTTTAGCCCAAGCCAGCTCAATATGATTCACATCACACATGTAGGGTGGCAATTGAATGACGGAATGACAATGCGTGGTGGGGAAACGTGCGCCTTGCTAGGTCAGGATAGCCAGTAACGCTGGTTGCTAGGCAACGACCGGTTTGGAGCAGTTGCAAAGGAACCTTCTTCCTCGCTTTTAAGTCAGAGCCAAACAGTAAGCTTAAAATAAACTTAAAGACAGCGACATAGACTGGACATGAAATGTAATTTCTATAGTTTCAAATTAATTGGATACTGCTTCCTACACTACGGACAATTTTCAACTTTGATAATAGTTAGTTTTACAAAATATTTAAATTTTGTTTTATTGGCAGACTTGGACGTAGGACTGTTCAGTTTTACGGGTCTCAAGAACGGCCAAGGTCGCAGTACCGAAGGTGAGACGGAGACTGAGGACACCGGTGAGGACAATGCGCCGCTCTTCTACTGCCCGGGGAGACGAGGCTTTTACAGTCCACGCCAGGGCAAGGCAACATTCGAGAGGCTCAATGTGTTCCGCAACACGGGAAGGTACGTAGTTACTGAACAAAAAAATGTTTGGTTTTTAAACTTGGCTTGTGAGGTTTTTGGTATCAGATTGGATTCTGAGGTGGCTCTAACAAATTTTTGTGTAGAATAAAGGGATAGCAGCTAGCTTACGTTGGAAGAAGTACACTTAGACTATAGTACTTTTTCAGGGTGTCTACCAACCAGGAAAACCGGGAATTGTATTTAATTTTAGGCTGGCCATGAAATGTACGGGAATTTTCCTTAAATGCTAGAATACGTCCTTAAAGCAATAATTTTATCAATCGCTAATTGGTTAGAAGCACATAAAAGGTTTATCAGATGTTTGTTTGCTTTTCCATAATTTATTACTTGGGTAATTATGCAATAAAAAAACCATTAGCAGTCTCAAACCCATTAATATTTTATCAGACAATCAAGCGTCAAGTACTTCCAAGAACTCGTGAGTCAGTAGCTTAACTCATAAAAGTTGTATAACTTTTATTCCTTTACAACTTCCATTATGTATTACTAGGGTAACTTTTGTTTCCCATATTTATTTATTAATTTATTGTGTTGTGTGCTTTAAGCAATCTAAATCGTATGAACTAGAATGATGATAGTGACTGAGCTGCTATTATAACCTCATTGTTTGTTACCCAGTTTATATAGGCTCTCCTAAATAATTAGGTCTAGGCCTGGGTATTTTAATTCTTTGAAAGAGTTCTAAAATATACTAGGAAAATGTAATTGAGCCCAAGATAAACTAATGATTGATATGTGTTGATGTTAACTTTACAAATCAAAAGACAATAATCTTACTCTATGCGTACTGGTAGCCGCTTACCATACCGATTTTTACCGAGAACCAAGGTACTTTATAGTATGAATTTAAAATATTGTTACAAAAGTAGTCGAGAACTTAACGTTGTGCTGGGACGAATCATGCCAAACTAATCCGCCTGGTCGAATATGATATGATAATGTTTCCGTGACCGATGGAAATATTCAGGATTTTGTCGCTATCGCGGGAGACGATGATTGGGTTTCTCTGTTACACTATAAAGCTTTACCCAAAGTAAATGTTTGTCTCATTTCAATAAGTTTCTATTTTGAAATTTAACTCTTGTCTATTATTGCTTACTTTTCTCTCTGGTACAATTACATGAAGAGCAAAATTAATACAGCTTGACAAATCAGGTAAATATATCCGGTAATCACACTGAAAAAGGTTACGACAAAGTGTCCTTAAATTTACAGGAATTGTCCATGATTTTTTAATCCAGAATGTAGTAGACACCTTGCTATTGAACCCCTTTTTGAACTCTCTTTCTCTACACTGAGAAATTAAAAATATTATATGTATTTTTGTGTCTTCTGTGTTTTTTTTTTTTTTTTTTTTTTTTTTTGTAAGGTTAGCTAGTTCCTATCCCTTTTTTCTCCAGTAAAAAATCCTGGACTAGAGCAGAATCTAGAACAAAACTAATGCTTTTTCAATCGGAATACAAAATATAGGAATAATAATTTGTTAACTTATATTACCATATGAATATAACTTGATTACAGTTCCTTTTTACATATTTTTAACTACAATCCCAACTTGCAGGTTGCTTGGGCTGTGTCTACTGCAGAACGAACTTTGTCCGATATTCCTAAACCGACATGTACTCAAGTGTGTTCTCGGCCGACCAATCAGATTCCATGATCTAGCGTTCTTCGACCCGGCCATGTACGAATCATTGAGACAGCTTGTTCTTGATGCCGAGACCAAGGACAGCAACAGCCTATTTGCAGCTTTAGACCTCACATTCAGGTATGAAAAAGTCACTCTAATGTGCTTCATGTATTTTTAATTCTTTATAATATGGTGTCAATGAAATTTGTAAATTAAGTTACTGAAAAAGGTAACTATATAAAATAGTTTTTAATTGGTTCTGTGCAAGAGTAAAGAATTGTTTTCAGTTAGAAGCAAAAATGCAATACTACATTAATACTTAAATAAGCTTACTTAATACAACTTCTATTTGGCTATGATGTTTTTAAAACAATAATAACACTTTACAAATGTATAACTGGAACAGTAACGTTAAAGCGTCCTATATACTGTACATTGTATGTAATATACACTATACCTTTTGCCGCCACCTAAAACTGCAACTGTGCAACTGAACTGAAAGTGTTAAAGGAGACAACTAGCATTATTTCAGAGTACTAAAATGTTCTGATCTGAACAGTTGCACTTTCCAAAACTGCAACTGTTGCAATTATTGCTGAATTATTACCCATCAGACAGAAAATAAATTATTAAATTACTTATTTTATTTTCAGCATTGACCTAAATGTAGAAGAAGGGAGTGGAAGTTTGGAACTGATCCCAGGAGGGCGAGATATTGAGGTTACGGCCAGCAACGTCTATGACTATGTGAGGAAATACGCAGAGTATCGGATGTACAAAGCTCAGCAAAAGGCTTTAGAGGTAACACCTTTGTAATAAATTGGGGGTTGGGGAAGATAAGATTTGCTGATAGATCATTAACTCAGTCGGAAAATAGGAAGAAAATAGGTTTAGTTAATAAATCATGTGCTTCAGCATGCTGGTAATTGACCAAAAATGCAATAGAACACCAAAACAAAACAGAAGTGGTACCCATACTTAATGAATAATAAATTATAATCTAGTTGATGCAATAACGAAAAATTGTATTGAATTGTCCGTTTTTTAAGCTCACATTAAGTTTGTTTTAGTTAATAAGACAAAACAGCTTGAAGCAAACTTAGTTAAATATTTTTACTAGGGCTAAATTCTACAAGAATTTGCAGTTTGGTTGAAACAATATACATATACCAAATTCCGTAAACTTTGGCTGTTCATTTGTGGTGGCCTATATCATTTTTAAGTTAACCGGTGGGATTATAATACAAATTCTGTTATTCTCAGGCTATCCGGATGGGTGTGTTTGACGTACTCCCAGCTGGATCTCTGGATGGACTGACCCCAGAGGACTTGCGGTTGTTGTTGAACGGAGTCGGAGATATCAATGTCGCCGTCCTCATATCATACACTAGCTTCAATGACGAGTCAGGCGAGAGCAGCGAACGATTGCTCAAGTTCAAGCGATGGCTGTGGTCCATTGTCGAGCGGATGACCAACCTCGAGAGGATGGACCTGGTAAGGGAACAAGTTAATTATTTGCTCTCTTTCAATGTACAAACTATTCTAAATTCCATAACGTTTCTGACTGTCTGAGTAATCCTCGTAATAAACTGCACCATAGAATGATATTCTCAGTCTCCGCTATACCTCAATACCTACTGTATTGTTTACTTATAAAAATATGAATACTTTGGTTGAAAACAAAACGCCAAATATAATTTGAACTAGGCAAATTATAATTCCAGTTAATTATGTTCAATTATGCTCTTATACTCATTTGAAAAAGTCATCAATTTTTTCTGCTTTTCACTTTTTGTTTTAGTTTCCTGTGTGGTTTATATATATCAAACCTACTGACACAATTCAATTTTATCATTGCAGTAAGGTTAACTATAGGTTAGTGGTTTATATTACCTAGTTATTGTCCAAAACAATCCTTTGTACAAAGAACGAAACAGCTGCAGTCTTAGTAAACTACAAAGGATCGTTTTGGACAGAAACAAGGTACTATAAACCACTATAGTTAATTCAAAAGATCCAGAGGCCATTCCTTCATGGGAAAGGTTGGTTAAACAACATGTTTCAAATTTTAAATAACCCTGACTTTTGTCAAGACCAGGGGTGGTTAAGAGAGGAACACCTAAAAACTGGTTTTGCCAATAGTTTCACCATGAAAATTGTTGTAGGTGTATTTCTGGACGGGATCACCAGCCTTACCAGCGTCTGAGGACGGCTTCCAACCAATGCCGAGTGTGACGATACGACCAGCAGACGATGCACACTTGCCGACAGCCAACACCTGCATCTCTAGACTCTACGTACCACTGTACTCGTCCCGCGCGGTACTACGCCAGAAACTGCTGCTCGCCATCAAAACCAAAAACTTTGGTTTCGTCTGAGCACCCTCCTTTCTACCCACTGTGCGTTTGTAAATTTTGTTGTAACATTATTTAACTTTGATATTTTTGTATTCAAAAATGTATAGAGCGTTTGTTCACGACAATAAGTGTTTTATCTCCAACTAGTGGTCATCCGTTTCAAGTGATTTCTTTTATCGGATTACAACTTGGTCACTCACATATCTGTGTTTGAAACTGTGATTATTTTGTTTTTAATATGGAAACAACTTAGGTTAAGGAAAAAAACGACATTGTTACTTCACGTATGTGTGAATCTTTTGGAATTCAACATGAAATTTTCGTTTGCTTTAAAATAGTTTGGTTACATTATTATAACTACTTAATGATCCAGTTTTTATCTTTATTATGTTTTGTTTTATTGTAAATATATAATTTAAGTTAAATATTGCTTTGTTTTGTATTTATTTTTGTTGATCTTAGAAAGTGAAATTGAAAAAAAAAAAACATTGATTTCAACCCTGCAAGACTGTTCACTTTCAAAATATTAAAAGAGATTTGAAAACAGTTCACATTACAGTTCTGATTGTATGAAAATTTAAGGGGTTTTCCAAAAAAGTTATATTGTATTTAGTTTAGTATACATTGCTGCATATTGTTTGATTTTGTCTATGTTACAAATGGTATTTCATATCATATTTAAACAAAGCATCTTGATGAAAGTGGAAATTACTTTTGATTTGTAATATTTTTAGTTGTTTTTTTCTACCTTAAATATTTTATGATTCCTATTTTTAAAAAAAACTTTGTGTGGTGTAGTTCCTAATGTCAGATTTTCATTTTCATCCCTCACATGTCGTTTTATTAACTAACCAGATTAGTATTTTTTTTTTCATGGTAGAATGAAAAATTTGTGTTTTTTTGGGGCATAATTGTAGAATCTGGGTTAGTATTTTTATCTTCCTTTTGTCGCAAGGGAAACAATTGACTTTTATTTCAAAAATTAAAGTTGTGAAAGATTGTGTTTAGATTTTTGCTTTTGTAAAAATTTTAGTCATAAAAAAAGAATATTGCCAGTGTTTAATTGATTGGTACAAGTTGTTCTTAAGGTTTCGGATTATTTTAATTTTTTCATTAGTAGATTTTCCAAACATAAAATCCTCGCCTGCTAGCTGATAGTATTTTTTTTTTATTTTCAGGCACCTGAAGACATCTAAACAAGTGCCAACTCTGAGAGTCATGTATAAGATAAATGAATGTATTGTATAAATATAAAAAAGATTTTTTATAAATATATACGGCGAAAGCACAATTTTTCCGTTTGGACTTATTCTCTGTATCAACAATATGAATACTTGACAGAATAAAGCTTATGTGTTAAACGAGTGTCATTTTTCTTCCTCATGCTCATATGATTGATTGGTAAGTACTTAATGGGATTAATTTTTAAAATGACTGAAAGGGAAGAAGCGTTACAAAATGTTATTGTAGTTTTGATTGTTTGGTGTACCTAAGACAGTCTTTTAAACTAGCTTTTTCAATTCAATTTTTAGAATCATAATTAAAAAGATTCAGGTTATGAAGTTAGTTATTAGTACTTAATGTAGTCAGTTCCTCTAACTTTTTACACTCACTTTTAAAGTGTACACTCAGTTGAAAAGGTTAGAGGAACTGACCTTATGACCTAAATAAATAATAACATTTTCAGGCAACAATAAAATCAGCTGATTAGTTTTTAAACATGTATGTTGACTTTCAGATACAAAAAGATGATTGGGTGTTTAGTGTGAATTTTAAAGTCAGTAAAGGTGTGCAATTTTTAAGCCATACCAATACCAAATTTCAAAATGTGTGATCTAACTTGTACAAACAAACTTTCACATTTATAATATTAGTATGTTTTTTTTTTATTGTTTCAAATAACAAGTTATTCTTGTAAGTAATTTGTAAAATTAACAGTTTTTGAGTTATTTAAGGAAGAAAAGGTAAAAATTGCCGCCATTTTGGATTGGTACAATTTATAAACCGGATACTTAGTGCAAAGATTAACCTTACCTGTCCACTACATAAGTGCAAACTACCAAGTTATGGATTCATTTGTGAAAACCACATACAGATACAGAATGAAAACCAGGCATCTTAGACTCATGTTTATATGGTGTATTTGCGTTTTGACCTAAGGATCAAATATACAACTGGTTCCAGAGAGTTCTGGGACACCCCGTATACCGGTGTCCAAAAAGTCCCGGGTCGGTTGAATATTTAAATATAGCTTCAAAACTTTTCACAAAGTTACTGGACGTATAAGTCTATTTTATCACATATTCAGTGATCAGCTACTTCCTCAGGGGGAGTTCACTTGGAGTCAGAAGAAAATCTTGAATGTAATCATAGGTTTATATGCATATAAAATTTTTAAGGTCTTAAGTACAGAGCTGCTAACCCAAACGGATTACAGAGTCAAAAATGACAGCGATTCAAAGATTTCTAGAACCTGCTATCTCCTTGAATCTTTAAAGGACTGCCATTTTTTTACTCAGTTTGAGCTCAAATTTGGGGCATTGTATTCTACTAACAAAGACCTTTAGTTTAGGTGCATATCGAATCGACCTATGCTTACATTTAAGATTTATTTCCGACTCCTAGCAAGTCCTGCTAGGAGTAGGATCCCAGAGTGTTGTGCCCTTAAATATATTACATTAAACTATTAAACCCCATTTTGTTAGAGCCACTTCTTTCATTGTATTTAAATAACAAAATCCAAAACTTAAAGTAAACATGAAACAATAATCAAACCAGATGACAAGCAAATAAACAAACTATTAATGTAGACCTCAGGACATCTCCCTCTTAAAGTTCTTCTATGAACCTCTTGGCAGGTTTAACAATTCTGGTAGGTCTGTGTATGGTTGAAGAATGATTATGTAGGTTGGATCTTGGTGTATGTGTCTGTCTTGGAGGAAGTGTCTGTGTATGGGGGTTTTCTTTATCAGGATTTTCTCTTTCTCCAGAGGAGAACATAGGGAATAAGAATTTTGAATTAGGGAATAAGAATTTTGAATTCCTGATATATCTTCCTCCCTTTTTTGTTTCAACGTTATATTTCCTGTTCTCTAACTTCTCCTTGATTACCCCTTCTTCTCTTCGGTCCGATACCCAAACTTTAGCGTTTTCTGGGTAATCCTTGACCTGGGTCACTCTATGTCTTTTATTGAACTGTTGTTCCTGTTTCCTCTTTTCTTCCATTTGTCTAAGTCTATATCTATTGTGATTTGGAGTGGCTGGAAGTAGAGTTGCTTTATTCACTGGTAGATTTGTTCTTAAAATCCGTCCCATTAATAGTTGTGATGGGCTATAACCACATTCCTTTGGCGTCGTATGCCAATAAGCCCAGATGTCTATCCTTACACTTCTTTAATATGTTTTTGAAGATTTTCACACCACTTTCAGCTTGACCATTGCACTGATGATGGTATGGTGAACTAGTTTCCACTGTGAAGTCGTATTCTGATTTGAATAGTTCCCATTCTTCTGATAGAAATTGCACACCTGAGTCTGATCTAATTGACTCGGGGATGCCATGCTTTTCAAACGATGTCTTCATTGATTTAATCAATATTGCCGTTGAACAGTTAGATACCTTATATACATCGATGTATTTGGAATAATAATCCATGATAATTATGTATTTATCATTGTTGAATTCACAAAAATCTACTCCGATTTTCTGCCAGGGTCTTTCAGGAACCTCTGTAGGAATCATAGGATGGCGAGGAGGCACTCTGTCAGCAATGCATTGCGGGCAATAGGTTACTTTTTGTTCGATGTGATGATTAATTTTGGGCCACCATACTGACATTTTAGCCCTTTCTTTACATCTTTTAATACCTTGATGACCTTGATGAATATTATCTAACATTTCTTTTCTCAAGGATGGAGGAATCACTATTTGATTATTTCTCATAAGTATATCTTCATTGATCGACAATTCTGCTTGATGATCCCAGTATTCTTTTAATCTTTCATTTAATAGGTTCTTATTTTTAGGCCATCCTTGAATTGTAATATCTAACAATTCCTGTAATTCTTCTCTTTGATTTTTTATTATTACATCTAATTTATTAGATGATACTGGGATTGCTTGAACTACTGTTCTTACACATGCTTCTGCTTCTTCTGCAAGTTTCTCAATATCTTCCTCTTCAGTTTTGTTGATTGGCGCTCTTGATAACGTGTCAGCAGTTGTTAATTGTTTTCCTGGTACCCACAATATGTCGTACGAATATCTCATTAATCTCATTTTAAATCTCTGAACTCTTAGCGGCAGTTCATCCAAACCCTTACTACTTAAAAGAGGAATCAGAGGTTTATGATCAGTTTGAATTTGAAACTTCAATCCTGTTATAAAATTTTTGAAACGTTCACATGCCCATACTATTGCATAAGCCTCCTTTTCAATTTGTGCATATTTCTGTTGAGTCGGTGTTAAGCTCTTTGATGCGTAGGCCACAGGTTTTAAATGTCCTTGATGTTCTTGCAAAAGTGTTGCACCCAAACCATAAGCTGATGAATCGGCCGAAATTATAGTTCTCCTTTTCAAATTGAATGGTATTAAGGCAGGAGTTGTTTGTAAACTCTTTAAGGCTGTTTTAAATGATTGTTCTTGACTAGGACCCCAAACAAAAGCCCTATCTTTTTTTAGTAGTTCCCTCAGTGGTTGAACGATATCAGCAAGGTTTTCTATGAATTTTCCGACATGATTCAACATCCCTAGAAATCTCCTAACACTTCCCACATCACTGGGTGTGGGGAAATCGATTATTGCTTGTAAGTATTTGGGATCTGCTTGAATCATACCAGAAGAAATAATGTGACCTAAGAATGAAATCTTTGTTTTTCCTATTTCACACTTGTCATTTAAGGTAACTCCTTCTTTTACCAATTCTTGTAACACTCGGTCTAGTCTGCTGTCATGCTCGGGTTTACTTTCTCCGGTAATTAAAATATCATCCATATAACACAAAATTCCTGGGATGTCTCCAATAATACTTTTCATCCTGTTACAAAATATTTCCGGGGCTGTTGAAATTCCGAAGGGAAGTCTTTTAAAACAAAATCTACCAAATGGTGTTATAAATGTTGTCAATTTTGAGGAACCCTCATCTAGCGGTATTTGCCAAAACCCCGAATTAGCATCTAATTTTGAATACCATTTGGAATTCCCTAGACATCCAAGTAAGTCCTCAACAGTATTAAAAACGTTATTTTCTCTCTGTAAATGGTTGTTTAAAGCTGAAGGATCAATGCATATTCTTACACTGCCATTAGGTTTAGGTCTTACCACCATTGGATGACACCACTCCGTAGGTCCGCAAACTTCTTCAATGATTCCCGCTTCAACCATTCTTTTAAGTTCATTTTTCACTTTTTCTCTTAATGGAATAGGTATGTTTCTAGGAGTTTTTAACTCCATCGGTACCGCATTTTGTTTCAGTTTAAGTTGAGCTCCTTTCTTCATCTTACCAATCCCATTAAATAAACTTGGATATTTATTCTTGATCTTCTGTAGGTCTGTGTTGATATTCTGGTTGCTACAATATTCACTTGACTGAATGTCATTTTTAACTCCTCTGATGACCCTTAAGAACCCTAGGGCTGAGATGCATGGTTTCCCAATCAATGCTTCCTCTTGACCATTGATCACATATATTGTTTGACGAGTTGTTTTATTCTTATACTGAATTACACCTTCAAATTTACCTAAAACTGTTAAATACTTCCCCCCAGGTGTTTTTAAAACAATGTTTGATTTAGTCAATAATTTGTTTCTAGCCATTCTTGGAGGCACAATCGTCACGTCGGCTCCACTGTCAATCTTGAAATGTTCCAATTTCCCATCAAGTTTTACATCAATTTCAAATTCATTCTGTTTATTGTAGTTCCTTGTTGTCGCTCTTATTTTCTTAACTTCAGCTCTGTTAATGTAATACCCGTCCTCGCTTCTATTATCCTGTTCCAATCTGTTCTCGGTATTTTCCTGAATTTGATTCAGGGTTGGGTTTCTGTATTTATTGTTCTGATTTCTGTATTTATTATTCTGTCTCTTTTTACAACATCGGCTGAAGTGTCCTTGCAATCCACAGTAGTAGCATTCAATATTCTGAGCAGGACATTCCTCCTTAGGATGCCTCTGTCCTCCACAGTAAAAACAATTAGAAGTATATTGTCTTATGTTTTGTTTCAAGTTCGGATGTTTTTTCACTTGGTCTATTTCTGCAAAATCTTGTTCTCTTGATCTGTTAACAGTAATTTGTTGGTTCTTTATAATTTCACTTTGTTTCAATCTATTTATTGTTTCATGCAAGGTTAGGTCAGCCATCAG